GTGTGAATGGCATAATGACGAGGGGACAATATTGAAGATTTAAGATTGGTGGGAGGTTGTTACGTGGCTCAACAGGTTAATGCTCAACACGTGTACACGCACCGGTGCAATTAGTCGTGAGGTACGCGTACAGTTAATTAATTAGTGGATGAAGATAAGGTGATGAATTAGGGAAATCAGATGTATCGGGTAATTTGCACATTTGGATTCATACAATAAAAATGATATAATATAAAGTACAAAAAGTATTTAACAAAAGAATTATTTTCCCTTTGCAATAACGACAGTAATTTCATGATAACTCAATCATTTTCAGCCAAAAATGACCACAAAAAATGTCAAAAACAGTTACAAATTAATTCTGTCCGACTGCAAATGATAAAAACTTGATAAATTTAACGCAACATTAACTGTCGCTATCAGTATAAATGTACCCAATGAATATGCTAATCCAAAATTATTGACAAATGAATGAAAACGATCGGAGCAGAAAAGGCCAGAACAAATGGCTGGTACCCGAGGCCGAGTGATCAATTAATCCTCGAGGATCTGAAGTAGGTGTCGTGCCCTTCAAAGTCCAAAGAAGTCCCTGGGGGAGTGTGCCAACAAAAATCACGAAGGCGAATAAAAACAGTTGAGCCGATCGAGAAATAAGAATGCTAGAGATGTGGGGGTGGACAGGCTGTTCGTGGGAAGTATCAAGCGCCAAACGATGGATCTGAGATAATGACTGCGTCGATCTCCAGCGGTTCTCGAAGATGAAAAATCGCGAAATAAAATTTGAGAGTGAGAGAATTAAGGGATAAACTCAACGAGTTCGCTGGGAAATTCTGTTGATTTTTTTATTGGCTTATCTCCGTGTTTTTTTAAATATTAATGTGCAGTGGAGAATATTCTATTGAAAAAATCAATAGAATTCAATTTTTCTGGGTAATTTATTCTATTGAGATATTTTTTTAATGAAATGAGAAGCAAAATTGAGTGGAATTAACTTAGAAAATTCATGTCGTGGAATTTCTACTGATTTTTTCTATCGACTTATTTGCATTTTTTTTCAATATAAATGTTCAGCTGAGAATATTCTATAGAAAAAATCAATGGAATTAAATTTTTCTATTGAAATATTTTCTATAGAAAATTCTTGCCTCCAATTTTCTAAATTTTTTTGTTTTATTTTATTAGTAACAGGAGCAGAAAAATAAAGTGGAATTCACCTAGAAAATTCATGTCGAGGAATTCCTGCAGAAAAAGTTGAACAGAAAGATGAAGTTCTACTGATTTTTTCTATAAAATAGTTTCTATTAGGCGTTGTTTATTTTAAAAACCGCGAGAAACCGAATTTTTCACTAGAATTAATTGAAAAATGATAGAATTTGTAATAGAATCAATAGAAATTGTGTTTTTCTGTGAGATGTTTTCGTGGATGACGAAAAGCTTCGCGTCGCAAACTAAAGATGCGAAATAGGGAACCCGAGAAGTCTGAGGGTTTCTTATCACTCTTCACGCTCTTTACACTTTTATTCCCTTATGAGACTCTCCGAGGTATTTCGACTAATCGCAGCCTCGCATTTCCACCGGTCGCGACGTGTGCGGCCCACGCGATCACGTTCCTCCGGTGTATTGTGTGTCGAAATCCGCTAAATGTATGAGCAACGCAAGTATTGACGCCGGCGATAGCGTGGGCCATCGAAAACTATTTCTCAAATGTCTCCGTGACATTCCACAAGCATTAAAGCTGATGAGGGAGGATAAATCCACTTGTCAAATTAACGTCGGCCAAAAGTCGCGGTTTTGGAGTTTATTTATGGATTCATTTTTTTTTTCGGGGCGTGCGGTTGAATAGAACCGTTAGCATTAACGCAGTGAGGAGGGGGGGGGGCATGACGACGGGGGGATATCGTTACTTGGGCTACTTATCGGGCAGTGGCCATATTGAAACAGATTGCTTCCTGCTCACTGCGCAAATAATCTTCCTTGAACGGTTGTGAGATGTGCTGTTGGGGTCTTGTTTCCAGTGGCCAGGCTGACCCCCATTGGGGCGTCGAGTGTTAGGAGATGAGGACAGAGAGGAAAACATTGTTCAATGAAGGATGGCGATCGTAATTCAGGGGAGAAACTAATTTTGTGCTCGTGTCTTTAATTTTTTCCAATCGCTTCAATGTTGACAATCAGCTGAAATTTCCGACACACTTGGTGATTGTTTTCATTATCATTATTTTACTGAAATGTTATCAGAAAAATCCTTTTTCTTATAAAATATTACCCAAAAAACAAGCTTCATTTCCAGACTGATGGTATCAGATTGAGAGATGTGTTGTTAAATTAAAAATACATGAATTCATGAGAAAAAATAAAATATCATGTCATCATGAATTTAATTCATTGTCGAAACGTTGCGGATTGAAATAAATTGAAGTGAATTGGAAATTATTTATTTTAAACGACAAAATTTCACTCTGACTTTTTTTTCTAAATATCTTGAACTAATCTATAAATTAATTGAAGGATAAATCTATTAATTGATGAGCAAAATGAGGAATCGCACGAGAGAATTGAATATCATGTGTATTTTTTTTTTATTGTTTGTGTGTGTGTGTGAGATTTTTAGATTGAGACATTAAAATATTAACATAAGATATTATTTAGGAAATGAAAAAACGTTTGGACAATATCTTGAGGAGTAACGGGGCATAACGAGTCGTTTTGCCCTCCTCCCCCCATTTCTTTTATTCTCATTAATAGGGAAATGTTAAATGGGAAATATGAAGAAATATCTTTCATCCTATTGATAGATACTCAAGCGATAAATTCTGAAAGCTGAAATTACCGTGTATTTAGCCCCAGAGGCTAATGTACACGTCCATCTCTGCAGCGATAACAAATCAGGGTAAAATCCCCGAGACCCCCCTAGCCATCAAGGCCCTCGTACAACATGCAGAAGGCTTATTAATTGGCATTCTACGGTACCTGATCGCACTTATACTCCACTTTATAATAATTACCTTGGTTAAGAACTATCTCATGATACCCGGAGTTGTGTTTCGAGCGGACAAGTGAGAGAGGTAGCGCCCACGTAGGCGCCATTTATGCTTGGCTCGTCGGGTTTTCGCGTCTCGGCGATTTGCCTCCGTGTGCGTTTGTCGCCCCGAGGATACCTTGAGACACGTGTGTTGCCAAAGAGGGAATGACTGAAAAAAATTGCCCGGAAAAAAGTGCTATCGACGTCGGGGGGAATTGAGAGGGAAAAATTGTCTCGAATGTATCAGAAGTGGCAGATTTGGCGTGACACTCGGGGCGATTAGGCTCTATGAGCGATTGGAGGTGCTCTGGGTGGGACTCTTACCTGTTGCCACCTCGTGAGCAACTTATCTCGGTGCTTGATCACACGGGGATTTTTTTCTTTTTTTTTTACACTGTTAAGAATTTTTCACTGAAATTTCCGGTAAGGTCTTGGAAATTTTGAACATGTGACGGGTCCAATGAAATTTCAAGGAATTTTATCATTGAAATCATTGAAAATTAATGAAAAATGAGGAAAATGCGGAGAAATCTGCCCTTGAATTCCAGATTCCTTGGAATTTTCAAGGAATTTGTTCAAAAATTCCCTGAATTCCAAGGGTTTAAAATAATTCCCCGGAATTTCAAGGAATTTTGTCATTGAAAATTCGTAATTTCATGGAAAAATTAGCGGGAACCGTAAATTTCAGTTCAATTATTCCCGAAAAATTAATGAAAAGTGAGGAAAATTGGGAGAAATATCTCCTTTAATTCCAGATTCCTCTGAATTTATCGGGAATTCCTTCAAAATTTCCTGGAATTTCAAGAGAATGTGGCAGTGAATATTCATTTCTACTTGAAAATTCATGTAAACTGTTGAATTTTCAGAGCATCTTGAAATTCCATTGACTTTTTCCCTTTAAACATAACCCATTATCATTTTCTATAGCAATTATTCGACATTTCCTACAGGACTTCTTTGACATGAATTTTCTAAGCAATTTTTCACTAGCACAAGCCAAAAACTAATAAAAAGTTCAATAGAAATTGAACAAGATTACCCAGCAAATTCCCAAATTATTAGTCCTGAAAAATTGATAACATTGCATAAAAAATGAAGAATAAAAACCGAAAATTAATTCTATTAATTTCCCTCTCCAACCGGAGAAACCACCAGCATGTACCCCGATAACGGCTTATCCATCGTTCAACTCCAACTGGATTCATATTTTTCAATGGTGTCTCATGACCAGCACCAACGCCTGGTTTATTTATAAAACGATCGATAATTTATTTATCGAAACATACACGCACCGTGCCCCAGCCTACTCTCATTGAGATACGGGAGCATACTCCGAGTTTTGCGAATAATTTCAGTATCGATGGTGGAGCTAGATCGCCTACGAGGACGTGAGCTGAGTATGTTTGAATGATAAAAGCACGAAATGGAGTGCTCAAGTGGGCTGCTTGGGGAATGTTGTCTGGAGTCACTTGACTTTGTCGTATCGTCGAAAACACCACTACCCACTTGAACAACACGACCTGTTGGGGACATTTGTCGAGGTCACATTAACATTTCTGAGGAGAAATTTTCTAGTTTAAAATAAACCATTTTTTATTTCATTTACATCCAGGACTTTTCAACACTGAATTAAATTAATTACATGATATTCAATTCTCTCGTGCGATTCCTCATTTTGCTCATCAATTAATAGATTTATCCTTCAATTAATTTATAGATTAGTTCAAGATATTTAGAAAAAAAAGTCAGAGTGAAATTTTGTCGTTTAAAATAAATAATTTCCAATTCACTTCAATTTATTTCAATCCGCAACGTTTCGACAATGAATTAAATTCATGATGACATAATATTTTATTTTTTCTCATGAATTTATGTATTTTTAATTTAACAAATTTAAGAATTAGCTCGCGATATTCGGCAAAAAATGATGTCTGAGTGAAATTAAATTTTGTAATTGTTTTTTTTCGCTGTTGTATTTTAGAGATAATTTATATCGTCTGACATTGAACTCCCTAACTCCCCTGGAGCACGCGACATGGCCCGCACCCCCCGAAAAAGCCTCCATCTGTCAGGATAAAGGTCAGACCGCCCAGGACTGCCACAACTACATAAAAGTCCTCCTCAGCAATGGAAAGAGCCTCTTCACCTGTGGCACCAATGCCTTCAGCCCGCAATGCACCTGGCGCGAGGTAATTTCATCCGAAACAATTAATCCCCCCCCCCCATAATGCATAAAAAATTGTCTTGAAACACAATGCTGATTCCGGATGATCCCGGATTCGTCCGGGTTTCATTAATTCAGGACCCAAACAGTTTCGATAATTTTTGTTCCCCCTTTGTTTCGGCAGATCGAGAACATTAAGAATGTCACGAGCTCAGACTCCGGCATTGCTATATGCCCGTACTCACCCCAAGCCAATGTCACAGCTCTACTTGCTAGGGGCAATGCTGGACTCTTCGCCGGGGCTCCCACCGATTTTTCGGGAGCTGATGCCGCTATTTATAGGACACTGGCATCGCCCATCTTAAGAACACCCCAATATGAGTCGAGGTTATTGAAAATTTTAAATAACAATATATTATTTTTACATAAAGAATCATTTCACACTGAATTCGTTAATTAATTCGCTCTTTTTGTCCCCTAAACAATAATTTTATTTCTGATTAATGAGGTATTTACGCTTGTCACGTTTGAAAAACTACTCATTTGAGTGAATAAAAATCAAGTTTATGTTTGAATAAAAAGAATTAAAGAGAAGAAGTGCAATGGAAGAATAAAAATCCATTGAATTTCATTCGATAAAATCATACTTCTGAAATGATAAAGTCATAAAATTTTTAACGATTTTTCAAGGTGGCTGAATGACCCCCAGTTTGTCGGCAGTTTTGAAACAGACGATCACGTTTATTTTCTCTTTCGTGAGGTAGCTGTGGAGTACATAAATTGCGGCAAGGTAATAACAATAAAACTCTTGTTATGTCTCAATTATCGAATGATTAAAGGACAATTGGTACGAAAAAACAATATTTCCCCGAAGAAATGCAGGTGAAATCGTGCCTGCGGTTACATTTTTTCCCTTTCATCGTTCATTTCTCCCCGCCCCGATTGTCGAGGGCTGACATCAATTATGTAATTATGCGGTACAATTAACCATGAAAGAGTGAGAGCGTTGGGATAATAATTGTGGGTTGCACAGGTGTGCAACAACGTTTTTCCAAGGAGAATGTAATCTCCCCTGATTCATCTGTTAATTTACTCGGTGAATGAAGAACTGAAGGAAAATCATTTTCACTCAATTTTCCTGTTTCTCAGAAAATTTACTCTCGAATCGCACGAGTCTGCAAGAAAGATCCAGGCTGGCAAACCCTGATGAGAGACACATGGACGACCTTCAGCAAGGCACGACTAAACTGCTCACTTCCCGGTGAATTTCCGTTCTACTACGATGAGATACAAGGAGCAGCTTATAATGCCGAGGAGGGAATCGTATACGCCACCTTCACAACTCCCAGGTACTCCCCCTTCCCCCCCTCCCACAAAAACATAATTCGATTCACAGCTAATCATTCAGCGAATTCTCATCATGAACTCAATTTCTGTTTCTCTGACCTTGCACTCAAATACTTGGGATTAATGATCACGGTAAAAATCATCAGTGAAGTATTTCATGTTCGATGTGCGTCGAATGGTATTTGTCGCATTCACTGCACGATTTACACCCATCGATATCGGTGTTTGCGTCATTCTGCTCATGAAAAATTTCCCCTCTCGTTAAATTTTCGTCACAACCCCTTGAGAATGTGGGCATAAAGCCTGGAATATTCCGAGCACATGAGTAACCGCAGAAAATATGTTTTTCGAACGACAGCAATGCCATCGCAGGCTCGGCCATTTGTGCCTTCAACATGACAGCAATAGCGTCGTCATTTAATGGTCCATTCAAGCATCAAGAGCACTCGGGTGCTGCATGGGAGAAGAAACGAGTGACAAATCATTACCGACAACACTGTGGCTCGCCAGTTAATGTGCCATCCCATCAAATAATGGATAATCAACGATATCAGTTGATGGACGATGCTGTCCAGGGCGTGACCGGGCCCCCACTTTACACTACCACTATGGAGAGATTTACGCACATCGCTGTTGATGTTGTACCGACGAAGCTGCATCGAGGTGTGACGATGCTGTATGTTGCCACTACCGAGGGCCTCATCAAGAAGATTTCTGTTCTACCGAGGACACGCGATACTTGCATTGTGGAGGTGTGGGGACCACTGCCTTCCCCAGCCATTACTCTGCAGTTTCTGAAGGACTCGCTGAGTCTGTATGTTGGGTCGGAAACTGGTCTGTTGAGGTAAGAATACACTCTTTCATCAGTTTCTTAGAATTCATGGACATTTCATGGTAATGTTTGATCGTAAAATATCAGGTTTTTTAAATATCAGTTAAATATCATTGTTTTTTCCAGAAAATTGGAAATTTTCAATCACGAAATTCCTCCAAAAATGAAAACTTCATGTCTGACATTTTGTTTATTTATGTTTATTTATGTTTATTTACATGTTTTTATTCATTCGTTTGCATATTATGCGTTTTGACCCTAATATTCAGTCATTCCTATTTCCATGGGTCGACGCACGTCATCTCCCCCGTACGCGATTAAACAATTCGTCAATTTTCAACGACACAATGAATAATTCCCCCTCGGTAATTCCAGAATCCCCGCATCTCAGTGCCACCGTCACAAGCACCGTGCCACTTGCCTAAACGCCCAAGAGCCCTACTGCGGTTGGAACGAGCACCTGATGAAGTGCGACATAGCCCCACAGGATAATCACCTGGTGAACCATTGGCAGCAGGAGGTGACGCGTTGCCCAGTGTTGACCGACCCAGTGGACGGTGGCTGGAGTGCCTGGGGCCCCTGGGCCCCCTGCCTGCACAGCCCCTCGGCCTCCCCCCACCAGCGCTCCCACCTGCGGCCCAACTTGGACCCCTCGGACCCCCCCTCTGACACCTGTCAGTGTCAGACCCGCGATTGCAACAATCCCCCGGCCCAGAACGGTGGCGCCGCCTGCACGGGCCCAAAAATCAAAGTCTCCAATTGCACAGTTCACGGGGGCTGGACAGCCTGGTCGGCCTGGTCCGCCTGCTCCCAGACCTGTGGTCTAGCCATCAAAACGAGAACGAGAACGTGCACTAATCCTGCGCCGGCCTTCGGCGGTAGAGTCTGCGTGGGCCACGATCACGACGAGATCGTCTGCATCGAGATGCCGCCCTGTCCGACCCCGGCGAAGAGCCAGCCACCTCAGCATGGCCAGTGGTCGTCCTGGGGGGCCTGGGACACCTGCTCCAAGCCCTGCAACGGCGGTACGCGCGTCAGAATTCGCACCTGCGACAAACCGAGCCCCAGGGAGGGGGGGTCCGAGTGCCCTGGCTGCGGCTTTCAGATCGAGGACTGCAACACTCACGTCTGCCCGGAGACGAAGAGATACTCCAGCTGGACTCCCTGGCTACCGACCAATGCCACTGGCCTGCAGGGCGGGGGATACGTGGAGAAACGATTCAGGTTGGAATTTTTTTCTATTTCTTCAGGTCATCCTGGTCACAACTATTTTACACTCAACGCGCGAGAATAAATTCGATGACTTTGATGGAAAATGGAATTTTTTTTAATGGAAAATGGTAAATTAAGTGAATTCTCGCATTTTGAGTTTAAAATTTACCATTTCAGTAGTGAAGCGGTAAACCGAGTTAAGTCGATTTTGACTATTAGCCAGTTTTTGCTGAATATCTCGGAATCTAAGAGAGATAGCAAAATTTTTCTCATGACTTTTTTTATAACGCTCTATTAGCTCTACAAAAAAGGTCATGACAAAAATCTTTCTATCTCTTTTAGATTCCGAGATATTCGTCGAAAACTAGCCAATAGTAAAAAACGACTTAACCCGGTTTACCGCTTCGCTACTGATTTCGACGTTTCCTAATAAAACAAGGGTATTTCAATTTTGCTTTGAAAAACAAGGGTATCTCAACATTCGTGTTAAGGATGTACTACACCCTTTCGGCCAAAATTCACGTTTTTTTCATTTTTCTGGCAAATTATTGATCGGATTGACGCGAAATAATATACCGTTTTTGCGTTTTATTGTTATTGACTGACTCACGAAGTTTCACGGTAGTGCAATCGTTTTCCTGCATTTTTTCTAAAATTTTGTGAATTTCCCAAAAGTTTTAGGAAAAACGCAGAAAAATGATTGCACGATTATGAAATTTCGTGAGTCATTAAGTAATGATAAAACGCAAAAACGGTATATTTTTTCACGTCAATCCGATCAACAATTTGCCAGAAAAATTCAAAAAAGTGAATTTTGGCGAAAAGGGTGTAATACATCCTTAAGACTACGGGATCTCGGAATTCGTATAAAAATTCGTCTGAAACCTCACGTTTTTCTTCGCTTGACAGCTGTATAAATTGTATGAATGTATAAAAAAATTAACATGAAGTACTTCACATTGAACGAGAAATGAAATGCGAGCTCCATGAGACTCAGAAATGGATGTGAACAACGAGCTTTCACATGAATTTTGAGACACCCTTGTTTCAAAAAGAAAATTAAAATACCCTCGTTTTATTAGGAGATGTCGAATTTCGGGCGGTATATTCAGTCCTCATCAAAGGCATTTGATTTGTTGTTCGATAAACAAGTAAAGTTATCTATGGAATTCACTAGATTTTCAATTGAAGACACGAATTGCAATCCATGTCTATCATAAATTACAAAAATTTATAATGTATAAAATTATTATAAATTAGAAAAAAGAGCAAAACAAATAGTATGAACAGTCTTCAGTAAGCAACCTAAACTAAACTAAACTAAAATATCTCGCTATTGATTCAGGTTCAGCTGCAAGGCTCAAACAGACGACCCCAGCAGCGTCAGATCGCAATTAGCAAAGGAGGAGGAGAGGTTCTGCAGGGACAACGGCTCCTGCTCCCGAGTGAACATCAACAATCAGAATCCTGCGGAGGTCGAGGGCTCGTGGTCGGACTGGTCGCCGTGGTACCCCTGCACGAAGAATTGCGGTGGTGGGAAGCAGCACCGGGTCAGGCAGTGCGAGACGCCACCGTGTGAGGGCGCTGGAATGCAGAGTAGAGTGTGCAATGCTCATGTCTGCAGGGAGGACTCAGGTGAGTGGTCCTGCTGGACCGATTGGTCCGAGTGCTCCGTGTCCTGTGGTGTCGGGGTGAGAAGCAGGTGGAGGGAGTGCCTGAGGGGGTCCTGTGCGGGGCCCAGTTTTGCCAGGGAGAGCTGCGAGATGCCCAGCTGCGAGTCCCTGAGGGGGTGGGACACCTGGAGCAAGTGGAGCCACTGCGACGGTGAGGGACAGCAGAGCAGGAGACGGGTTTGCGTGGATTCCCGCGGTGGTGGGTGTGTGGGGAGCAGCAGGGAGACCAGGGACTGCTACGAGGACTGGGAGACTGGGGAGATCTCTTCCAATGCACTCCCCAGGAGTGTCGTGGCTGCTGGGGTGTCTGTTGGGGCTGTTGTGGGGGGCTGCATTGTCGGGTTCCTGGCGGGAGTGGGGCTCGCCGTTGGGGCGGGCTTCGTTTACGTGAAGAAGAGGAAGGTCAGGGTACCTGGCAGCCCTCATTACATCAGCAAGCAGAATCCTTATGTCGCTGTGCCACTCAAAGAGGTGATTTTTGAAGACTGATTTTTTAGCGTGATCTGTTCTCTTTAGAAAATTCGAATTTTTATGGAGTACTTTTTTTCTGGGGGAGAATTTTGGGAGAATATTTTTCCATTGGGGAACTTAATTGGAAAGTTTACAAAAATACTGTAAGGATTTCCAAGAAGTGATGGGGATTTTTTCTGCGGAGAAATTTTTAGTAGATCTCCTAATTTAATTTTCTCTATAGAATTGGAAAAAACATTTTAAAAATATGAAGCTGAAACTAGCGAAAGATTCGACGAGAGAAGATTTGTCTTAGGAGAATTTAGGGGTGTACAATTGTTTTTAAGTAATGTAACTCTTTCGCACTTGAAAAACATTTGTACTTATGATTATTTGACTCTTCTCCACTTGAATATCCCCTAAATTGTCGCCTCTTCGATATTAAAAAATGAATGTAATATCAGTGCTGCTTCCAGGTGAACGCCAAGAGAGCACCGAGTTTCTCAGGATCTAGAGATATAAACGGAACGCTGAGGACCAAGCCAAATCCAAATGTCAATGGTCTCGGCAGTCCAAAATTGTACCCAAAGGCCCTGGATTACGACTCAGCGACCCTCAAACGCAACAGCCATGGACAACAGCACATTCGTGCGGATTTGGATCAAGAAAAGTATTACTGAGATAAGATTTTTCTCAATGATCAAACTCGACTGATACTTAACTAGGGTAAACGAGGGGGTCAAGTGACATTGACCAGTGTAAAATTAAATTCAATGGTAACTGCAATTAATTTTACGAGAGCCTGAGAATTGTCGGTGAATTGTTGATGCTAACGAGTGATTCCGTGGCCTTGTTATTTTATTTTTTATTACGGTAGATATTTGTTTGTATCGATGATGTAAGTTGCTCAATGGGGGAACTCTTAACTTCGCAATTCAATGGTCTCAACATAGAAAAGTTAAATTTTATGAAATTGTTCATTAAGAAGAAATGAAATAGGAGAATTGAATGGAAAATGAATATTTTTATTGAATATTTTTCATTCAATAATTATATCGAACAGAAAAAAATATGTTCAACATTGCGAAGTCTCGAAAAAGAGTTCGAAGACAGTCGTCTTTATTTTTTATCACGAATTTGAGAGTTTATTTTTATTTTTTAAATATAAATGAGAGTGAGAATCGACTAATCATGCAGCTTGGTTGGGCATTTTGAGTGTCAATTGTATAAAGCTTTATGCACTTACAAATATCCAATTAACAATTTATTTTCTTGAGAACATTACTTCGCTGGGAAGCTCATGATGACAATGCCAACCCCCAAAAACTGTAAATACAACTATCGTCTAGGAGAAAATAACGAGATAAATGTATTTTTTCGAGATTATTTTAATTAACATTAACCGAAATGTGACGTAGTGCCATGATGCATATGTACATAGAAATACGTAAACAAATTTTATGTATCATTAAGTGATAGCTTTTTAGCGTAAGTACACCAGAAAATTGTATCGAATGTTGCATGCATTCGTTTTATCCCATTCTGACTCACATTGAGTCAAAATACTTTATACTGAGGAGTTTCTACGATTTCAGAACAATCAATTGAATTTACCGAATGCATTTTACCTTGCCTATTCACACGACTTTTCGCATATCAAAAAATCCCCTCCAATAATTTTTTCATTAATTTTCAATTCAGATACTGTTACTGCGTTTCGTACCATTAGTCTGTTTTAAATACGTTTTTTATTTACCAGTGAAATTATTTACTGAGAACATTAATCCATGTACAAAGTTATAGCGACCTGAGGAGATAATAAATCGCATTTACAATAATTTTTTTCTTGTTTTTCTTCAATAATATCTTCACCACTTTTGGAATGCTGTTATCTGTATTCATTATATATTCGCGGGAAAATATTTAATGGAAAACAATTCATAGATTTAGATTTTTCTAGACAAATTATTCAATTAAATTGAATTTTATCATTTTTTACTGGAATTTTTTAAAAGAAGAATTTAAAGTAACATAAAAAAAGGAAAATTCATGTAAAAAAAAATTACTGAAGAAAATATCGTATCAGAATGAATTGTAGGAAAGAATAAAATATTAAAATGAAATTCCAAGGGAAATCGAATAGAATTTCCTGACGAATGCAAAAGCGCAATTTCGTTTTTCCCCTGCCTCATCTTCACAGTTTTTCCCCAATCCTCTCGATCTCCTGAACGACGAAGTCCATTGATTGATGGGTGGGAGGTGGCTGGCAGCTGACGACCATCCTGAAGAAATTTCCAAGCTTCTTCTGACCCATCGGAGTGTACCCAATCATGAGTGTTCCCTCCAGCACCAGCAGCTCCTTGATTTCCCTCGTGATATTGTACAATTTCTGCCACCAGTCTGGGGTCTCCTCCTGCGTCCTCATGCTGGGGGGGACGTACCAGAAGCAGACGGTGTTTCCCTCGAATTTGGGGAAGACGAGACGAAAGCCCTTTCGGCTTTGAATTTTTTGTAAGAAGTAGTCGGCTGTCTCCATCGCGGTGTCTACCGAGGCTGCGAGACCTTTCGTGCCTCTGGCTCTCCACATTAGCCATAGTTTCACTGCATCCACCTGTAATATAATATTTGTGTTAAATTTCTACTGAATTCTTACTGATTTTTGGCCGATTCCATTGAAAAAATCCACTGCATTCCTATTTTTTTTAATTTCCCTTGAAAGTAAATCTAATAAATCGTTAGATAATATCAACATTAATGGTAATTTATATAAATTTTTCTATTAATAAATAGATTTTGAAAATGAGGAATTTCAGGAGAAAATGACAAAGAAATTCTTTAAAAAAAAATTCTTTCAGGCAAAAAAAATTGATATTCTGTCAAAGAAATAATTACAATCGTCTTGAATTGATTTTATTTATTTTTAATTTAGTCATGTATTTACCTTCCTCCCACACTGCACACTCTTATCCCCAGTGTCCCAGGAGACATCGTAGAACTTGTCCTGTTGAAAGAGATACGTAGCCCCCGCGCAATTGGCCTCGTGAAGCAGATTCCTCGCGTTTACCAAAAATATCGAGCACTGGAAAGGTGTGCCCAGCATCTTATGTGGATTCCACGATATTGAATTCGACCTGAAACCCCGCATTGAGTATAATCTCTTGTCACTGGAATTTTTCATATCAAATAGAGGAGAATGCGTGTACATACTTTTCGATTCCTTTCAGTCGTTTTCTATATTTGGCGGAGAGGAGCAGTGCGCCCCCGAGACATGCCTGAAAATGTCACAAATATGACGATTCGCTCCATTCAAGTGATTCATTCCTCATTCATTCATTCGCTCATTCATTCATTCGGTTTTTCCCAATAAATTTCGAATTAACGAACATCGACGTGCAGCCACAGTTCCTCTTCCTCGCAAATCCCTGCGATCTCCTCGAGGGGGTCTATGGATCCTAGTACAGTAGTCCCCGCAGTGGCATTAACAAAAAAGGGAACAAATCCTTTCTCCCGCGCCTCCTTTACGGCCCTCCTGAGATCCTCGGGATCCATTCGCCCGAAGGAATCAGTTTTCACCTGAAAATTACAGAATTTATGGGAAAAAATATGTGGACCCCGGGAGCTTTCCGGCCTATATTTCTTTTGTTAAATTTCTGAACATTTTTCCTGTTTTGTTTTCTCTAATTTAAGATATTATTTCACGTTATTTACAGACGAAGTTTCATAGAAATATCTCACTCATTCGCTAAAGAATTCCAATTCTATTAAAAAATGCTTATTTGCGCGTTCTTTTTCAATAAAAAATGGTTAATGTAAAATATTAAACATTATTTTTATTATGTTCTATAATAAAAATCAATAAAAATGCGATTTTTATCATAACTCATTGAATTAAGATATTTTCTGTAGAAATTTCGCAGCTCAAATTTTTATCATATTTTTTAAAGTTTTGTTTTGTTGTTTGAATTTTTAATGAGAAAATGGAGAAAATGAAGTAGAAAAAAATAGGAAAATTCATGTCGAGGAATTCCTCTAGAAAAAATTATATAGAAATATGAAACTGACTATTTTTTTCTGTAAAATTTTTTCTATTGTTCATTTTCTATAAAAAAAATGCGTATAAAGCTGCGAAATTCTTCAATAGAATTTGTCAAAAACTAATATTATTGTCAATAAAAATCCAAAAGAATTTTCTAGTGAATTCACGAAGAGAAAAAAATAGAAACAAAAACCGCAATTTTTTTTTCGGGAGAAATATAGCCCTAGACTCATTCTCGTAAAATCGGCGTGGATTTCACTGGATTTGTTGGCGGAAGGATCAGGAGAGCGTGAGAGGTGGGTTAAAATACGAAAAGCTCACATTGTAAACACTCTCAGTACCGAATCCGAGCCAATGAGCTCCTTTGTGGACGGAGTAGTGGCCCAATTCACTGGAGAACAGCGCGAGAGGTGGTAATCCACTCAGGCCCTTTGTCTTTACTTGTGGCATTCGCTTGTAACGCGCTAAGATCATTCCGTACATGTTGGAGATACTTCCACCTGGACAGAGAATTCCGTCGGCGTTGGGGAAGGCTGAGTAGTTTACCAGGGACAGAGCTTTGTCGAGAACTTCACGCTCGAGGAGCATGAATACGGGAGCTACTTCGTAAGTATATCTAGAAGTAAGTGGATTTGTGAAGGGATGAAGCGGAAATTCATTCCGTGTTGTACATGTGTTGCATTGTGAGACTTTTTTCATTTTTTTTTCTCTGCATTTTCAAATGAAATTGAATTTACACTTTTTTTTATTGCGCCTTTTTTTTGAGGATCTAAATTTCGATTTATAAAAAATAAATGTCGTCTCCAATTCATTTTGGTATATTTATCGAAATTTTTCATGAATAAAATTCGGCCACTCAATGTGAGGGAAAAGTTCTATGAAATTCGAAATTTTTGGACAGCGGAGAGATGGGAATTCTTGAAATTACTTAAGTTACCAATGCAAATGTGAATATTCAGGACGAAATTATCATGAAGTTTTAATCAATTTAATGTTCAAGAATATATTCATCTGAATTTTCCTGATTTTTGTCAATTTTAGAGGAATAATTAAACTGAAATTCAGTTTTAATTGATTTTTTAATAAAATTTTCAATTTGCAATGATGGAATTCCTTCAAATTTCAATGAAACTATAACTTGATTAAAAACTTCAAGAAGTAAAATTTTTTATAATACCGTTTTCTGAAAAAAATCTTTTCAATTTATTTTTAAGTAAATGAAAACAATCTCTTCGACTTTAAATGAATGCAATCTTTTCGTTGATTAAGAAAAATGATTTCAAAATAAAATAGTAACAAAATTATTTACTGGCTCGTATTAAGGCTCTCTGATATCCAAGCCCCCGCGAGTCCATACCCATCGACACCCGCGTACAGCTGATTATGAAAGTGTGGATTGGACGTCTTCACCGAGTACCTAACAATATCCCTCATCGCCTTCTTGATCTCCTCCGAAGAGGCTCCATCGTCCCTCAAGGCGACGTCGATTTTATCCTAAAAACAATTTAAAAAACAGTTTCGTCGTTTCAAAACATGAGAAACGAGGTATCATTCATGGACGAATGTTCCGCACGACCCAGATTAGAAAGTTGACGTTGCCTTTCTCGTCTGGTGGATTTCAGAAATAATGCAAACTGGAGCAGCCAGTGATCGATGATTCCGAGTGACTGAAAAAATTCGTGGAGAGAGGGGGTCTTTATCAGACTCTAGTACTCGTTACGTTCAGTATTGATAACGTCAAGTCGTGTGTTTTATTTTTGTCGAGTTGATTATTGTGTTGCGTAAAATCGTAAGTTTCCGCAATAAAAAAAATTGTAAACAGCAGAACAATCAAAAAATAAATTCACAAAAGCCAAAATAAATGATTAAGATCCATGAAATTAATTAACTCCATTTAATTCTTATGTTTACAGATAAAATAACTAATTTGATCGATAAAAACCCATCAAACATGAACGGGAAATCTGCCTCATTCGTATGTTTACACATAAAATGACAAATCTGATTGACAAAAACTAATAAAATACAAAAGGGAAATTTTAAAAGGATGAAGTCTTGTTTTTTGATTAGAAAATTCACCTGCAATTCCTTCGGATGTAAGAATTCAACCACTGGGTACTTCCCCGTGGTGTCAAACACATGTTCTTGCTTAAAAATTTCCACCACTTCCTCGAGAACATTCAGAATCTGATCGGCACTTGCTGTGGCCATAGCGACGCGCGTACTGTCGCTCCCGACGTACGGAGAGCGCGGAGGAGTGCCCGGTGGTCCCCACTTGGGTCCCACGGATTTCACAGTGTCTCATCCGGTATTCGGTCGTGTCTGTATCGCACATACAACACGCTCCACGATTTTGATGTCATTGAACTATCTCAGGATTATTTTCAGCCGATTTTCGGCGATAATTGATCGCGGGACTGATCCGCAGAAATTTTAGAGATTGAAAAATCAAGATTTTTAATTTTTTCTAGTAAAAATGATGAAAATCGCCGAAATAAATCAATTTTTATCTTAAAATTTGATGAATTCGAGTCTAAAATCAATTTAATTGATGAATTAGAAAAAAATTGAGTGATAAGAATAATTTTGAAGAATAGAAATTTAAAGTAGGGACACAGGTGTGACAAAATTGTAGAATCATTAGGCTGAAGAAAATTTAAAATGCAATATATTCCCAAAATTCAGTGATTTTGGTAAAAAATTGACTGAAGGAAGAAAAAAAATGATAATTATGCAAATTCCGTCTCAATAATTCCCATATTTACCTCATCCATTCCCAAACGTATTAATTCGGTCACCAAAAGTAGAAAAAAATAGCAATTGAACGGTTACTTGATTAATAACTTTTTAACAGAGTGACAAAAAAATTATGAAATTCCTAATTTAACTGAAAATTCAGTGGAATTCTCTGTTTTTGAGCCGCTGGAAGGCAAAAATTCCCCAACTTGCTTGAATATTCAATCAAAACGTGAACATTTAGTACCAAATTGCGCAGAATTTTCCTGGTTTCTATTAATTTTCGACAATTTCCATTGATTTTCATTGAATTTTTAATTTTCAATGACAAAATTCCTTGAAATTTCGTTATCCCACAATTAATATGATAAAAATTCTCACGAATTGCACCGGAATTTCACCCAAAAAATACCAACAATGAACTCTCAACGACTTTTAGAATAGCATTTATTCGAGACCTCAGTGGAATTACACAAAAAATCGTAATTTCAGTGAATAAAAAAGCTGTACGTCATCCCTGATTTCCAGCCGCGATGACCCCAAGCCGTCTGTCCGATAAGCCGTGCCCCGTCAGAACGAAATTAAGTAAATCAACTCCGCCGATAGACCGACAGTAGCGAACCGTGAACTTTGGCTTGATATTCGTTGAGAAAAGTGAGGCGCCTTCAGCCGAGCACATCGACGGGAATTCTCGGTGAGAGGCCCTTCATGGAGGCCCACTGGCCCTCGCAAAGATCGTAGAAAGATAATTCGGCGACTAATTTTCCCCCGAGAGTCCCCGGGCCCCGGCATATGGCGCCGGCCCCGGACTCCCAGAAATTTCCACGGCCATTGGCAGTCGCATTTACCCGCGACAGATACATCTTCCTCAGCCACATCGCTAAATACGCTGCGTGACAGTCGCAATGCCAGGGGTTACGGGCGAGACGCAGTTGTTGGATTATCGGGACACTGTCCAAGAAACGAACCGGCAAGTGTTGGAGATGATTACCCTCTAGTTGTCTGCGGGATAATTTTCTTAATTAATGCGGATATATCGGGAATTTTATTGCTGTTGGGGGTAGAGTACAAATGAGAATGATTTCTGGAGTTGATTGAAAGCCTGAGAAGGGGAATTTGAATTAAAATTTTTTGTGATTATAATTGTTTACGAAAAAATCCAATAGATGTTCCTTTTTTGTGGGATAATTTTCTTAATTAATGCGGATGTCTCGGGAATTTTATTGCTGCTGGGGGTAGAGTACAAATGAGAATGATTTCTGGAGTTTATTGAAAGCCTGAGAAGGGGAATTTGAATTAAAATTTTTTGTGATTATAATTGTTTACGAAAAAATCCAATAGATGTTCATTTTTTGTGGGATAATTTTCTTAATTAATGCGGATGTCTCGGGAATTTTATTGCTGCTGGGGGTAGAGTACAAATGAGAATGATCTGTGGAGTTTATTGAAAGCCTGGAAAGGGGAGTTTGAATCAAAATTTTTTTTGATTATAATTATTTATGAAAAAAGTCAATAGAGCTTTATTTTTTTAGGGAGGACTTATTAAGAATTTATCAACATGAATTTTCCTGGATTTTTCTCATGGAATTTTTTGAAATAAAAAACAGGAAAAAATTTAAAAAAATTACAAGAGAATCATTTAAGCATAAAAATGAAGATCTACTGAATTCTTTCAGTTAGATGCATGCGCATGTGAAAGTGTTTTTAAAAATCCTCACAATTTCTTCAAATTCGGAGTGTCTTTGAGAACATCAGGCTGCAGGTACCGAATCCTGTTAGAATGTAAAAACAGTGAAGTTAGATTGTGAAGTCCCTGAAAATCCCCATCGACCAAAGTTTCAATGGCGTTTGCATAGAGAACCAAGTGCTGCAGCGAGGGAGTCCTCAGGAAAATTCCCTTGGGAAATGTCTTTATGTGATTGCGACCCAGGCGAAGTTCTCGGAGAGCAGTGAGACCTCGAAATGCGTCTCTGTCCATCTGAATGAACGACACCAGTTGAGGAACTACTTTTTCCTCGTTCTCTTATATTTCACGCACGAAAAAATTTCACAGAAAAACCTAGTGAATGCGCTAGCCGATTCTATTCAATTTTTTTTCTATTGAAAATTCTTTTATTTATTGGCTGACTGTATTGAATTATTCCGCACCATTACCACATTTTTTTTCAATAGAAAATGTCCAATAGAAACTATTTTACGGAAAAAATTACTAGAATTTCATTTTCTTGTACAAATTTTTCTATTCCCAATAGTTCCCAATTTTTTAAAATTCTATTATTGTTCTCTTTTCATTCAAGAAATTTAACGAGAAAACTAGAAAAATTTGAGCCGACGAATTTCTAGAAAAAATGTCTCAAACGAATTATTTGTGTGAAAAAATCTAATTCTATTGAAAAAAAAATTTCTACCGAATTTCCTAGGTTTTTCAGTGAATTTTTCCGCGCGTATTACCTTTGATATTAAGTTACTGGAGAGATCTAAGCTCGTCAAACGTTCCAGCCGGCTGAATAAATTCGACGGGAGTGAGACGAGTCTGTTGTCTCTCACGTTTAGCTCCACGAGATTAATTTGCGAGTCTAAAAGTCCAACTGGGAGATCCCGGAGACGATTCTCTTCCAGTCTGATGCACTTGAGGCTGACGAGATCCCTCAGTGCGTTCACATCGAGATGTGAGAGGTGGTTCTTCGCGAAAAGGAGATCCTCGAGGTTTCGTAAACCGTGGAAAATTCCCTTTGGAAGTGTTGTTATGCGGTTTGACGATACATCGAGGAGGTAGAGAACTGTGTTTGTTATAAAGAGACCGTCTGGGAGGTTGAGAAGTTTATTGGATGATAAATCACTAGAATTTTCAGTACCAATTCATGTTAAATTCAATAGAAAAAAGGCAAATCGATTTTTTTTTGCGTAATTTATTTCCTCCAGATTTTTTTATTCTTCTTTTGCTTCATTACAAAATTTAAGAAATAAAAATCGGAAGATTCATTCTCAAGAATATAACTAGAATTTTTTAATTTATTGATAATAAAGAATAAATAAATAAAATATTTCCGTAATGGATAAAATTCCATTTCACCATTTGAAGATGAATCACTGGAATATTTAGTGTAAAGTTGGTCTTAAATTCATTTTAAAAAAAGGCAATTGATTTTGATTTTTCGATGTGATTTATTCGCTTGAAAATTTTTTAATCGAAATTTTCGGACGTCAATTTTTCAATTTTTGGCTGCAGTATTCTTTTTCATGTCAAAATTCGGAAGAAAAAAAATTGAGCGATTGATTCCCAAGAATTCTATCGATAACAAATTGTTTATTCATCGATAATAGCTAAAAAACAATTCAAATATGTATCGAAAGGATAAAATTCTATTCAATGTTCTCCACTCACAGAATCTGAAGATTCCTCATCCTCAGCAATTGACTCTGATGCAAATCCCTCAACAAATTCTTGCTCAACTTCAAACTAGTGACACTATGGAGTGAGTAGAAAATACTCAAAGGGAGGTGCTCGATCATATTATTACTGAGATCCCTGAAATGATATTCAAAAAAATTCATGAGTCGATGCACTGATATGGGGAGTACAATTGGATACCAACAGATCTCGCAGGTGGGTCAGATCCTGAAAGGTGTCCCTGTGGAGGGCACTCAACTCGTTGCTCCCCAGATCACTGGAACAAGAGGAAATCGCCTATTTTAGATCGATAAACCCGGAGGATTACACATCCCTCACATTTTCAGGGTGTCCTGAGGCACTAGTTGAGCCGGTGGTACGTCTATCAGTTCTAATCTCCAACAGGAAATGGATTTCGTCTCGGGTCGACACTTGCAGGGGCCCTCCGCGCATATTTCCCAGTCCCCAGACCATCCCCTGATCTCCCAAACTATTCAAAGTCGAAATAAAAATGATAATTCAATGAAAAAATCACGTGAAATGATTTACTTTCAAAAATTCTATTCATTTCCCAAAAAAAAATTCTTTTCTACATTTTTTACGAGAATCCCTCTCTATAAAAATGAAATAATGAATAAAGAGTGAAGAAATAATGAGGAAATAATGAGAAAAAAACGACTGAAGAGTTGAAATTTATGAAAAAAAAATTCAGAGAAAAAAATTAATTTCAATTAAATCTATTTATGATTATTTTGACATCTGCAATTGTTTACCAGGTTGCTCCATAGCTCTGAGCCTCCTCTCCAGTCTCGAGACCCTGCTCTCGACATCCTCGAGATTGACATTGGCCCCAGAGGCCTGTGAACTGCAATCGAGACAGGCCCTGAGTATCTCCGGACCCACAGTGACCCCCCAAAGGATAGAAAATATCAACAATTCGAAGAAACTTGTGAATAGTCCTCCTCTCGACATCGTTCGGTCTGTACTGAACCCCAGACGCCAGTCCCGAGTGCTGAGCATCCTCATTAAGTTATTAATTCATGCTGCAAATACTCAATGTGTTTATTGTTCGGCAATTAGTCTCAGTGTACACTGGTGAGGGGTAAACAATAACAAAAATATGAGACAACATCAATTGAAGCAAATTCTTCCGATTAAGGGGGCTGGACGGTTAAAATGACATTAAAGGGAATGCGGAAGGGGATCGGAAAAATTTTAGAAAGGTTTTTTCTGGGATTTGGGGAGGATTTTTAAGAATTAATTTATCGAATTAATTTTTTATGATTTGTTGCTGGTGTTTCTTCATTTCAAATACTGCAATTATTTGATTGGATATTTTCTGAATGTGTCTGGATGAGAAAACGGGAATAATACTGGGAGGAATAACAAAGTATGCATTGTAATGCAGAATTTAATCAATAAATTTCTCATCTACATTGATTTGTTTATAATTACACAAGGAATTAGCTGAGATATACATGGGCGGAAGGTGCAGGTGGTACAGAGAGTTGTGTGTAATGAGGAGTCGTTTTCCATTTTTCGAGTCCAGTTCAAACGCATTGGCCTTTGTTCTTAAGGGCGTATTCTGGAAAAAATTCATGGGAATTAGATAAATCGCAGTTTTGGGTTTATTCAATCTGATAAATATTCGTAGAAAACGCTAGTGGAGGAGTGGATTTTTTTTGAGAATTAGGAAATTCATTCAAACAATGAAATTCTACTGATTTTCACTGTAAAATAATTTCTGTTGGACATTTTCTACAGAAAAACGCGCAATGGATTTTTTTTATCGCATCGGTAGGTTTTTCTATGATTTTTTTTCTGCACGACTCACTGGTTCCCATTTCGCAGTTCTCAATTTCCATGTGGCAGGTGGTGTCGAACGTCTTTGGCTTGAGAGTTGGGTTTGTTGGGTCGTGGGCGCAGATCGGATCGCGGGCTGGGCACTGTTTGGCGCACTTCTTCTTAGCGTCCTTCTGGGCCTTGGCGTCCTTAACGGTTGCGGTGCCGTCCTTAGCCTTGGTGTCCTTCGCCTTGTCCATGTCTGATGGCGAGGCGTATGCATCTTGGCACAGGGCGAGGACGCATACTGTCACTAGAGCTGGAAGTATAACGCCGCGATGGTACATGAATTCTATCAATTCGCGATTTTAAGCGGAAAATCAATTTTGATAGGGTAAAATGGGTAAAAATAAAAAACTATTTCCAAATGTCAGTCATTTAAAATTTAATGAAGGAAATTCGACGATTTTTCTTCCATTTGAAAGCCTTTTTTCACAATTAGACACATGAATTAATTCATCCAGATGGTGTTAAGTGAAATGAGAAGAGATGACTAGATTTTAAAAGATTTTTTTTTAATTCACTGTCCTCTTTCAATTCCGAAATACTCAGTAAAAACTAAATTTTGAAATTAGAAAAAATAAACTAGTCTCGAACGTCAATAATTAAAAATTGACTGAACGATTTGACTCAATGATTTTTCTTCATTTCGAAGATATTTTTTCAAACTTGAACATAAGAATAAATTTATTCAGATGGTGTTAAGTGAAATGAGAACGATTTAAAGGGATGACTAATCCATTCACTATCTTCTTTCAATCCTGAAATATTCAGAAAAAACAGAATTTTAAAATTACAAAAAAATTAACAACTTTCAGATGTTAATAATTCGAAATTGACTGCATAAAGTCCAACGAATTTTCCTTCATTTCGTAAAAATAAAAATTAATTAATCCAGATGGTATTAAGCGAAATGAGAAGAATTTGAAAGAATGGTCACTCTTCCTCAAAAATCATCCCGAAAATAAAAATAAAAATAAAAATAAAAATAAAATAAACCGTCAAATCCCTTCGGAAAAAACTCACCGAGTGCGATAATTGGCTTCATCCTCGATAAATGCGTGACTATCTTCAACAAGAGAACAGTGTTATCAGCTGTGTGTCAAAGACGACTGAATACCCCACGTCTGACCCGGGACATTTATAAAGGCAATTGATGAATTGCGTGTGTGCCCTCCCCCCACCTGAGAGGGACAAAAAACCTGAACGGTTTCGTGGCTCGACAAACGCAACGTATGACCGGTGAATACTGGTGACAGAGTTCATCTAATTCTTCGCCTCTCAAACATGACCTGGTATTATCAGTTCGCCAATTTGTTCTGCATCATTCAGTCGAAATTACAACACGTGATTGAATCATTCGCTTGTAAAACGACAACATTCGTGACCTGCACGGTCGCACGCACCGAGGCCTCAATTAATTTTCTTATTATTCCTCAGAATAATAAAAAATCAATTGGGGAAAAAATTAATTAAAAATTCCGTAACAGCCGTAAAAGTGAGATGAAAACCTGAAAACGCGGAAAAATGCGGAGGAAAATTAATCTTTTTTCTTGCGAATGAAGCTCTAATTTTTACGTGACGCCATAAAAATCTGCGCGGAGAACAGTGAGAGCCGTAAAATTCGGGAGATTGGTTTATTCGAGCGTCAACAATTGCAAAGGGTCAACGATATTCCGCCGCGGAAACGTATCCTCATTCAATCCGGCAAATTGCCATAACTCACTCTATTTAACATAACACAAAGTGGTACTTGACTTTGCATACCGTAATAACAATCACAGTAATACTCTTCACTTTAAACTTACCACTGAAAAATTAAGATTTCAGAGTGATTCAATCACGCACTGGGTGACCCAGATCTTCTTCTTTGACAAGCGGAAGTGGGGTTCGACTCTCATCCTGTTGCGTTCACTGTCAGTTTCTCATCAATTTTGTTCAATTAAATGGGTTTGCTAAGTGATAACACAACAGTAAAATCCCAATTTCGCGTATTCTAGCAATTCTCTATTTCTTTTTGTAGGCAATTCCCTCGACTATAAAAAATGTATTGTTACGTTTTCGTTTGAAATATTAATTTTAGAGATGAATGCCGAGTCGATTGTCGGAAAAATTGTCAGCCTTAAAAAAATCGTAATGTCGGAGTAAAAATGCGAAATAACGCCACACAGTCGATTTTTCACACGAAGAAATTCAATAGAAAATTTTCAATTCAATAAAAAGTTTATTAAAATTTTAATTTACAAAATTATTTGTTGTTTGCCGATGTCTAGTGAATATTATGGGCTTTTGTCGTGCGTTTTTTACATTTATTCAAAGCTTAATTCACCTAAAAAAACAGATAAAACATTGTATAATTTCACTAATGAATAAACTCCTAATGAATTTTCCACTTGAAATTTTTGTATTTTCTCACTTACATTTTTAATAAATAAAAAATTACAAAGTCTCATGACGAATAAATGAGCAAATAAATAGATGAGTAGTTCGAAAAATGATGAGACCACTTAAAACTCTCGCCCTCCTTAAAGCTACGTATCTACATAATTCTTTTCAATTTCCCTGCTTTCTTCATCAGCATAGCTATTAAAAAGTTTGACATAATCACTCCACGAGTCTCCAGCCCCCAAAAGTCTCCTCATCCTGCAAGTGACACTCGCGCATTCTTCGTCAGAATGTTCACCACCTCCATTAGCATTCTCATGTTTCTCAATGGCCTCATGCACCGCAGCAGTGAGTAAATTCATCCGCTCCACGTTCGAGTCATCTAAAGAAACCGAGAGAAAAAATCCCCAAGTGAATAATGAGACATCTCTCACGTGAACGATTTTCCCTGTTTTTTCAATTAATCAAAAACCTTCGGATAATTGACGGATATCACCAGCTCAAACTGGTCTGCACTTACACGTAACGAGCCTACGGCCCTCATCATCCGCGTCATCCTTATCGCTCTTCATCTCCAGTTTTGGTATGAACAGGAGAAGGCAGATTATTGCTATGAATTTGACGATTAATTTGAAGATTACTAGCTTGAGGATGATTTTGGCGATTGTGAAGGCGTTCAATTTGATCGCCAGCGGCCAGGCCAAGTCGATGCTGGGGAGGGCGGGGAGCTGGGGCAATTCCGGAAGGGCGTAACCACTCCAGCCTTGATTAGAAAAATCAAACAACGTAAATTATTTCAACGAAGCAAGTAAATAAACATGTACAAAAATTTTTACAGAGAAAATCCCTAGAATTTCATTTTTGAATCAATTTTCTAATTCTCAAAAAAAATCTATTCATTTTTTTTCATATAATATTTTCCACTCAACATTTATATTGAAAAAAGGCAATCGATCTGAAACTAATGGAAAATTTAAAAGAAATGCAGTAGAATTTTCCAGCGCACCCGTCAGATTTCAGGCGATTATTCACCTCAATTTTGAGATCCCCTTTCAACGGAAATTTTAAGGTGCCCTCGTCATATCATAAAAATAAAATTGTAAAGCCCTAGTTTTATTCAGCAACATCTCTATGCTAACAAAAATAAAAATACGCTACCTCGCGCCTCACCTTGCTGGCTCTGCACAGATCCATATTGAGGAGGTCCATAACTCCCCGAAGGAGGTCCATAACTCCCTGAAGGAGGTCCATAACTCCCCGAAGGAGGTCCATACCCCCCACCCGGAGGTCCATAGCTCCCACTGGGCCCTCCAAACTGACCCTGAGCCTGCGCCCCGCTGCCATAAGCATTCTGCTCCCCAAACCTCACATTCTGGACCGGAAGTGAGTACGAAGAGCTCGGGGTGGGGACGAAAGTCTCGGCCGTGGGGGCCCCGTAGGCTATCCGGGGGGTTTTGACGGGCGCGGAGAGCCCATTCGGCGCCCCATACTCGCCGGCAGGCCGGTATATCGGCCCCTCATAATTCCTCCTGATCAGTTTCAACCCCTTCGGCTTCTCCAGACGCACCACCTGATGCTTCTTGCTGTGCGAGTGCTCCAGGGCGTCCAGATAGCTGTCCTTCGCCAGCTTCACCGGCTTCTCCGTGTTCGTCCTGTACTCCGGGTACACCGGATACACCTTCGGAATTTCCGTCGAAGTGCCCGATATTTTCGGCAGTTCCACGTCCTCCGATCTCGCCTCCAGCCCGGGGGTCGTCGTTTTTTCTATTTTAGGTTAAGGTTTTTCTATTTTAATTCTTCATAAAAATTTCCATATAAATTAAGTTCCTATAGAAAAAATTATCAAATTATCAATTATCAAAATTGTCAATTATCAAATTATCACATATTTTTCATGTTTGAATTTGAGGGAAAAAAGTGAAGGGAATTCAGTAGAATTTCGCAATAAAAAAAAGTTGGTAGAATTTTCTTGACGTTTTACAGGATTATCATGTGCGAAAATCATAGAATGTTAAATTTTTATAGAAAAAAAATCTGTAGGAGAATTTTTTATCGGACAGAATTTCTCAATTCACAAATCGAATCCCAATTCAATTTTTTAAATAATTTCAATTCTTCACAAAAATTTCTATAAAAATTAAGTTCCTATAGAAAAAATTATTTTTAAAAATGCTATGCACGAACCCCCGCTGTTGTGGGTAGACGGGAGTGTCGACGTCTCCATTGACCCAGCCACACTGATCCCGATGAGTAGAACCAGTGCCGGCGCTATCGGCCATCCAGATCGGTCCGGCATTGTTTAGGGCTTCTCGGATACCCCTGGAAATTGATTTGTATAGGCGCTAATTGCTTGTGTACTCATTTCGCGGGGAGTTATGGGCCCAGTGGAATGAGCGGAGACGCGAGGTGACTCAGAAGCAATCAAGAGGAGTTTACTCGGTGAATACAGGATGAGGGAGTGAGCCGCATAGTAATGAGTAACGGGGTTTGCCCTTATGGAGAGGTTTTTCCAAAGGGGTCATGAATTCAGTAATTAACATTTTTTTAATAAATGCATTGTTTCCTAAATAAATTAGTTCAAAAGTTAGACAACTGAATGCATAAAACAATGATTGAGAGTTGAATGAATTTATTACTGATGTTGCATGCGTGAGGTACATAATTTCAAATAATATCTTTCCATTAAATATTTAAATAATTTTTTTTATCAGAGATACGTTGATAAGAATATTCTCCCATTTTTTTAAAATTGGGATATCGTCGAATGAAGTCAATCAATTAATTTTTTTCGATAAGTTTTTGGGGGAATTAAAGCGAGAGATGAAAAACTCACGTGAGAAATTATTTTTTCGTCCGTTTTATCACTAATAATCCACTGATTGTGTCAATAATCCACAGCACTGGGTTGAAAAAGGCGGAAATTCGTTAGGAAGTGATATTGACTCGTCACCACTCGTCGATATACGAATGAGAAATAAAAAATTCGATTCGCTCGTCAGGTATATATATACCGGCAGCCTTGGAGGGGCTAACGCCGGGGATTTACTGGGTTACTGCCCCGAATGTTATTGTCATCGGACCATCATGATCATCGCAACTCGAATACAATAAAAATCAAGAGTTTAATTTTCTGATTTCATTCATTCATTCATTTATCTATTTGTCAGTGTAATAATTAAACTATTAAAATTGCCCTTTATTTTATGTTTACTAAAATTATTAATTTATCGAGAGGTGATTATTTGTTTCTGGCAAATGTATCTCTGTTATTTTAATTGTTTAAATTTAGCGGAGGGAATTAATTGAGTAATTGTGAAATTCCGAATGCGAAAGTGGTGAATAAAAATCAAAGACATTTAAGGCGCAGTCGCATTATTATGTACTACGAGTACTTGCGATAACGGTCCAATCCACCCACGATGTGTTTGATCCAATGGCCCACTTACCTTCATCAATAATGGTCTTCGCTTAATTCTACGAACACCTTGTGCTATTATCCCCATCACCCAATTGAGAAAAAATATCGAAAATCCCAATTTCCGAAATTTTTTAGGACTCTAAAAATTTTCACCTCGATTTCAGGATTGAAAATGATGAATTATTTTTGGCGTTTCAGCTGTCACTTTCAATTCCATCGACTTGTCCATTAAACTACCGATGCTAATGTACCGTGACCCGTAAACAGGTCCCAGTGAATTCTTTTCGATTGTTATTCCATGAAAATGGGAACGGAAGCCTCAGGCGGAAGGAGAATGGAATGGAATGGAATGATTCTGTGCGGAATTTTCGGAATGTCAGGGGTCTAACAAAATTCAAATTTCTATAGAAAAAAAATTCTGGAGGAATTGTTTATGAACCAGAAAATAAGAATTTCATTGTTTTAACATTGTTACAAAACTTCTACAGAAATGGGATCTTCTATGTAAAAATAATAAAAAAACCCAGAACACTATTTCACGACAAATTTTTTAATAGAATTCCAATTCTCAATTCTTCTAATGGACCCGCCGATGAATTCACATAATCCCTATTATAGATCGCCCAAAGAAAAAAATCAAAACGGCAATTTTCCCTGATGAAAAAAATTTTCTCAATTCAGGAGCGAAGCGGTAAACCGGGTTAAGTCGATTTTAACTGTTGGCCAGTTTTTGACGAATATCTCGGAATCTAAAAGAGATACAAAAATTGTTGTCATAACCTTTTTTGTAGAGCCAACTGAGGGTTACAAAAAAGGTCATGAGCAAAATTTTGCTATCTCTCTTAGATTCCGAGATATTTATCAAAAAATGGCCAAAAGGAAAAATCGACTCAACCCGGTTTACCGCTTCGCTACTGAATTACACGAGTGAAAATAATGAATTAGTCTTATCATTCCATCTGCCAGAACAGTTCCATCAACATATTTATTTAACCATCGATACTGATGTGCCTTGACCCGTAACCCGATCCCCTGAATTGTCTTTCGATTGTTATTTCATGGAAATGGTAAAGAAAGCCTGAGGCAGAACTACAATGTGCGGGTGGTTTTAATAAAATCGATGTTGTTTGCGTTTCCATGCGACTGCTTGTGTTGATATTAGGGGTGTATTTACCCCGGATACTCGCCGCACAAGCGAAATGCCGCACGCAGAGACTAAGTAATAAAATAGTTGATAAAAAAGTCATTTCCAATTTATTATTCAGATATTTATTCAGCAATTTTTTTCGTTCTTTATTTATTCTCCAGATGGGTGAAATTCGGAGATATAAGGACGATCGCGTTTATGGGGAAGGAGACGATTGCAATGGCCTCCGGCCTCCACATAATATTCATAAATTTGAATACAAAGGAAGAGCGAGTGGAGAAATTCGACAGCAAGGAGAGGGGGGAGGGTGCTTGCTGCTTGGCGGGACATCCGGTAATTATTCGGGAAAATTCTCGAAACTCTGCGCGAGAACTCGCTGAATTCCAATCTGCATTAATCACCAGGTTGTCCCCATGTTCGCGATCTCGGAGAGGAGGGCCAATCCCAAGGTCAGGGTGTACACATACCCGTCTGTCAATAAAGTTTCTGAATGTATTTACGGGGAGAGAAACTGGACTGGGTTTATTTCAAGTGCATTCGCGGGGACCGATTATTTGCTGACTTTAACTTCTTCCCCCAAGTTCAAGGCTGTCGTCTGGCTGTGGCGGACTGGGGAGTGCTTGAACACTGTGGATACTGGCGTTTCGGATGAATATCAGACGATGTTGTGAGTGAATTCGGTTTTCAGATTGAGGAGAATTCCGAAGAATTTTGGGAATGCATAAATTTTTATAAGCGTTTTGAGAGCTATAGATTTTTATCTGTAAAAATTCAGAATTCTGTAGAATTTTATAGCTAATTTTAATTTATAGAAATTGAAAATTTTTAGAGTCTCTAGTTTTTACAGAAAAAAATCTGTAGAATTTTTTATCGCATTCGCATTTTTATAAATTCGTTGAGGAATTCCTCAAAAAATAATTTCTACTTTAATTCTTCATAAAAATTTCCATAATTAATTTTCTACAAGAAGTTCGTATAGAAAATTATCAAGAAAAAAATTTATTGACGTACACTTGTATAGTTTTTCACGTTTAAAATTGAGTGAAAAAAAGGAAGGGAATTCAATAGAATTTCGTAATAAAACAAAAGGGATATAATTTTATTGAAATTTTATAGGATAATCGTGTGAGAAAAATCTATAGAATGTTAAATTTTCATAGAGGGAAATTCATAGAACTTTTTCTTTAAAACTCGAACGTTCATAAATCCTTCATTTCCAATTCTTCATAAAAATTTCCCTAAAAATAGAGTTCCCATCGAAAAAATTTTATAAACTTCATTTCCCGAAAATTCTCTCGTGAAGCTTTTTCCCAGAAAACTGAAGTTTATTTTACGACCCCCGTCGTAAAATGCCTTAGAGTTTCCCCTGAATTTTTCAGATGTTCTCCAACATCTCCACCCCTCATAACCCAATTGGGCCGCCCATCCGGTCGCCTAAAACTCTACGAGCTCAACATCTGCTCGAAGATCGTCTCCCTCACCCCGGCCTCCCTCGCCCCTTCCCCTGAATCCAGAAAATCCGAGAAGATCACATCGTCCTCCTGGACTTACGACGGCAATCTCCTTCTCTCCGACGACCTCGGCAACGTCTACCTCACGCCGACCGACGGAAAACGTCGTCAGCAAGTTCTGCAATCCGAAGAAACGACCCCCCATCTCGCAGGACCTCTTGTCGTTGCCTTTCGAGGTGGAGTAGCAGTTGCAAATACCTCTCCAAAAATCCTCGTGAGTCGCAAAATACATGAATCAACACATTGAAAAAATTTGGATGTACGAAGAGAAGAAATATAATAGGGATTTTTTTTCCAAAAGATTTTTTAGAATTTTCAAGAAAACAATGGGTTTTTGGCCCATTTGCTATAACCAATTATGACAGAACAATTTTCATTCATGATTTCAATTTATTTTATCCTTTAACAAAAATGAGAAAATTACACTTATTTTTGGCGTTGAAATTTTATGTTTAAAATTTGTATATTTTAATAGATAAAAAAAGTCGATAAATATTGAAGTTTGCTAACAAATAATTTTTTAATGATTTTTTCTATTAAAGAATCGTCAGGAAAAAATATTCTGAGTTTATTTTATTTGTAATGAGAAATAAAAAATTGTTGCCCCTAAAAGTTTCCCAATTTTCAATAAAAAATGAGTGAAAGAGAATTCCGCGGAGAAAGCTCCAGTTTTCCACCCTAATTTCTCCACATCTGCATTTAAAGTTCTACAGGAAGCCTCCCGCGGAGCGGGTCAAGTCTGGAAGTCCTTGGAAGATCATCTGGGAGATTGAGACGAGCTCCCCAGTACTGTACCTCTCGCGACACCCGCAGAGAGATAGCATCCTCCTGTGCTCGATTAAAGGCGAAATATCTGAAGTCAGTGTCGGGGATGACGACATACCGAGGCTCCAGATTATCTGCCAACAGGGCTCTGGACATTTGTTTCTGGTCTCGGTACATCCCGGACGATTTATCGCAACTGTCGACAGTTTTGATGGATTTAATTTGTTTGAGAGTCTCACTGGAAAATTAACTGGGAGGATGTGGCTCGGGGAGTACGGCAGAGGTTGAGAAATTCATGCATTATTTCATGTCTTTCATCTTATTTTTATTTTCATCGCCATTTTTTATAATCTCCATTCATAACATTTTCATTGAGACGAATGAAGCAATTTCAAATGAGTTTAATCTAGAGCTTTTCGTCAATATTAATGCGATGAATGAGAAGAAAATTTATTAACATTACTTAAGGCGTTATGAAACGAAGAATAGAACCGCTCGGTGTTGATTTTTATTCGCCATTTACTTCAATTTCCGCAGCATTATCCGTTCTCTCAGCCTGTCTTACCAGTACTGGCAGTATCCACTGACACAGGGAGTTGTTCAGTTCTGAATATTCATTCAGAATTCTGATCGACACTGTATAGGGGAGGTTGGAGTAAAATGGACACTTTTGACTTTTTTAAAAACGTTAATGACGCGTTGAAATGTTGATAAAACTTAATAATTATTTTTTCAATACAAAAAACAACTCTTTCCCTTTGTGCCGAGCCTAAATTGAGCTCAATTGATCAATTTCTTTCCGAGTTATGGATAATTTTTAAAAAGTCTAAAGTGTCCATTTTACCCCCTCCGCCCCTATTCACGATTTTTTTTTATGTGTCCCACACAGTTTAATTCACTAATTTAATTATTAAAAATGGTTCGATCATAGTGTAGTCTGTTCTAAACTGAAGAGAAGTGCTCTAGGTGTTGATTTTTACTCGCCATTTACTTCAATTTCCGCAGCACTATCCGTTCTGTCTCACCCTGTCTTACCACTACTGGCAATATCCACTGACACAGGGAGATGCCTAATACTGAATGTTGCTGAAGCATCTGACCCACTCGTGCACAACTGCTTTCATTTGATCAGAGAGCCTTTGGATGCAGCAAAATTCTCGCAGAGTGGAAGAGTACTCGGGGTTTGCAGCACTCGAGCCGGGAGGATATTCATCGTCCGGGGGTTCGAGGGCAATATTCATGTTTGGGGCCTCCTGGAGATCTCGGAGAAGGTACTGAAACCAGTTCCGTTCATTTACTTAGGGCCATTGGGGTGGGTACTCATGGATGCAGTTTCCAGATTGCTGATTACCTCATTTATGAAGATGAAACCGTACTAACTCTTGTTCAGAGCAATAAACATGTGGCAGTGGGTAAATACATCGCTGTGTACAAGACAACAGGTCCGGATTATTTCGAACTTCGGGATGTTGTTAAATTACCGAGAGTCTACGCCAGTTTACATTGCGGGAGTGATTTTGGGGAGATTATCGCGAGTCCTTTTTTGAGTAAACAGTTGCATTTAATTAAGTCTGAGGTAATTTGTAGTAATTAATTTTGATGAATGTGGATGGGGATTTTATTGTTGTGCTGGATAACGCGTGCGGAAAATTTTCATAGACAAATTGAAGTTTTTATTACCTTTTGGTCAATTCTAAAATTTTTAGAGTATTTATAAAGAAATGTGGAGGAAATCTATGCAAAATTATTTTTTATAAAAATTCCTCGGCTCAATTTTGAAAGCGTTTTAGTTTGATTTCGTAAATGAAAAGACGAGGAAAATAGAATGAAACAAACTTGAGAAATTCATGTCGACAAATTCCTATAGAATAATCTGGACAAAAAAAATTGTATAGGAAGATAAAAACCTATACATTTTTTTCTATAAAATAAAAATGACACGAAACAAAATTGAAATTAATTCGTTTGTGAATTGTCACGCCGGAACGAAATTAATAAATTAATTTTGATGATTTTGATGGGTTTGAAATACTTTGCAGGACAATTTCGATAAATTTATCCTCACAGAGGCATTATCCTCCTCCCACCGTCTGCGAGATGTCAAAATAAACGCGGATACTAGGTACGTCGTGACGTTTGGTTACGACGGCCTCGTCGTGATAAGAAACAGATCGAACTTGAGTCAACTTATCGCTGTCCTCACGACCCATCATCGCCAGGAAGGTGGGGTCAAGCATGCGGTCCCCTGCCCCTGCAACAGCATCCTCGTTACTCTGGGGAAAAACGGGAATTTAGTTGCATCGAAAATCAGGTGAAATTGAAGAGTAAAAATCCAACACGTGCGATGTATTTTCCTGACTTCTCGGGTATTTTCCGGAATTTTGCTACTCTTTTTACTCGTTTTTCAAGTCAATTGGAGTCGGCAGAAGTTGGCGATCACGTCACGAGTTTTGCGGATGCGAAGGTTGTGCTTTCAAATTCCACTGGAGTGGAATTGGATGGAGATGGTGATTCTACGTGGATCGAGTTGAAGGAAATAAGAAAACTGGAGAGGGAACGCAATGAGATGGCGATCGAAAGAGCATCGATATTGTCTGATTTCGAAAAGCTGAGGGATAGGGTAATGTTACAAGAATTTAATCAATGGACGCGAGAATTCAGTTTACGATTTAGAAAAATTTACGCGATGAAAAACGCTTTAATGAATAACATTTAATGGAAAATGTAACAAATTCTTATTTTTTTTGTATGTTTTACGATTTATTAAAATGATATTTAAATATTTATTAAACGTCATCAAAAAAACTATACAATTTTAGATCGAATGCACTTGTTTTTTAAAATTTCTTTTACACAAATTCTCATTATTAAAAAAATATTACTAATTATTTTTAATTATTAATATTATCTGATTTTATAATGCCGAAGGATAGAATAATATTATATTAATTTAATCAATGATTACACAAATAATGTTGAAGTTTTCGGAAGATTCAAAAGATGAAAAATTTTTAAATTAATAAAATTCCACTGAAAATTCAACGGATTTTGATTTTTTTTACATTATTTATTGTTTCGAAGTTTTAAAAACGAATAAAATTTTCTATGAACTGCACCACCTTTTTTCTCGTTATTGTTTGCAAAAATTCCGATTTATAAAAAATAAAGAAAATCACCTGAAAAATTCTCTTAGCCCCTCGAAACGTTCAGTTGAAGGCACTCATAGACGACAACGAAAAAGCATCAGAGGCGGCCAAATTACCCCTCGAGAACTTCGACCTGGATAAAGAGGGCAGAGCAAGAGCCATAGAGAACAACCGCGAGGAGCAGAAAAACTTGGTGAGAAAACTCGAAGAGAAAGCATCACGCGAGGCTGAGATCAGTGAATTTCTGAGGAAACTCTGCTGGGATTCGATGCAAGTCCCAGCCTGTGCACTTATATCGCTGGATGGGAGGGTCAGAGTGGACAACTACGCATTGCCACGAATAAGTGACCAGGAAGAGGAAAGGAGAGCGTGGGCGAAATTCTACGTCGATTTATCAACGAAGCTCTCCAGGTGGATGCGATCGATCGATCAATTGACATTCCCTACTATTTTTTTATGAAGAGATTATTGATATGAATTTGTTTACACTTCAAGGGGCTCAATACGGAGAAATTTCGCAATTTCATAATTTTTTTTATTCAAAATTTATTATCATCTTTTTTTTTATCATTAAATTAAAGAAATTAATTTAAAATTAGATTTAAATTGAATTAAATTTCAATTTTTCATCATTTTGTTTCGAACGAAATACAAAAACAAAAACATTACAATTTTACTTGGAATTTATCATGAATAATCGAATAAAAATCAAAAATAATTTTTGATTTCATGTAAACATGAGAAACCAGAGTTTGAATGCTTGAGATATCATAAAAAATCTCGGTGCTATCAATTTTTAGTGCTGAGGCAGCTCATGGAAAGGCCATCCCCCCGACAAAATACCCCCAGGAGAGAGAGCCAATAGAAAAAGCTTCAGAAAAGGTCTTGAATTTATTGAAAGGTGACGACAATGACGAGGAGGAGAAATTCGCATTGTCCGGAACAACGACGCACCGCTGGATACGTGAGGACCCGTCACGCGTGGTGAATCAAATTTTACGAGACGGTAGCCACTGCGAGGGTGTAAAGAGAAATATACTCGGAAAAATTCGAGAAGAAAAATTGAAGGTGAAGCCGGACGAGAGAGTTTAATTGAGTATTCCCTCTGTCACTTAATTATTGTAACGTTCCCTGGATTCTCTCATTTTTTGGCTTTAGATGTGTGGAGAAATTTTTAACGCAGAGAATCCGATTTTTATTTTTATTTACTACATTCCTATTGATTATTTATTAAATTGCTATTGCCATTTATGCCGAAATAAAAATACTATATTAGAAAAACCTAGCGAATTCGATAGATAATTTTATTAGCTTTGGACAGATTTTCTCGACGAATTCCGGAGCTTTCTCTATTGGAATTCCTGAACGTGAAATTTTTAAGGTTTTTCCACTCTATTTTCTTTTACTTCCATTAAAACAAAAACTTAAAAAATTTGAGTCAGCCAATTTCTACTGAAAAAAAATTCTAAAGAATAAGTTCTACAGAAAAATCTAATTCTATTGATTTTCTACAGAATGTTTTTCACATTCACTAGGTTTTTCTGGAAAATTTTTCTATCAGTGGAATTGCGATAGAATTTTTTTGTACTGAAAAAAATTAAAAGATACAGATCGAAAAATTTCCATGAAAAATACCGCTTTAAAGGTTTTTTCATGAATTTTTTTTTCATGAATACTTCAGAAACACTTCAACAAACTATTCGAAGCCATGCATTCCCGAAAATCGAGTGAAATAAAATTAGCCAGAGAGCGTATCGCGAGGATTGATCACTGCACCTTGGAGCTGAGACAAATGTTTCAAGTGGATTGTACCGTAGATCACAGTTGGTTAAAACTCGAGTGGCAAGAATCGGAGAGACCAGAGAGTATGGTCGAGGTCGAGGATGAGGAAGTTTACAGAGTGATAAATGATTCAGGGAGCGAGGCGAACGTGAAACGTTTGGATAATTCAGTGACGCGTGAAGAAACGAGCGTTTTAGCGGATACTTTCAGGACTGGAGAGTTGAAGAAGATGATGGACGGTGTCCTTGAAGTCAAGTTTGGGATTGTTTTTTTTTATTGAGGGGATTCAGAACAAGATGTCGCGTCGTTTGTCACTGACCCTTTGTTTTTTAGGTGGGAGGACGAGATTAAGAAGGACATTCCGAGACCAGATTGCCTGATGAAGGATCCCTCGAGCTGTTCTGCGGACGATTTGAGGATTATTAAGAACTATGAGGAAGCTTTGAGGCGGTTAGAGGGCGAGAGGGAAAAATATAGGAAATGTTTGGAGAAGGAAATTGAGGAGTTGACAGGTGAAGTTAATAAAGCAATGAAATTTAGGATAAACAAAGCATTAAATTTTCATTTCTCGGACTAATTGCCTGATTGAAGAAATTCGACTTTCATTTTCAGTTTTTATTTCTTTTGAATTGTATCAAATAATTGTTTTTTATTTTTAAGTGATGTAATTTGTAGGAAAAAGTCGGTGGATTTTTATTTTTGTATGAAAAGTCATAGGGAATAAATTTTTTTTTTCGAGAGTACTTATTCATTTTTTTCTCATAATAAAATTACATGAATAAAAAAATTTAATAGAGTCCAATGAAATTTTTTCCTAAATAAATGCAAAAAAATTTTTTATTCATAAATAAATGTGCGTTAATAAATAAAAAAAATTCCTACATAATTTTTAGAATCTCTAAAATCCAGTGTCACCCATTTCAACCGAGAAATGGAGTTATTCTACCTAAAACGTCTGAAAGTAGAATCCGCGGTTCTCCAAGAGACGCTCATGCGTCTCCGCGAGTCCCAGCGACACCATCTCCGTCTCAAGGGAATGGAGGCTTTCGCCCATCTGGAACTCAACGAGCTAGCTCCCGCCCAGGAGCGCACAAAAAAACTGATAGACGACTCCTCTGCCCTCGAATCCAATGTAAACGAGAGCCGAGTAAGATACGACAATTTATCGAAACGAGACAAATTGCTCGAGGGGAAATTCAGGGGTGAATTCACGGACTTGAAACAGCCCATGGTGGACCACCTGCTGCGGCACTACAAGAAACGCCCGAGGCTCGGGCAATTGACATGCACATCAATCACGTACCTCACAGAAATGGGAAAATGTATTTTGAGTGGAGAAAAGTCGGAGATTCTTCCCAGAGAGTGTCTGGATTATTCAAAGGGGATGGATATGTTGGACGTCATGCCCAGTGGTCTTCCCAATCAGATCGATGGCTGTCATTGGATGCTTTTGTGCAAATTACGAAGGTCGAAAGTAGAAATCGAAATTCGTGTGAGTTTTCGAGTGAAAAAAATGCTCTGTTAAATATTTTTGTCTGCAAATCTGGGATTTTTATTTTTTTATTTTTATTGAATTCAATTACCATTGAAAGTTCCAGGGATTTCGTCATTCAAAATTCAGAATTTCGCGGAAAAAATCAAAGAGCACCGTAAATTTCAGTTTCATTCTTCTGAAAATGAATAGAAAGCCAGAAAATTCCGGTAAATTATTCTTGAATTTTCAGGACAGTGACACCGAATGCGATTTAGGGGAGAAAAAATATTGAAATTTCAGATTTCACTGAAGATTCATATTAGATTGGAAATTCAAATAAATTAAGCAATTCTCGTCTTTATGCTGCTTAAAATTCTGGGATTTTCCTGAATTTTCAGTGAAACCTGCAATTTAATTATTTTTTCCCCTAAATCGCATTCAGTGTCACGATCCTGAAAATTTCTTTTTCTTTCTAACAGAGTGCTTTACTACGCGATTAAAAAAATGAACTAAAATAGCTAAATTTTCATTTCATCACCTGAATTATTTGTCACTCACCAAAAAATCTTGTAAAAAAAAAATAAGAGCGTAAACTATATCGACAAGTTTTTTCATGATTTTTTCCCTCCCAAAACACTTTGAAAAATAGAATTATGCAAATGCATCGTCCACATGTTTTTCGCAACAATTTATTCCCACATAAAATGCAACTAACTTGCAATACAGGTTTAGATTTTAGCATAACAGGTTTAACTAAAAAAAAATCCACAAAGGATTCTCGCAAAGTGGTCTACCCTAATCCCATTTACCTACTTGTTATCTGTCCGAATGAAGTTGAAAAGCTGTGCAGTGGAGTTGGCCGAAGCCGAGCAGACCCTAACATCCCACCAGAAGGCGATTCAAACATCTCAAAATCGAGTCCAGCAGTTACGGGAGACAATAACCGAGCGCAAACGACAGAACGTCGAAGCAATGAGAGACATGAAGGTTCAGCTTGTGTTGAAAATGGGACAAATAGAGACTCAGCTCAGTGGCAATCCCCGCGACTTGGATAACGCAGTTCTAGTGCCATTCGACGTGGTACTTGGGATTAATGATGCCATTGTCGGTGCTGGACGTAAAAAACTTGGGGCTATGAAGCGAACGATGGAGTTTCGACGAACCATCGAGTGGCGAGAGTGGCGTCATGCTTGTATGAAGATGACATTGGAAGATATGAAGGAGGATTTGAAAATACTGCAGGGAGTTAAGGTAATTTTAACGACTGGAGCACTAAATTCGACAGGACAATGGGTCCGATAGATTCCTGGGAGAAAATCGAATGTTTTTATGTTTTCCTTGAGACTGCCGACATTTTTTTAAGTGAAAAAATAGAAAATTAGAGGGTAATTGCACTTGATTCTAACAAAAAAAATTGGAAACGTAATTTTCTATAATTCACACATTATCATGAAATAAAAAATGAGGGGGAAATTGAGACTTGAACTTGATTGTGTTGATGTCTTCCTCGAGATTATCAACACTTCTTCACAATAAAAGATAAAAACCACCAGATAATTGCACTTAATTATGCACCAAAGATTGACCAATTCAGAATAAATTCGCGGAATTATAATTGAACATCTTACGTCGACTAAAATGATAATTACCCCGAGTTTACGACCTTAATCACATTCCTATGTGCGCAATCTTGCATCGAATGGCAAAATAACTGCCTGATGCGACGAAAAATTTTCAAATAGGTCACAAGAGAGATACAAAGGTACCTGATGCGTCACGATGCCGTGGGGGGAGTGGACAAGGACACGCACATCACCGAGAAGAGTATCTTATCCAAAAAGAAGGTGAGACTGGCGCCAACATTATGTTTTCCATTCCACTTTTACCTCTGTTTTCTCCCATCCAATCCGACTCGTTTTCAGCAGCGGCTCTCGACAATCCTGGACACCGAAAAATCCCGGCTGTTCGATATAATAAAAACGGTTAATCAATGGCAGAAGAGGAACGATCGTCTTGAAGATAAAATTGAAAAAGTTAAGACTGAGAATTGCAAAATGTCACTGCTCGCTAATGACGAGGCGAGGGTCAGGCAGGAGCGTTTTGTCCGGGCCAAGTTGAAGGCTATTATGAAGAGGAATAGACTGGTGAAGAAGATAAAGGATAATTACGCCGAGCTTACGTCGCTTCGTACGCAGCTGGAGCTTCTCCGGCTCAAGACGTACCCGACGTTGAGGCTTAAGGACGCGAGACATTTGAGGAAAAATTGATTTAATTCATGTCAAGCTTAACTTATCCATTTTTCAATAAATTATTGACATTCTCACCTGTTCGACTCACACATTTACCCGATTTATCCCGTGAGACATGAATTTATTGTCTACGAAGTTGATAAAATCACTGTTGGATACAAAAATGTGAATTTAATATGCTTCAAACCCATTGTCGACAATTTATTCCATAAAAATGAATGTCGAGATGACCTCAAGGATATCACAAGATGCTAATGCCACTCCGACTACATGTTTTCCCCATGTCGTATATATAATCCCCCAGTTCCAAGTAACAAGAAATAAAGAAATCATTTTAGTTCTCCATCAGAATACAAATGCATTCGACAGTGCTCCTCACCACAAAATAGATAAAATTCGTCTTGCGAGGTCTGCGATGACTTCCCCTCCCCCCGGTGCACTCGCGACTGGGGAGTTCCATTTTCCTCGTGACATTGCGGTGGTATCAATAGCCAAGAGGTCAGTGGAATCAAATAACATCAGCATTTTCCTCAAAAATTTGATTACACCACTATTTTTACGACTTTCCGCATCTGCAGTGTGCGGGATGCCCTTGAGCGTTTTCTCCTGCGGTTTTGTGTCCCTGACCGTGGGTATAGAGCATGGAGCATCGTGTTGACATGCGGAAAAATTCATCCCAGTGAGTAAGCGCCTCAAGGCCGAGGCAGATCTTGCGCAATTAGGATTATTGGATTGATGATTTTTCGAGAGTGTCGATCGCGATTTGTTTTTCAACTGCGTGGACTCGTCGTTCGGGGGGTTCAAGTGGGGATGCGAGAGTTTCCCCCCACCTGGGGCAGTTGGAGATTTAAGTATAAAAGGATGGAGGACGGTGGGAATCAGCGAGTTCGAAGCATTCTACTGTGTTGACTGTGTACTTTTTCGCTGGTCAAGGATGTCTCGAGGAGTTGTCCTTGCTGTCCTGGGACTGCTCGCAGTTGCCGGGTCGGAATCACCCCCCAAGAAAACGTGTAAGGACGCGGAGAAATTTTATAGATAATCTGGAGAAATTCAATTGAAACGATGAGAATTTTATTGGTTCTCTTCAGATTCTGGTTTATAATTCTTGTCGATTTTTGCGGTAATTCTGGTGGAGATTATGGAATTGAACCGTGTCATTCTTTAAGTGATATGCCACAGAATAAAGTCCATCGATTTTTATTTTTTGGTAATGTTTGAGCATAAATTTTCTAATTTTTTAAAACTCTATGAGAATTTAATTGAAGTTCTTTTAAGATTCTGTTTCATAATTCTTGTTTTTTTATGTTGATTCTATTAAAGATTATGTTATTGTACCGTGCAATTTTTTCACGTGATATTCCATATCAAAACCTCAATAGATTTGTATTTTTCCAGAAATTCATGAGCATAAATTTTCCATTTTTTCCGCTGCGTTTTGTTATTTTTCACGTAATAATATCTAAGAAAAAAAAACTCATAAAATTTATGCGTGAGGAAAATGCATACGAAGGAATAACTTGGAAAATTTATGGTCTAGTATTTCTGCAGGAAAAATATTGAGAGAACGATGTAATAAAATTAAAAAAACGAATAGATTTTTCAACAGAAGTCATTCTTATCAATTTTTTCAAGCATCAATTGATTAACTAGTTGCACTCGCCTATTCTATCGACTGATTTTTGCATTACTCTTCGTGAACAGTTACAATGTGCGTCCCGGAAATTTACGAGCAGGACTGCGTGAAGATGATGGAGGAGTCCGCAACAAAGGGGATCCCAATATCCTGTGTGACTGGAAGAGACAGATTCGAGTGTATCGATAAAGTTGGAAGGAATGAGGCGGATATTGTTGCGGTTGATCCTGAGGATATGTACCTCGCAGCCAAGAGCAAGATAGCTGACGAGGCTGGTTACAGCGTCGTCGAGCAGGTACCGAAGCATTGAATATGAAAATTTACAACAGTTGAAGAATATTTGGCGCTCAACAAAAATGTAAAATTTGAGGCATAAGGGTGGACATGAAGAATTCATTATTTTAATTCGTTGCAGGCGAATTTTAATTCGTATAATTTATTTTTCTTTTCGTTTATGATTGATGCAGTGATTTATTCAACTCTTCTTCGTTCCGTTTCTGTTTACTAATCAATTCATTTATTTCGCTTGTTAAATGAACAGGTGAGGACGAAGGAAGAGCCTGACGAGCCCTACAGATACGAAGCGGTGGCAGTGATCCACAAAGACCTCGAGATTTACGATGTCCACGGTCTCCACGGCTTGAAATCCTGTCACACCGGTGTCGGCAGAAACGTCGGCTACAAAATTCCCATCACAAAATTAACCCAGATGAATGTTCTCGGGAATATTCATGATCCCGAGTACTCAGCGAGGGAGAATGAGCTCAAGGCTCTGAGCACACTGTTCTCCAAGGGCTGTCTCGTGGGAAAATGGTCGCCAGACCCCGCCATAAACGCAAGACTAAGTAAAAAAAAACGAAAAATAAAAATTCTGCTTAAATTAAATTTTTCTTCTATATAATTATTTATTCCTTTATTATTTATTTATTTATTTAACTTTAAGACTATGTCCTGGGGTAAGAGTCACCCCCTAAGAACAACCCAAGTATTTTCCAAGGGTTTCAACCTATTAATAAATACAATAAACAAATTTTAATATATTAATTTTATTTATATTAATAAATATTTAATGAAACTCTAGAGGAGACCTACAGCAACATGTGCGCGCTCTGCGAAAAACCCGAGGTCTGCGATTACCCGGACAAGTTCTCGGGGTACGAGGGTGCGCTGCGTTGTCTGTCGCAAAACGGAGGAGACGTTGCCTGGACGAAGGTCATTTACGTGAAGAGGTTCTTCGGTCTGCCTGTGGGACGAGGCCCCAAGACAACTGCAACTGTTGATCCGAGCGGTTACCGGTATTTCTGCCCTGATGGCACTAAAGTTCCCATCGATGCAACGACCAAGCCCTGCACGTGGGCTGCCAGACCCTGGCAGGGGTACATGACTAATGGAAAGGTCAAGGATGTCAATGCCATCCAGGAGGTAAATTGATACTCAAAATTGATTTTTCCAAATATATCAGGCCCTTCAGGGGGATTTACTGCTGTGACGAATCGTGAAGAATCAGGAAATTGTTTAAAAAATGCAGATCTAATGCAGATGCATTATTCTGGATGAAATTTTGGATGGAATTTTCACTGATCCATACTCGAACAATTGATTAGAATAGAAAAATTTAGTCGCTAGAAAATTCTATTAACAATTCCGCAACTTATCATATTTTTTGAAAGAAATGTTAAATATTATTTGATAATATTAATATAAATGTAATATATAATATATTAATATTAATATTTTAGATATTATTTGATAATTGTAATATTATTTCATATTATTTTATAGAAATGGAGAATATTCTCTAGAAAAAAAAATCAGTAGAATGAGATTTTTTCAATGAGAAGTTGAGAAAAATTGAAATTTCTCAATAGAAAAAGTTGTAAAAAAGCTAAAATTAAAAAAAAAATGCGCAAAAATTTCAGGAATTAACAGAACTCGGTGAATTCGGTGAAAAAGAAAAGGCAAACTGGTGGAAGCACATTCTCCTTCTGGACGAGAAAACCCTGGCAGTGAAGACAGCCCCAGTGTCACCGGAAGAGCACCTGACGAACGCTAAATACTTGGACGTGATCGAGAGGAATTCCGGAGCAGTGGAGAGAACGGCTCGGTGGTGCGTGTGGGGAGACCGGAGTCCCAGGAAGTGCGAGGCAGTGGCGAAGGCCGCCTACTCAAGGTCCGTTTCCACTTGAAAGAAAAATCGGTCTTATTTAGAGTCTTCTAACGGGTTATGCTTTCGACAGGGATGCGAGGCCCCAGATTGAGTGCGTCAAGAGGAACAGTAGAGTCGAGTGTTTGGAGGCTATGAGGGACGACCAGGCGGACTTCGTCCTCATGGAGGGATCTAGTGTCAAACAGGCGGTTGAGGAGTTCAATGCCAAGCCCATTGTTTCCGAGAGCTTCGGAACGGGACAGACTAAATTCAGCGAAAAACCGGCTGTTGCGGTTATTAAGAAGAATAGTCCGATCAATAGTCTTGGTAACTACCTCAGGATTCACAAATAAACAATCTTATTTTTTTTATTGAAATGTTCAATGAAGAATATTCTACAGAAAAAATCAATATAAAAAAATCAACAGAATGACATATTTTCTACTTCTCAGTTCAAATTTTTCAAGTTCTTTTGCTTCATATTTAAAATTCATGAAAAAATCAGCTGTTGCGATTATTAAGAAGAACAATTCGATCAATAGTTTCGGTAAATACCTCAGGATCGATTAAAATTGGACACGCAAAGTGTGAAATTCCCAACTAAACAGCCCAATCATTACTTATTCATTCATTTTAATGAGAAATTGACTGAATAAAATAGTACAACGAATTAACTAATCGAATGATTGTTTTCCAGCTGATCTGAAGGGCAAGAAATCGTGCCACCGTTACTGGATGGAGGACTTCGCTGGGTGGATAGCGCCAGTGGGAGCTCTGCTCAACGCCAAACTCATAAACTCCGAGGACGAGGTGTCTGACTTCTTCGCGGCCTCCTGCGTGCCCGGAGCCCCTCGCAAATCCAAACTCTGCGAGCAGTGCGTGGGGAACGCCGAGTCGAACGACGACGACGTGATTGCGGCCACTAAGTGTCAGCCAAACCGGGCCGAGGCGTTCAGTGGAAAAGGTGCCCTCAAGTGTCTGGCGCTCGACAAGGGAGACGTCGCCTTCGTTCCTCTGACTGATGTCTACAAACTACGTGAGTGAATCGTTAGATCGACAACTGCCTTCGCATTTCTCTATTTCGGTTGATCGTTATAATTGTTTTCTCGCAGGTAATGAGACTTCGTTCGGTTTGAACATCGACGATGTCAAGCTCATCTGCCCCAACGGCGGCACTGCCCCTGTGTCCGAGGGGGAGACCTGCAATTTCGGTTTAGAGCCACCGCAGGTGATCGTCAGCTCTGGGGGAAAGTCCGCAAATGCCCTAGAGGAGCTCACACATGGGATTATATCGGCTACGACTCTTTACAATAAGAGACCAGACCTTCTGCAGTTGTTTGGGGCCTGGGGAGGAGACAAAAATATTCTATTCCAGGTGCGTAATCAGTGGAATTGAAAAATATGGGGATAGATTCATATTTTACTCTATGATATAATTAATTCAGTGGGGAAGTGGTCAAACGGTTTAAGTCGATTTTGGCTATCGGCCAGTTTTCAATGAATATCTCGAAATCTAAGGGAGATAGCAAAATATTTCTCATAACCTTTTTAGTAGCACTCAATTCGCTCTATAAAAAAGGTTATTATGAAAATTTCGCTATCTTTCACAAATTCGGAAATATTTCTGGAAAACTGAACTGAAGACTAGATTGAGTTAAACCGTTTGACCACTTCGCTACTGAATTATAGTTTGTTATGTGATGTTCTATTATTGCAGGATGACACTGTCGAATTGGTCTCCATGGACAACTCCTGGAGTGTGAGATTCAACGACTGGGCGAAAATGCCGAAATAAAATGTTCAATCGATATTTTTTATTCATTCTTATAGCAATAATTATGTATCGAAATTTACGAGTTTGGTAATAAAAATTAATACACAATGATTCACGTGTTTTTGGTTTACTTCGTCTACTTGTTGGATTTTTTGACATGATTCAGTTGGCCGGACAGGAACTTTGCATTCTTCAAGAATTTTTTTACTATTTTCTTCTCCTTTTTTATTATTTTCGCATTTCTCTTCACTAATTTCTCGATACTGAGGATCATGAAGCCCATGAATATACCGGTGAGGAGCATCACTGCTAGGGGGAGGATGTCTCCGATCTCTACAGACTCCCAGCCTCCCTCCACCTTGAACAGGAATTAAGGGGGATGAGGGGGAATTATATTTCGTTCGAGGTATTGAGAATTTTCTCACTTACGTTGTCTCCAGTCATTGCCCAGTGAGAGTTTAATAATCTCTGCATGACTCCACTGTCTCTCAGTAACAGAAGACTTCAAGAATAGAGAAACGAAAATTATTCAAATATTTTGGGCATTTTTAACGCTCAAATGCACATGAATTCAATTCATAAAACTCTTTTCGACAAATTTACGCGTAAAAGTACTATTTTTTCTTTAGAATTCCCCTTGAACAAATTATAAAGCTTTGTGATTTTCTTTTATTCATAATCACTAGAAAAAAGTCAATAGATTGTTATTTTTCTGTAGAAATTTTCGGGTATAAATCATTTCAATTAAATGTTCGAATTGAATTCACACGTAATAAAATTAAAAATGCGCGAACAATTAAAAAATATGACGAAAAATTGCCCCACTTATTATTTCCCACAATACTAACTCCCGGCTTTGAATATAATATTTCTTACTGGCTGTCTAAAATCCCTCGGTAAGGGCTCCCTGGCCTGAGTCCAAAAGCAATTGACGTCTGTGATATTGTGTCAAGTGGCACTAGAACACATCCAACCTCAGACTGAAGTTGTGTCACTGCATTATCCACTGTCATAAATGCATACTTGTCCTCGTTACACACGAGTGATAATCCCTCCAAGTAATTATTCGGCAACTCCTTCTCCTTCACCAGGAGTTTGTCGAATAGTACTCCGAGTATTTCGTCTGTTGTGTTCTGTTGAAGGAATTGCGTATAAATAATCTTCGAGAAACTAGGGTCATGACTCAATGATGCATGAAGTCACCTGAAAGAAACTGTAGTCGGCGGAATCTCTGACGACTCCGAATCTGTACGTGTTGTCCTTCAAGAGGCCGTCCATGGTTGTGAAAGGGAGCACGAATGTTTTCACCGCTAGGGCACTAATCAGAGCTGCGGAATAGGCGGCGAGGATTATTACTCCTGTCAGATGTATCACGAAATGAGATATTCGGATTGGATCTAGTATCGAGGCTGACATTCCTGCCGTCGCAAAGGAAGAAATTCCATATTAAAACTAGAAGATTTGCCATAGGGACACAAAAAAAAATTATAGAAAAATTTAGCGAATTCGGTGGAAATTTCTATTGAATTTTTATAAAAAATTCGATTAGTTTTTGGCCGATTCGATAGAGAAATTCCGCAGTTCTGATGGGGACATTATTCAATAGAAACTATTCTATAGAAAAAATGAGTAGAATTTCGTGGTTCTATCAAATTTTTTGAATAAGAATTCATTCACATGAATTTTCTCATTTTCCCACTCGATTTTTCAACTTTTTTCCTTGAAAAGATGAAATTAAATATGTAATATAGATATTAAGAAAATATTTCAATAGGATAAGTTGTATCGAACAATCGTATTCTATTGATTTTTCTATAGTTTTTTTGAATAAGAATTCCTTCACATGAATTTTCCAATTTAGTCACTCTATTTTTTAACTTTTTTCCTTGAAAAACTGACATTAAAAACATAAAAATGAAATTAAAAAATATTTCAATGGGATAAATTGCACAGAAAAATCGCATTCTATTGATTTTTCGATAGAATCAGCCAAAAATAAAAAGTTCACTAGAATTTTCCAGCGAATCCCCTATTTCTTTCTATAATTTTTTTTTTCGTACGCGTGGAGCTGACCTTGACTGCAAAACACCCCGAATACCGCGAAGAATATGTCTGGAACATTAGTGGGACAATCGTCATTGTCCTTCCACTGTCTAGCAAATAGTGATATAGCAGAGTTCACGAGAGAAATAGTTGCGGTGGTGATGACAATCATAACTACGATCGCAACCCACACGCTGGGCTCAAAGGGGATGAAATAGGCGCCCCATTTCAATGCCGACAGCGAAGGTCTCTTAATGTACGTTCGAATCCTAGGATCACGGATGATTGATAATATTCGTGTGATAAATCAGGAGACAATCTTCCTCGATTTTCCCTGATTTTTATTCAGTTCTATCTCTCCTTAATTTATTTCAATTACGGAGAGACAGAACTGAATAAAAATCGGGGATAATTCCATAATTGAAATAAATTATGGAGAGATGACTGGATTTTTAATCCATTAAAAATATTTTTACTAGCGGAAACAGAAATATAATAAAAATGAAATTACGATCACCGATAAAATCGAAAAATTAATTATTGGAATAACGGTAGTCCTCTGCAAAAAAATGAAAATACTTGTCCTATAATAATTGTTTGTTAACCATTTCCGTACACCTATTAATGAAATCCCATAAGTTTTAATGAACATAAAAGTATGATTACTTCGTGGAAGCAAAGACATTCAATTTGAGATAAATTACGGAGAGATAAATCAATTTTTCATCCTTTAAAAATATTTTCAGTAGTAGAAATGGAAATAAAAAATCAAATCATGATCAAATTATGATCACCGACAAAATTGAAAGATTAATTAATTCTCTGAAATTAATTATTTCTCTGTGAAAAAATAAGAATACTTATCCTATAATAATTGTTTATTAACCATTTCTATACACCCATTCATGAAACCCCATAAATATTAATGGACATAAAAGTGTGATTACTTCGTCGAGTAGACAGGCGTTGTAAATTTGATGGCATCGACTCTGTCCCTCGTCATGATGAGCTCAGCTGCAACAATGTCGGAGGTATTGTCAATAAGCGAGCCAACAGCCCCAGTCCACGTGCCATTACCCCTCAGATACCCCCATTCATTTGTTTCCAGATAAACGAGTCTAAAAATCAGAATTTCAGGTTAAATTCCCGCGTCGATTCCCCAAAAGAGCCAAAAAATGTGACAAATTCCGTTTCCACTAGAGTACAAAATTTCCAAGTGAAAAATGCTCCGGAGGATTTCCATGAACTTCGGGCATTCCGCAAAATCCCTGGTTGAATTACAAAGGAGTTGTTACTCGGAGCGCCGGAGGCGCAAGGGTGACGGCTCCAAGACGGATATTTTCGAGGAGAGATCGGCGGCTAGTCAGGACGAGTACTTCCGCAGGGAGACTGCGAGGCAGTTACGAAAACTGAGGGAGAAGAAGGAGCGGGAGGAGAAGAAGGAGAAGGGGGAGAAGGACTCGAAAGAGGAGGGGACTAATAGCAAGAGTGATAAGTGACTCACGTGCAGTTCATGCTCTCCTGGAGGAGGTCCATCAGTCCCCCGAAAAATCCCCCGAGTCCCGTCACTTGTCCGTTGTCGTCGCGTCGTATCATCGATTGAGGTGGATCCTAATCAGTGGAAATGGTGGTCAGACAGCCAAGAATTACCGCAGAGCACGATTGATGATGGAATGGGAATTTAATGTACAAAAGAATTTAATGGAAATGCTGGAGCTTCAACCAAGAAATTCTACTGCATGTCTATCGAAATTTTTCTATATTAATTATTCTGTTGGAATTCTTTGATTTTTCTTTCTTTAACTTCGTAAACTTGACAAATTTATTAAATTTTTTTCCATGAAGTTTTTTCACACATGATTACACGCAAAAAATTAATTCCCGAGAAAATTCTATTGAAAAATTCCCCTGCTTATCTGGTTTTTTTTTCAATGGAAATATTCAGTGTAACATGAACCAATAGGATTCTATTTTTTATACAATTTATTCTATTGAGATAGTTTTTATAAATTTCGTCGGCTAAATTTTTCTCGATTTTTCTGATTAATTATTTTAATAAAAGAAGATGAATGAAGTGAAAATTCCTGTTGAAGAATTCACAAAAAAAATTCCGTTGGACATTTTCTCGGATTAAAAATTCAAAATTCACTAAGTTTTCAATGAAATTTTATCGTGCGTACTTCTATGGACATAACCCGAAACAAGTGTCCTTGGAGATCACTCCTCCGCTGATAAAGACTCCACCGTGGTAATTTAATTCCCGTCTCTCTGCTCCAGGTGGCGAATAATCCAGTCCTCAACTTCTCCCCCCTATCGATCTGATAAACTTCGGTAATAATTTCCCCTGGGCTCTCCAAATTCCCATCCGGTTGGGACACCATCATTGTGCAGTCGAACTGTACATAAATCTTATCGAAGAAGCCCTCAATCGAGGTCTCCGGTCTCAGGAAGACGAGCCAGTTTGGATAGGACATGTCAATCCAGGGGGCAATTTCCTGTGAATAAATTTTCATTCCTGGATCATTTCGATCCTAAACCCCAGGAAAAAACATATCCAAGTGGGAGAAGACGTGATGAATCAACAAAACAATCATTTCACCCAGAAAATCGCTCAATTATTATTTTTCATCGCTAAATAATTCCTCTCCCACTTGAATATCGACGAAAATTTGTATTTACAAATGCAAATTGGTTCCTCACGTCGTCGTCATCGTTTAGCAGGACAAACAACGGTCGTTTAATGTGGTAGTAACTACCACCAACCTTGGAAGACATATTGATGAGTTAATGCACGCTACCAATAGCGTTGATAAGGAAAATTGCTAACTCGTTCCTTACTCGGTCTATAAACGTTGATATTTGCATAACTGCTGTGCGGATGTAGGCTTTGCTGAGATAGGCCTGGAGACGCTGGAGATTTTCACTCTCCTCTATTCCTGGTAAACATTAAAGCCATTCAAATGGGAACTCGAAAATTAACACTAGACATTGTCAAACGTGAGTTCTGCGGCTTTTGCGGCCAACGTTATTATTCATTGGCATGGCTTCCGGGTGGATGCCGTAGCGATGAATAATTGTCAAACATGTTAACAAATTATATTAGATGAGAATGGGGAATAGACGTAACAAATTCATTAAACTATTAATTTACAACATAAAAAAAACAGCAGAGGAATTTCGACGGAAAAATAAAAATATATTGACTCTTGTAGATTTTTTATCAACGCATTTTAACGAATCTTATTCGATGGAGATGAATAATAAACGTAACACAATCATAAAACTATTAATTTACAATATAAAAAAAATACAACAGAAATTTCTACAAAAAAATGAAAATTTATTAACTCTTAAATTTTTTTTCAAAACATTTTAACAAATTATATCAAATGGAAATGAATATTAAATATAACAAATGCATAAAAATATGAATTTACAACATAGGAAACTGCAACATAAAAATTTCTATTAAAAAATAAAAATGGATTGACTTTTAAAATTTTTTTGAATCAACAATTTTGACACAAAAATAATTTGAGAAACCTTGCGACTCGATGGGATCTTCAGTAGCGTGAAGCAGAATAATACACGTGTTATTGTAATAATCATGCACTCCCTTGATGACACTCTCGTAAATCACATTGGGTCTGATCAGCTGACAGTAGGATTGCCCGGTGTGAGCAGAAATGCACAGAAGAATGATCAATTTCCTCATTGTTTCCTTGCGGAAGTGCTGGCACGAGGAAAACCCAGTGCAAATAAATTTTTCCACGCATTCAGCGAAGCCAAGTGAGCGGAGAGAATCAATGCAGGGGTGTGTCGAAGGCAGTTTAGATAAGAATCCGCTGGGCACGACAGTTTATATACTCCCGAATGAAAATGCCAGTGCTTTAAATTCTGGTGGGGGCCATTTGATGGTGGAGATAGGAGCGATGAATATGCGGATACAAATTGTCGATATGCCTCATGTAAATGGAATCGCGATCGATTGTACAAATAACGTGATTGGCCAGTTTGTTCGCGGGTAAATGACGTTGGAAGTATTGGAATTGTGCGGACATGTGGGGAGGTTCTCACAAAAAACGAATTGAGTCCTGAAAAATAGAGTTTTACAAATGGTTTTATTGTCTCAAGACTTTTTATTTTTCATTACAAAATTTAAAAAATCGTAAGACAATTTTCAAGAGTTTTATGAATTGAATAAAGAATTTTTTTGTTGTTCATTCCGAAGTAAAAAAAAATCTCAGGATTTTTTTATTTCATAACGAAAAAAAATAGCGGACAAACTTCGAAAATTCCTTCGAGATTTCCTCATGAAGTCGAGCGACTGTTATGAGGAAAATTCAGAATCTATTGATTAAAAAAAAATTAAACACCGAGAGTCAGTAATATGTCTGAAACAAACAATATCTGCAGACCCATTTTTCGGTAATAATTTCCACATTTTCCTTCACCAAACAAACACTTATGCAACCACATTTTGCCAAGTCTATCACCGAAGGTCTTGGCTGAAGCGAAAAAAAAACAAGACCCCATGCAAGTGATAAGCCAGTGCCCGCAAGTGGGGTAATTGGTAACGACGACTTATAAATGCTAATACCGGAGTCCACCACCTTTCAATAGGCAGCCGACAGACCTACCGCACTTTTGTGAAGTCACTTTTTCCAGTGCCTTCATCATGACACGTAGAATAGATCGTCTCATGTTGATTCTCGTCGCGGTAATCGTCTGCACATCCTTCGCCAATGGCCAGGGTAAGTTCTCCAAATTCTCGTTCATTAAAAGATTAAAAAACATAAAATAAAAAAAATTAGAAATGCTTCATCAATAGAAATGAAAAGAAATAAATTCCCAAGAAAGAATGAGAACCAATAAAAAAAAGAATGAGACTAATTCATTGCTCTCAATTCCAGCAAGGGACCCAGCGGCGGTTAAGTCAAAAACCACATCTGACGGTCTAGTCGGTCGAATGATGGGGGCTATCAACCCCGTCACCAAGATCTTCACGGAATACATAAACGCGTGGCTTATCCGCAACAGGGGCAAACAGCTGCCCTGCACCCTCTACAATCCAATGAAATGGGACTGGGAATGCACTGACGTCGAGAAATAGAGTCCAAAAATTCTTCTTCACAAAGAAACCCATACACTTAACAGAATTTATTTTTATAATACAAAACGCATCAATGACATAGTATTACGTAATTTAATTATATTATCTTCACTATTCATGTGTTAAATAAATATGCAATGTGGTACCTCAGTACAAGTCTGTCAATTCTTTCCATCGCCTCCATCGTCTCAAAATCTATCGCAAATAATTCCAAATTTGCGATAGAATCAATTAATTATCAATTAACTTACCGATTTTATTTTTAATCTTCTTGTTTACCCAAAAAAATTGAGAGAAAAATATGAATTGCTATCAGAGGCATAAAAACATAGTTCACAAATCAAATAAAGTCGACGGGAACCCCCAGGACATCGATAGTAACGAAAAATTCCTGGTGATTCACCACCAATTGCCGCACGCGATAACCGCCTCGAATTCCTAAAAAATTGCTAAAAAAATAGAAAAGTCATAAAAATAATGTTTCTTCAAAGCCATCGCTCGCCAAGTGGAGCGAAAACTCTGACACATGCCGATAAGCTCAAGTAGTGTGCGTCAGTCTGCGAAAAAAAAATGAGTAAGACCAGTGAGACTGGCCACGTGCCCGCGGAATAATTAACCAGCCATTACCAGCCCCGGCCTCCAAACCCTTATCCACCAACAGCCCCTGTCCCCCCGTGTCATCACGCGACAATCGCCGTTGTCCCAGCAAGCCAAGAGATAACGCTCACGAGAACCCCTCAATCGCCTCTTCCGGTCCCAAAAGGAAGGATTTCCTGAATGAAAAGAAAACCTCAATTTCCCCCCGGAAACGCGGAAAAAAAATCCCAACTCGTATATTTTAATATTAACGACAACCACTGCGAGTAAATTAACACACGAGTTCACAAGTGGTATTCTCCATACGATAACAGCGGTGCTGAAATAGGAGGGGACATGTGCTAGGAATTCAAACGAATTCAGGCATTATCTGTACACCAGCGCAACTGTGCACAATGCCAGGTGAAATCCGACGAATATTGCTGGTGTTGTTGATCGGAATACTGTCAGTATCGTCAAAATCGGATGACGGAGTTGTGACGGTGCCGTCTATCGACATTCCGAGCGATGGGAAGGGAATAGTGCCAGGTAATCAAGCTGTTAGCTCCAACGTGACGTCATTGTCTCACATTTTCCCTTGAAAATAAATAAATAATAATTTTCCGGCTTCCAGCTGGTGATGGCACGCCTGGGAACACCTCCATGGTGGTGCCTCCGGGTGCGTCGGCGATATCCGGAGCCCTTGGCTTGTTGTATCGTCTCACAATCCACCCGGTGATCGTGTTCCTGCGCCTGTTCCTGGACCCGATTTTCTCGCTGCTGCGAGGAGTGCTGAGTCCAGTATTGGCGATAGTTAATTATGCTCTGGGGGCGGTGGGTCTCCCTGGGCTGGGGCCTCTCCTCAACGAACTCTCGATCGGCCTCCAGGGGTACCTGGGGCGGCTTCTGGGACAGGTCTCCGGCTTCGTGGGGACCCTCCTGGGGCCGCAGGACAACATTCAGGCGAACTCGCGCAGCAGGCGATCGGTGACGAGCTTTCTGATGAGCCCCATCACGACACCCATGGGCTACGCCTGGAGCTTGATCTCCATGCCCTGGAGGATTGCCTCCACCGTCGGCAGAGTCGTCACGACTCCCCTCTACTATGGGTACAAAGCTCTGTCGTATCCGGTCTCCGGGGCGATCACGGTCGGCACCTGGCCCACGCGCCGCATCCTCCGGATGCTGGGGTTCGGCGGGAGGAAGGAAGGGGCCGATGGCGAAATTGGCGAGGAGGTGGACCCGATTAATGACCTCATGGGGAGCCTCAGTGAGACCGCACAGGACGCCCTCGCTGAGGCTATGATCAAGGGGTTCCAGGTCATGAAGAGCGATGTTCTCCCGGCCATCGACTCCGCTTTTGTGAACTATCAGGACTCGGATATGGTGCCTGACTCCGTCAAGGGGTACATGAAGAACTTTCATAGGGCTTATTCGCTCCTTCATACACTTCGCATTCTGTAAATTTTACTGTGTTGGTGGAATTTTAATAAAGTTTGTTGATGAAATATGTCAAATGAGTTGGAGGATTTTATTTATTTATTCAACTATTAATTTTTTTAATGGGTTTTATTTATTGAGTAAAAATCGTGACGTTGATCCGGAGTTTTTATAGGGAATTCATTTTTTAGGGATTAATTTTCCTCGAGATTCCGTTGTCAGGTGATTGACAATGACAGTAATTTCTTATGAAAGTAATTTCTCATGCGACAAAACGGAAAAATCTTCATAAGAGTTCACAAACAAAATGTTCAGATGTTTCAACGGATTTTACCTGTTGCATAAAAATCATGCAGTTGGTTCCAAAAATTTAAAGAAAATAATTTTTCCTAGGATTTTTCTAGAATTTTTTGTCAACTAATTTCCATTTTCGATTCAATTACATTTTTTCAATCAATTTCTTTATCCACCACGACTTGATCGAACAATTCAGCTGAAGCATAAAGGTGACAAGAAAAATCATTAAATATCTTGCAAAGTGGTACCCATTTATTTCAATTATCCATTTACAATCAATTAAAGGAGAAAAAAGGAATAAACATTAACAATTACTTCAACCCTAAGCAACATCAGAACGACATCTCCCCGTTCCCAATACAAAACGCATCAATGACAAGTATAACAAATTCCGAAAAACTACTGCTTGACACCACCGAACAAGAGATCCATGAAAGGTGCCCATGAGGCGTCCACTAAGAACACAATGAGACTCTTGAAGGGTCCGGGCAGCATGACCCAGGGGATGGGGTCGAGGATGCTCTCAATGAGGTCGGAGATATCACTCGTCGTGGACACACCGGAGCATCTGAAGGAGTCGAGGTCAAGGGTGCAGGGGAAGGCCCCACCGAGGACGCGGCCGATGGCGCCGTTGGTGAGGTCCTGGCTGTAGTGCCATCCGTCCACGCCCTTCTGAATTCCACTGGAGAGTGGGCCTCCCAGCAGAGGAATCTTCTCCACCACGTTCTGGGTGGTTCCAATTATGCCGCCATTATCCCCAGAGCCGCCACCGCCGGAACCGCCACCGCCGGAACCGCCACCGCCTTCCTCGCTGCTGCTGCTGCTGCTGCTATCGCTGCGTCTGCGACGAACTGGAGCGCCTGGTGAAAAATCGCAAAAATTGTATTAGAAGAATCTCCACAGAAAGCTCAATGCATTTCACCCTCACTTGCATTGCTTATCTCGAGGATCATGAGCAGACCCAGTAGGACGAAGTATTTGTTGCCCGTAAGCCTCATCTTGTGTGACTGAAATGCCCGAAAACGGAGCGGCAGGCACAATGAAAACGAATAACTCGGTGGTACCTCCTTATATAAGGTCGGCTACGTTAACGCGGACGTGTTGGCTCCTCCAACGATAACAGTCTGACTAAACACAGGTAACGCCGACTGTTACTACTTGGGGTAGGGGCGCCAGGGCGCGGAGAAATGGCAAGAAAATTGCTGGCGATTGTGTCGCGGGTTGTTATGTACGTGGTGTATTGGATGGTATAACTCGTTTGTCAATTGCTTTCCCTCGTGTCGCTTATCGCCTCACCTTGCTCGTCTTATTTCCCGGGGCTCGGTGGTTATGTCATTAGGCCAGCGGCTTTATCGGACAGGAATGAAGAAAATAACGAAGGTGAACGCGAAATGCTGAAGGTTTGCCTATTTACTTGGCTCGGGTGATATTTTATTTAGGTAGAATTAAGCTACAACTGCACTCGTAGAAAGAAATTGAAATTCAGGGGCTTTGTGAATAGTAATTTGCAGGAGAGTGTCATTGAATTCGATTTAGGGGGAAAAACATAAAACTTCGAATCCCACTGGAAGTCCAATGAAATTTTCGATTTTTGAGCAGTCGGGAAACGTAAATTCCCCAATTTACTTGAATTTTCAATCAAAATATAATTCGAAATTGCATTCGCAATAGATTTTTAATATTATGAGAGATCTAACATTTTTTATTGTAAAGCCCTTTTATAATACAAAGTAATGACCTTCTCCTTTTGATTGTAAGATATTCACCGACATTTGTCATGGATAAAATTATTCAAATTTCCGATTTCACTCAAATTTCAACGAAATTCCAATTTTTTGAATAGCAGGAAGAGCTTGAATTTTCAATGAAAGCATGAACATTCTGTACCAAATGAAATAAAATATTCAATTAATTTGAAATTTGAGTATATATTCACCAGAATATTCAATTGAAATTCAGTTTTCATTGATTTTCCTATAAACACTTAATTATCAGTGATAAAATTTCCTGAAATTTCAGTGGCACGATAATCTGATTGAAATTTCCAAAGAGTGACAATTTCAGCCAAAAATCTTTAACAGAGTTGATAAATTACGTTGAAATGTTTTCTCCCAGTTTTTGAGGAAGATTCTATGCGGTTCAATGGGCCTCATATGTCCGTTTTACTATAAAATGGACCCTTCAAGCCTGTTTCTCAATTGTTCTGATGAGCACAATCGATAATAAAAACAAATAATCCTTGGCTGAGCCTAGTTCCATGTTATCTGTCCATCAAAAGTTTCCTGAGTTAATTGTCCGGACGTTTATCGAAATGGTTTATTGCATGAAAAATTACAAAATAGTTATTCTTAATAGAGTCTTTCTATTAAATTTTCCCATGCATGGGAATCTCAGATAAATTAGTCGCCGTCAAAAATATCCTGACTTGATTATACGTTTGTAAAAAAATGTATTTCATGAAAAAATTAGAAAAAGTTCTACGCTGTAAATTTAACTAGAGTATTAAGCGTTGTTGATGCACTGAGTGGCGGATGTCCTGGCTGCCGACGTAGCTGAGTACAGGTCACTCATGGGCTGCTGGAAACACCTGGTGGCGGACACTGGGGCTGAATTGGCGATTGAATCTCCCGTGCTTTTGAGTTGACTCGCCGTGGACTTGTAGGAATTGACTGAGGCACTAGCCGCCGGCATTTTCTGGACAACGCACATCTGGACCTGGAGGGCATTGCCGGACACACAGCTCAGGGCGATGCCGTCGAGTTCCGAGAGAAGAAGTTGCCCCCTCTACGAGAGGAACAATTGATAAGAACATTGCGACAATATTCGAGATAATAAAACGCATTCAACTAATCGCTATTGTTGAAACGTATTCATTGCTGGCAGTTATTACCGTCACGTGTGAAGCGATGTTGCTTACAACAGGGTTCAGAGGCTCCATTGCATCATTAACACACTTGTCCAGCTGTTTAAATACTGTATTAGATGCATCACGAAGTTGCATTCGAGAGGGTTCGTAGCAGTGATCCGCATTCTTTCCGTCTTTTTTCGCAGCTGCTATGTCGCTCTAAAAATGAATGAATAAAAATTTTCGAGACCTGGGGGATTATAAGAGTGAAGTAGTAATTTCCTTCTAGGACAGACAAGTTATCAAAAAAATAATTTAGGGAAACGTGAAAGAGGCAGCGAATTTTTTTCAATGGAGACTTCAAGAAAAAATAACTGACATTGTCATGTGAGAAGAAATTCATAAAATTTTGAATTATCAATTGATTACTCACTCGAATTTGGTCAAGAGCCGGGTTAACAGCGCCATTGACATTCTGCATCTGGTTGATCTTCAAATTACTCAATTTCGATTTCGTTTGCGATGCAATGTTATTGCCGTATCGTTGAATATCACTGGAGGTAGATTTCACCTGGTTCTTCAAGCGAGTTATCCCGGCGAAGGGATCGGCGGCTTCACTCTGGATAAAATAAATATTCAGTGATTTTTATTATTTCATTGTATCACTTAAAGTACTCAAATCCACGATTTTTATTCGTGCCGATGTTCTCTTAATCTAAATCTCTCGGAGCGAGTGGAGTAAAATGAACACTTGTGCCTTTTATTCAAATGTTATTGAATTTTCGATTAAATGAGACTGTATTAATTTAATTAACTTATTGAATTTTCAGTTAAATGCAAATGGATTAATACAAAATTTTATTGCCGAGTTATAAACGTTGAGAAAAAATCCAAAAGTGTTCACTTCAGCCCACTCTCCCCCTAGAATTGTTTCTCCTCGTCTAAACTCGACAATCGCTCACCAGTCCAATGCAGGCCGCAGCCACAAAAGCAATTATTAATAACCCGTTCATGTCGAGATGATATCTGAACCGATTTTCGAACTGCTCTGATGCTTCGGGTACTCCAACGCTCATTTATAAGTCATTATCCCACTCCAAGTCTGCTAACGGGACAGTTAGTGACAATAAAGCTGATGTAGCACACATGCTCATGAAAAAAATCATCGCGGGAAGCCCCGGCTATACTCATTCGCGGAATTACGACTACACATCTTCCAAGAGTCATGTCAATATTGACGTTCATTTCATGCTTATCCGCTTGACATGTTGTCAATACGATTTATAAACCCCAGATGAAAATTTGAAAAATTAATTGATAATTTTGTGTTTTTAGATGTTGTACACAGGTGTTGCGCACTTAAAAACATGTTATTGAAAACATGTTATTCAATCGACTCGAGTGTGACTCGATTTTTTATCAGTATCTTTCGAGGTAAAATTATCGAACTGATAAAACCACTTGTGTCACCCTTGTTGACAATTAATTTTATTCTTCTCATTGATTAATTAATTTAACGATGTTTCGAGTGATAACGGAGAGTTGAGCTCAATTGTTGATTAATTCGTTGAACAGTTGATCAATTCATTGATTTATCCACTAAATTAATTAATCGCGATGAAAAATTCTGATTTAGTATTTACAATTCCTTGATTCTGGATGAAATAATTATAATTTATTTATTATAATTTATACTGCTATGCGACACGATTCTAAATAAGAATCTTTCGAGGTAAATTATCGGACTGATAAAACCACTCGTATTCCCCTTGATAATAATGAATTTTATTCTCCTCATTGATTAATGCATTCATTAATGTGAATTACAACGGAACTTCTGTAGCATTCATGGTTTATTATTAATTTTATCTGCAATGCATTTATTGAGACGATCTTGAACCGCCAACATCTTTGCTCGGATCATCTCGATGGGTCTCTGGAAGCAACGTTCTGCGTCGAATACGCGTGCAGGCTTCTCCCAATGGTCAGATATCTTTCGGAAGTGGTTCCGTAGTTGTGGGACACTGCTGAGACGTACCAGTTGAGTCCCTGGTAGCATTTCTCAGCTTGGGATACTGGAAGTTTAGCGTAGTTCTTGGTAACCGTTTCGAGACCCTCAATCATTACGTATCCCGTCTGAAATGATGATTAATGCGTCACAGTGAGAGCGATAACGAAGGGGTTCATTCAATTGTTGATTAACTCGTTGATTTGTTGATTCATTTATTGATTTATTCAATGAATTAATCAATCGCGAGGGAAATTCTAATTCAGTGTTTACATCAATTATAATTTAGTATTTACATTTCCTTGATTCTGGATGAATGGAGCAAATTCCATGGCAAAGTCCATTGTGTGTTGCATGCAGTACTCGAAACCTGGTAATCTGTCGTTAACGATACCCTCCAGTTCCTGTTTCAAACCCTTCACGCAACCACTAGCTTCAACTCCATGCTTCTCCCCTGCTAAGTTCACCTCTATCTAAATGATGAGAAGTAAGGGAAAATATCGTAGTGAAAAACGTAGCGTTTCCTCCCAAAACTCTATAAGAATTCTACTAAAAAATTGCTTAATCCAGCGATTTCTACGAAATATGTAATTTTTGTATTTTATCTGCTTCTCATTATAAAAAATCAGGAGAAAAAATTGAAAAATGTTTCATAAAAAACTAAAGTTTATTGTTGATAGTTCAAAGTTACCAGAAAATCTGTAAATAATTCACGTCGAAAAGTTGTATAATTTTCAATGGAAATCTACTGTAAAAGCAAATAAAATGCTTGTGGAAGACGTTTCCCTGCCAATTTTTCTCAATAACAACTTTAAAATTCAAGATGGGGTAAAAATATATTCATGATTTACCAAGGACTCGTTGTACAACTGATTGATCGCCACGTCGAGGGACTCCTTCGTCGTGGAGTACTCAAAATCTAATCTCTTCTTCAGCGGTCCAACGAACTCATTTCCATAAGCATTGACTTTGTTCATGAATGTCTCCAGTTGCTTAATTAAATCTGTGACATCTTTTCCCTGGACCTGTGAAGAATTTCTGTGATTCAGGCGAATAAAATTGTTTCCGTAAAATTAAATCACTCACTTGGGCAGTGAAGGCTATAATCGCAAGGACGATCACGGCGGTCTTCATCTCGAACGACTCAGAGGAACACTGATGATGGTGATGTGATCGTCATGACGTTTTATCCCCCACCTCAGATGCACTTCGATAAATAATCACTATCAGATTCTTTCGTTTCGTATTAATCGGCGGGGAAGAACCAATAAGTGGATTTGCAGAGAAGAATGAGGATAATGGAATGAATTTCCTTTCTCTAATAAATTTTATTGAGCTCTCATTGCTGCTTCATTGCAAAATTCTGCGATAGCTATTTATTTTTCAGTAAATAAATTATCCTTTTGTAATTTTGTCTTTAAAAATTGTTGAAAAAATTAATTTTTCAATTTTTTTTCTCGGATTTTGTAATGAGAAAAAAATATATCGAACAGAAAACAAATGGAATTATTTAGTGGAATTGTTAAATGATCTAAAAAATATATATAAGTAATTTAAAAAAGTGAATAATGTGGGGAAATAAATAGATAAATGATTGCCATCAGCACCACATGGCAATGGCCCTTATATTTATCATTAAACAACATTTTTCACATACACTGGTTCACATAAAAAAATTTTCTAATAAATTTTCTACCTGTATAATACAATACACACATTATCATTTTTAGTATTAACCCATACAACAATCTTACTCATAGCGAAGCAAAAATAAAAATAATTATTTGTTCATAAATTACTAGTCAGACTTGCGTGGTAGATTTTGAAATGAGAATATGCGGAGTGAGAATGAAAAACCATCGATGTCGGAAAAATATGCATTATCCATTTAATCTAGTATCAAAAACATTCAGAATTTCACAATTAATTTTTTTTCAATACAAATTCATCTCTTTTTTGTAATTCATGTGGAGGAGAGAATCTCAAAAAATACTCGTCATTTGGCAGTAAAAAATTCTCCAACACTTGATATTTATTCTGTTACGAAGGCATTCGATATTTTACAATTATTCCGTAAACTTCCACCACAAGGTGAAGAAAAATGTGGAGTGGAGGAACACGGTCAATGTTAATAGTGCAAATTGCTTTGCGATATTTCGCTGACTAATGCAAACACTTTTCCTTGAACATAAAATGAAAAATACACGATAAATGGCAGTCTATGCGGGCCAATTGCAGTCCCATCCATCCAAAAACATCGAAATAACAAACGAAAGTTCAGTAATTTTCCTCGTGGAAATATTTTGATTCACTTCCCCTCATTCGACATTTATCATCTACTAATACCACTATATCCTTACCCTAGGGATCTTCGATATTTGAAAATATCTTGCAACATCGAAGAAACTAATGCAAATATATTTCCTTTTCACTCTATCATCGAATCTCACGCACGAAGAAATTTAATAAAAAAAAACCTGGCGACTTCGGTAGAGAATTCTATTGAATTCCACTGAATTTTCTCAGTTTTCCTCGTGGAATTTTTACAGAAAATATTCCAACAAAGTAATTTGCACAGAAAAATGCAACTCTATTGATTTTCCTACCGAATGTCCATTGGATATTTTCCAATAGAATCAGCGAAAAACTAATGGAAAGTTGAATTGAAATGCAACAGAATTTTCCACCGAATTCTGGGTTTTTCTACGAAATTTCTTCACACGTGCCAGAATGAGATTCATTGCAATTTCGATGAAAGGCACGTATTATGGACAAATATGGCAGTGAATCCACAATGGCAATTTTCATTAATTCAATTAGAGAGCACTTATCATAACACCGAGGGGAAAACCACGTGAAAAACGATTTTTTAATTCCCCAATAATGAGAATTTCTTCCCTCAGTGTCTGCAAAAATTCTATTACTTTTATTTCCTAAACTACTGCATTATCGTTAACCTTAGCTGTGCGTAGAAAAAGTCTCACGTCCATGTTACCAATGTTCATTAAAAAATAGACATTAGAATCTATATTAATAAGTTATTAATACTAGAAGACGACGATGGTGTGAGTACCCTCCTCTCCCCAAGTCATCAGGGACTTAGGAGTTTCATGGGGAGGTACTCGTGGCCATCAGTCCAGTGATTTCATTCAGAAATCAACGACGGATTCTCAGGGACTTGACGAATGGCTAGGAGGGTCACACTTCCAGTTTCAAGTCCATGTTTGGAGTGCAGAAGCCGCAGTAGCCGCCGCATTTACCGAGAACCCTCTGATCGTTCTGCGAAGGGAGAAAAACATTATTGTGAGTGATTTTTAATTCTGAGGACCTCTCGATCACTGGGGTAAGTCAACTCACGACTCTGTGCACGTCGAGATGCGCTCGTGACCCCTGTGGCACCCACGATACTTGAGACGTGAGTTTCAGGGCTGTTCCACTCAAATTTATACTAAATCTTCCTTGGGGGCAGTTTGTTGTGCTGTAACAGTCACCAGCTTTGCCATACTCAACTCGTTTTGCTCCTTTGGTCCATGAGAATGTGTAATCATCAGCTGGGGATTAAAAAAAGGGTGAAATGATGTGAAAGGAAATGAGGGGAAAATAATTTAAGAATATCTTGAAGACTAATGGGTTGAGGAGAAAATGTCACAAAAGCATTTTTGTAGCTGATGAAATTTTATACAAAAGATCTCTTTTGATTTTTTTTCTTAAACTCGTTAGTTTGAGAGATATTTAGGAGAAAAGGAGATAACGCGAATTGAGAAACGAAATGAAGGATAACAATTTTGGAAAAATCTTGTAAACCAGTGAATTTACGATTAAATGTGAGAAACACTTTTTTGTGAATGAGAAAATTCTCTACAAAAAATATTTTATCATATTTTGCCCAAAATTGGATAGTTCCACAGATATTCACGAAATAGTGCGGAAAGAAGGCAAATTCATTTCGTTTTGAACCAATAAAAACAATTGATAATTCATTAAATAATGATGAATGATAATGATAAAAAATAGTTGATGGAATAATTTATTGTATTGATTCAATGAAGAAAGTACCTATAATAATTAATTTAGCAACATCAATCCTGACGCGTTTAAACATAGTTCTCCCCGAGATAGTTCCGCGCTCTGTGACGCACTCGCAACTGTCGTTCCTCAATCCATTATAGGGACACGTCCGCGGATCCAGCAATCTATCACACAAGAGGACAAAAATCACGGAATGATAAGGAAAAATCGGGAAAAATGAAAGAAATTACCTCTTGTCATAAATTTCAGCGTAGTTTTCCCTATCCCCAGCGGGCAGTGTCAAGTACTCCCTGGGCTCGCTGGTCGCCATATCATGACAATAAATCGACATATTTTTGCCACCAATGAGGAGTGTGTATTCACCATCGCCAGTTGACTTGAATTTCTTTTGCGCCTCGAGACAGGTCAACGGACCACATCGTCTCTGGTTGCACTTGCGTTTTCTCTGTGGTTTGAATTCCAGTGGACAATTGAATTTACCAACTCTTTTACCACTTCTGTCGTGACAAAATAGCCTGCGTATCTGTCGGCCCTTGCGCCCACACTGATGGCTACACTGTAATAAAACATTTATTTTATATTCGTAACATCTTTCTCAAACAGTGAAACTTTACTGCATCGATAAACTTTGGTTTTCGACCGCAAGAATGGGGGGTTCTCCAGGATAATTTCAGGGATTTGCAGCACTTACTTTTTCACCGCTGAGCGTCGTAAATGTTATGGATTATTATGGGCAAATAAAGAATTAAGTGGAATAGATGTTTTTTACTATTATTCGAATATTTGAAAACATTCATCAACATATTCACTAAAAAATCGTAGGGAATTGCTTGTTTTTTATTTGAAATTGTCAACAAAACAGGTAAAATGTCACCAGAATTTCCTTTAATTTCGCATTTCAAAAAAATGTATTCATTTCTCTACATTCGTAACATCTTCCTCAAGCTGAAATTTTAATGCATCGATAAACTTCGGTTTTCGACCGCAAAAATGAGGGATATCTCAGGATAATTTCATGGATTTGTAGCCGAACGTCGTAAATATTGTGAATTATAATGACCAAATAAAGAATTAAGTAGAATAGGCATTTTTTAACCATTTTTCGAACATTTGAAAACATTCATCAACATATTCACTAAAAAATCACAGGGAATTGCGTGTTTTTCATTTGAAATTGTCAACAAAATATAAAATGTCAGCATTTCGAAAATATATTTATTTCACTCACTTTCCTCCAAGGTCCAGCAGTCCAATAAAATTTGTCACTGCATTCCTGCAGTTTACAAGTCTGTTCACCTCTGGGTTTATCACTCATCAAACAGCCGTCGGTCGGTGCTGGATCGATCCACCCATATCGATTGATTTTGTGACAAGTCACTGCCCGTTTCTGAATACCCTCGCCGCAATCTTCCGAACACTTTGGACAGAACCGAAAGTACCAAATTATCACCGCAAATATCCGCTTACCATTCGACTAATCCTATTCTATTCAATAAATTAATTCAATTCTAGTCATGCACATGCGTTCTCATGCGGAGGAAAATGCTCACGAGAAATGAGTGGATAATTGTTTCGTGTGAGCGATCATTTCTCTAATTGCCATAATCAATTTCTCTCGATGTAGCTATCGCGCCATTCCCAGTGATTTCATCTCAAAAGGACAATGCATAATTATCGCCTGAGCAACACATTTCCCACGACGAAATTATCGTCGGTCTATCAATCAGAAAATATCTCCAATAATTTTCATTTCTCCATTGAATTATTTTTCCCCTCAACTGTTACGCTCTGTTAGTCATCCAATGACACCATTTACGTCAATTCCTCGGGAATTACCGTCGGCAAATGATACCACTGATAAAACATGTGTACCTGGGCAGTACTAGTTAGTTCAACTTTTCATGCAATTAAAAAATATGTGGCAATCCAAATATCAAACTGCGAGAAAAAATCGTCGATCCTGAATGAAAATACAGAAAACAATTCGTTAAAGCTAGAATTTAATTAAAAAATTAATGAACTTTACTCTTAATGATGATTTATATTGAATAAAAATGTTTGTTATCATCTTTGATATGTTTTCTAGCGAAATACGTATTTTTTTTCGAGAGTCGAGGAGAAAAATCAAATGTCTGACTAAACACCGTGTGTGGCTGTTTCTACTTGCGTATTTCTCTACAAATCAAATGCACCATTGGTTTATTTTGCTTGATTTAGTTCGACCTTTCATGCAATTATATCTATGTAATTATTGCATATAATAAATTCCCGTAATTATATTCAATTAAAAAATGAATGAACGTTATTCGTAATGATGATTAATATCGAATGAAAAGCTCGTTAACTCCCTTGATATTTTGTCCCTTGGAATGCGTATTTTTTTTCTACAGTCGAAGAAAAAAAATGATCAAATGTCTGACTAAATCCCGTGTGTATTTCCCCACCAATCAAATCCACGACTGATTTATTTTGATTAATTTAGCCCGACCTTTCATGCAATTAAAAAAAAATAGAGCAATCAAAATATCAAACACTGAGAATAAATCTTCGACGTGTCCTGAAGAAAAAGATAAAAAACAACTCGTGAAAACTAGAATGCAATTGATAAATTAATGAAAAATTTTCGACAATTTTCTTAATATTTTCCTCTCAAAATTCGTGATTTTCTCCAAAGCACGACAAAAAATAATGATGAAATGTCTGTCTAAATACCGTGTGTAACTGTTTCTACATGTGTATTTCTCTACGAATTGAATACACGATTGATTTATTTGATTATGCCAATTGACCCTGACCCAGGGAGAGTAGGATACAGCCATATAAAAAGCAATAATTAAGAGGCACGGGTTATTGGTTGGAGGATGGGACATAACTGCATCTACGTGTGACTAATACGATACTGAAAAAGAGAAAACAAAAGTATTGTACAGTAATTAGACAAGATGAAGATTGATTGAGATTTTTCATCATTGTTTTGATACACCGGGTGAATCATGCGTTTTTCTCGTGTTCTAGCTTTGCGAGTCCCATCAAGCGGTCAATTCCAGGTTCAAGTGGATGTTGTAACAAAGCGATATAATTTTCTTCTATTGATTTTTTTTTTTCGTTGTTTAGAGGTACCTCGGACCAGCTGCCCTCTTGCCAAGTAAAGTCACAGGGTAAACGCTGACACGGCCTCTGCGATCTTGGCCTCGCTAGCCCGAGTCTCGAGCACTGCTCGTCCTCTACCGGTTCCTCATTACCTCCTGTCCTCAAGATACACTCCACCTTTCGCGTTTTAACCCCACCGCCGCATGATTTTGAACACTGAAAGTACATTTTATTTTCTCCCTGTTTTTTTGGAGACTCTCGGTGCCTGGATCGGTGCATTTTTCGGAGGTAATTTGGCAACTTTAGGATTGAAATTGAGTGGGTGAGGAGGTAGTGATTAATTTAGGAATTTACGAAACTGAACGTAATTTTTAGTGATTAATATTTGAATTGCTAGAAATTATTGAAAAAATGTAGCAAAAGGGGGTGAAAAACATTGAAATTTCACGGAAAATTCAGCAGTAGTTTTCAGATAAGTGACATTGAATCCATTTGGAGGGAGAAGCTGATGAAATTTGAAGCTTAAGAACACATTCAGCTGAATTTCACAAAAATTGCACAAAAATTCTTCAGTCCGATAATTTTCTAATCGTTGAGAACTCAGACGAAAATTTCGAACCGTAAAGAACATATTTTTCTTTTGCAAAAATATATGTTCTTATTGATGAATTGCCCCGTTTCATTAAGACTAGAATATTTCGCCCAAAAAAAATTCTCTCGTTTTATTCTATGCTTCTGAAGACAAACAAGGAATAAACACCAATTCTTCCCAAAAGAAAACCCAAAGATTGAGTCTGACCCTCGAAAACTCCCAGGAGTCTCACCCCAATGAAAAAAAAAAAATTGACAGTCGCTTTGAGATTCTATTGAAATTCCATAAGAAATTACGGAATTTTACAGCGAGATATTTCAATAGTTATTAATTGAAAAAACCAGTGGGTTGTCCCAAAATATTGCAATAAACATCTGAATTTTGTAATGAGAAAATATAATTCAAAAAAATATCAATAGAATTCCAATAGAATTCCTACCGCGTTCCATTAGAAAAGCAATAGAATATCGTAAAGAAATTTAATGAAGAAAAATAAATTTCGTAGAGAAACCACTAAATGTTTCTATTTTCAAATTGATTAATGTGATTGCTTTACACGTGACATTAAAAAAATGCAGAAAAAAAATAGACCCCCCGAAAACTCGCAGGCGTCCCACCCCAACAAAAAAAAAATTGACTACTTACTGGAGTCCAATTGGAGACGCGCCATCTCCTGGGTAGATTACCCTTGGAATTAGGATTATGATTTCTTTGTATCACGCAAGGTGCCTTCCGGCATTTTTTCGCGTGCTTGGGTCTGTCCATGCTGCATTCCTTATCCGGAAGGGTTTCACCTCTCTGACTCTGGCATCGTACCTGACGATGCTGGTAGCCCTCGCCGCATTCCACATTGCACTGAATCACCGACAAAATATTTGGAACAAGAAACCAAGAGGGTTATTATGTGATGCCACGCTGTTGACCCCAAATGGGCTCTCGAAAATTGGAGTCCATGGCTTTTTATTCTTTTTACACTCACCTGACTCCAGTCCCCAGTGTTCCAGAGAGGACAGGCGTGTCTGTTGCATGGCAAAGTGCTCGCTGGACGCTGATTAGAGTCGCAGTAATCGTCTCGAGCAGCCGTGTGGGTCTCTATCGATGTGCACTGAACTATTCGGTGTTTAAAGCCTCCGTTGCATGATCTTGAGCACTGAAATAATTGTTTTCTTCCTCAGAAATGAGTTCATTACTTCTTTACATTATTCTAACAATCATTTAATGCATTTTATTCTCCATCCATTCAGGCGAGAATAACGAGGTAAATTAAATGAATGAAGAATGAAGAAATTATGCCTTCTAAAAAGAAATTCCCCCTTAAAGCCACAAATTAATCAGACGGAATTAGCAATTCAGCTGCTCCCCAATCATCTAATTAAATTGTTCCCTAAATTATTCATGAGTTGGAGACAGGAATCCCCGGCCTCTAAAATAAGAGGTAAAATGGGTTAGAGCTTATTTGTTTCTTCATTAAAATGGCTTGATTACTTCTTAATTAATTCAAAATAGAATAAAGAATAGAATGAACTGAAAACCGAATAAAATAAAAAGTGAAATAAAAATAGTAAGGAATGAATTTGCTTATTAGAATGAAGAAATTATCCCTTCTAAAAAGAAATTCTTCCTCAAATCAACAAATTAATCAGATAGAATTATCAATTCAGCTGCTCCCCAACCGTCTAATCAAATTGTTCCCTAAATTATTCATGAGTTCAAGAAAGAAATCCCCGAACCCCAAAATTAGAGGCGAAATGGGCCCAAGTTTATTCACCTCCCCGAAATTTCCATTTCGCCAGACATATCCCGGATGGAAGGTGATCCCATTGCTGTCCACTTCGTTCTCTTCCTGAGAAGGCTCCCCATGATTGGAATAAATCACAGGAGGACTCGTCTAATTAAAAAAATTAAAAGCCATTAACTTCTCAGAATGCTGGCACTAATGGATGAAAATTAATGGCAAAATTGCTGAACAAAAAGAACAGCACGAGATAAAACTCACAACAGTGGGACAAACATCCATTTTGCAGGTATCGAAGTCGTCTGGTTTCTCAGAAATAGCGCATTCGTCGCCAGTTGAGCCGTCTGCATTCAAGCAAGCGACTTTTCTTCTTCGAGTTCCTTCGCCGCACGTGACCGAGCACTAGAAATTCAATAGTCGATTTAATTTGGGTCGATCGATGGCACGTGTTCCACCAGAGGCTCTCGTTATGAAAAAAAAAAGAATGAGAGAGATTCGATGGTAAAAAATACTTACGGGGCTCCATTCTCCGGTAGACCAGCGATGACAGGGTCCAGCGTTGCAGGGTTTTACAACAACTGGAAGTGGATCAGTGCAGTATAACTCACTGACGACGCGATTCTCCACTTGACACCAGAAGGGACGAGCTAGTGTGCCATTTCCACAGCTTTTGGAACACTGGGAATTAACAATATCCAAATATTACATTCGTTTTGAGAAAAAAATTAAAACTTCGACTGAAGTGCAAATTTCGGAACAGCGGGGAAACAAAAATTCTCCTGTTTCAATCAAGTGATTTTTTCTTTCATATCGTCTCTGATTTCATAGTTCAAAGGAAATTTCCAAAGAATTCTTCAAGAGTTCCATTAAAAAAGTAATAGAATTTCGTCAAGAAAACCCTGTTGTTCCCAATTTTTTCAATACGTAATTTAGAAAAAATGCAGAGGAAAACGTTGAGGTTCGAAAATTTCGATAGAATTACCTAAAAAAATTAGTATTTCAATAAAATAAATCTCATCCTAACTTTTGAAAATCATTGTATGAGTATGTTCGTCCAATTCTCAAAGATTTCGACGAATGTTTTTTACTCACAGGAGACCAATCACCAAAGGCCCACTGCGGACAAGCCTCATGTCCACAGAACCTCTCCAAAATCTTCTTAGAACTACTGCACTTATCGTCGGGCACGATTCTCCCAAGTGAATCCACACATTTAGCCGTTCTCATCTGCATTCCCCCTCCGCAGGAGACACTGCAGCTTCCCCAGTCCGAGTAGGACCAGTGGGCGTCGTCACAGGGTCCTGTGCAGGGCACAAGCTCCTTGGGGCGGTTCAAGTGGGAGCAGGCGTGGGGCGGAAATGGTCGGGGTGTTCTGTTGGCTGATGTTATGAGAATTTGGACGCAACGAGTCGAGACTGTTTGGGTCCCTGGGCCACAGTGATTCGAGCACTCTGATCTCGATGTTTCTTGCCATCTGAAATGACGAAATTAAGTGAAAAAATGGAAATGGCAATATTCTATTCCCATTTTTGAAACCATAATGATTAGGAAAAGCTTTCTGGGGTGATGACTTCTTTATTTTATTCAAAATTCATGTGGAATAATTTTTATCCAATTTATCTTGAATTAATTTAGAGAAAGATAATAAATAGAATGAAATAAAAGCGAGTAAAAACGAATAAAAAAAGAATAAAAAATAAATTTACTTGTCAATTGAAAAATATTGAGAGAGAAAAAATTCGGAATTCCAAACCCGGAATTAAAAAATGAAAATAGCATCTCTGAAACAGAATAATCACGCCTGATTCACCCCTTTGACGAAAACCAAGAGCCGGGAAATACTTCAGAACCAAAATGAAAATAGCGCAAATAATGATAAACATCGCGAAGCACCGAGCGCTCTGATCTTGATGTTCCAAACGGCCAAAATATTATTCTAAAGGAAAATTCAAACAAAGAGGAATACCCCGCCGAGTGTTAGTGACCAACCGAGAACAAGGAAACAATAGTTTAGAAATTGTGGGTCAAAAATAAAAATAGCCAAAATGACTCAACTGTAGAATGCAGTGGCCGTTACACATTTGTGTTTCCTCCTGTGGACGTTCCTCTGGCCGACAGTAATCGTCCGACACGACGTCTTTATGCTCAGTACTGCGGCATTCCGCTGTACGCTGCCTACTACCCTGGCACATGTGACTGCACGTGGACCAATCACTCAAAATCCAAGTAAAACTGTCCAGTATTTTCTTCGGTACAGTGTACTCATAAGTTATTTGCGGTGGCACGATATCTCCCACCGATAGCACCTTTCAGCAATAAAACGAGATGGTGAAAAATCGAGTTTAGAGATGTTAACGTTAAAGTACTGAGGGGGGAGTAATTGCGATCGTAAATCATTCGCTAATGGGGGGGCATACAATTTTTCCGCCACAACAGTTATGTTACCTCTAAAATTAAATCGAAGTTGATGGGTCTGGAGCTGTTCAGCCGTTCAATTTTTGGGCCTGGGCCACTGTACTCGATTGCCAAACCCGGGAGAACTATAACTTTGCGGTGCATCACCATAAAATTACCGTTTAATATGTATTTACCGTTTTCACCGAGTCGCAATGCTGGAAAAATCATTCGTAAAATTAATTGTACATCTGAAAGTATTTCAAGATAAGAGAATCAAATGAAGTATTGAAAGTATTTCCTTGGAATTCGTTTTCTAATTAAAAAATTGCAAAACACGAATTTTCTTGGCATAATGAGAAAATTTCTCTCGAAAAAAATTTCTAGTTCTGTTCTGAATTATTTGATCCTCAAAGTATTTGGAAGAAAATGTTTAGAACTCCGGTGGAAATTCAGTAAAATGTTCATTAATTTTTTAACTCGACATTTTCCAATACAAAAATTGGACTTAACATGAAAACTAAATCTCAAATAACGCACCCAAATAATTGGTATCATTGTGCAGCCCGCCCCAGCCAGTCTGCCTAATATCAATAAAACTACTGCCAGCTGGAATCTTAACCACCCTCCTGTACCCATAAAATCCACTGGCATTGTACGATCCCGTGATTCTCTGACAGGTGCTGTTATTTCCCCGACAAACACCGCAAGTATCCAACTCGGCGGTTGAATTGAGTATATGATCACAGCCAGCTGGTTTGCAATGTCCCTTGACGCATATATGAAAGGTGTCGGGTCCACAGGGTGTACCATCGATCACCTTGTCTCTCAACATATAGTACTGATTACTATCAACCTGACAGTAGAGTTTACATCGCTCCTCGGGTGGAACTGAAAGGTAAGACGTCAAAACGAGTCAGACGTAACATCATCAGTTATTTCGTTGCGCGATTAGAAAATTAATCGGGAAATTTCAATTGAAAAATCTTGACTTTTTGGAGAATTTTATCTACATGAATTTTCGTGAAGTTAACTATTGAATTTTTTCTATTAAAAATATGGCTCAATTAGAATTTCAATAGAATTCTTTCATAGTTCCTGTAGAAAAGTAGTAAAATTGTCTAGGGGAAACACTAGGTTTTTTCATTAAATTTATTCATAAATATAGTGAAAAAAATGTATGTCCAGTATTTTTTATATTGTTATTATTATTATTGTCATTGAATTTATTCATAAATACACTCAACAAAAAACAGTAGAATTATTATTTGACGGGTCAGACAAAAAATCATGGAATTACCCCTGAAATTTAAATTGAAAAATCTTAACATTTTTCAGAAAGATTTATTTACATCATACTTGCGCATGTTATACCTGAGAAATCACTCAATTTCTGAAATACACAATGAAATTACCAAAATCCAGACTGCCATAAAAATATCAATTGACTTCAAATTTACAACAATGAAAATGTAAATGCATTTCTCACACTTTCATAAATATTTGACGTACTTTTTATGTATTTTGCATGCCACTTGACGTCGTGTGCCAGCCCCTTGATGTTGAAGTTGTTATTATTGAAATTGGCGCACTGTTCCTGCCTGAAAATGAAAATGAGCTGAATTTGAATGCAAAAGATCCTTTTTAATGTCATGAAATTATTTATTTGATCAAAATTATCAGTTCCAATCATTCCTCTTAATTAATAATTGTCTGAATACAAAGGAATGTATTGTTTTCATTCATGTCTAAAAATCGAAGAGACGAAATAACTAACCGGAAATCAACGGATCCAGTTGGACACTCTTTAGTTCCACAGCTGCGATATCTGACTCTCTCCCCAATGCAGTAATTTCCATCGTTCTGTGGCGGTGGATTGTTGCACTCGCGCTCTTTGATCTTGATCCCTCCACCGCATGTTCTCGAGCAAGGTCCATAGGGCCCCCACTCGCCCCATTGTCCATCGACTGGGGCTAGATTCTTCTTGGATACGCATTCACCGCGATGACACCACTTGCCATTACCGCAGGGTGTACCGTCAGCCCAGGGCATGTGTTGTGTGTGACAGTGAGATTGATGGGTCCAGGACGGCGCGGTGCACCAAAGTCTCTTGCACACTGCCTGGCCGGTAACCAACCACGGGCTAAGTTTACCTTGCTCCTTAATTACTAGGATTTTCTTATGACTAGTGGAATGGGTAAATGAGTCTGCAGACATGTTCCGAGGTTTTTCAAGGGAGAATTATTTGCTGTGCGCAGAATTCGCGGGATTTTGTGGCAAAAAGTGTCGAGAGAGTGTTTTTTGAGGAGAGAAACAGTAAAATTTGTTTTAGGCAGAAAAATCGTGAAATTTCCGATTTCAGTGAAAAGTTTTTTAGGGGATAATTATTTTTCGTACGCAGAATTCACGGCATTTTCTTTCAAAAAGCGACATAAAAAAGTTTTTAGGCATTTTCTTTCAAAATCGTCAATAGGGAAAATGTTTATGGATAAAATTGAAACTTCATGGACAGTTGATTAGTAATTTTGAGGAAAAAAACATGAAATTGGATGTTAGGCTGAAAAATCATGGAAATTCAAATGAAATTCCAAATTCTTGAGCAGTTGTAAGATGAAAATGCCCCAACCTACTTGAATTTTCAATAAAAACATGAATAATTAATACCACATTACGTGGAATTTTCAATTAATTGAGAATTCACTCAAACAATCTATTGACTCGAACTCCAACGTAACAAAAATTGACGGAAGAATTTTTCTTCGCCTGACCAATGCACCGGATTTCCCCTCAAAAGTGTCTACGTAAAAATGCGTGCCTCTAAAAATACCTCTAAAATTCCCAAAACGATTTTCATGTCTCCGAAACTCTCCACTCAATTCCCATTTTGAAATAACCAATCACTCATCCCCTCAACAATGCTCCTAATGCCGAATGCATGTACCGCCCACGTGCCTCCGTGAATCAGCGTAGTCAATCCCATTTGAATAAAAAAATCACCGCACCATTAATCAAACATCAGCCTGAAATATGAATTCCAACCCCAAGATGATGAACGCACGTGACTTACCATCATTCTCCATATGCGGACAGATTTTCGAGCCTGGACCAAAGACAAGTTCGCACTGTTCATTCTCGGAATAATCCTCGCCAGGTAGTCGACTGGCGATGGATCTAATCATGTTGTTGGGCTCGTCCAGAAGGCAATTGGCATAGCCAGCTCTAGAAATAAACATATGAATTTATCACCAATGGGAGGATGGCAATTGCAGATTGTCTAACAAAGGACAGAAGTTGGTGTTGCACGAGGAGGAGAGTCACAGGCACGAGCCACTGTTTCTCTTGACTCGTGGAACCGGATTCCTAAGACCAAGCAACCGAAGGTACGAGCAGTCTTTGCTACACCAGTGTGTTGTATACACTGAAAAAAAAACCACCAGCACGTCTTTGCTCGTTTCTCTCCCCCCTCTGAGCCACTGATGCATCCAAGGTTTTAGCGGGTATGAGTTAACGTTTACATGAAATTGCATCCGGTATAACAGATAGGGTAATTTATGGAAACAATACTCGTTCGATTGGTGAAGTGATGTTTCGGGATATTTTTGGGGCTGTGATGTAACGAGACTGGACATTATTGATTGGATGATAATGATTCTGTATTGGTGGGAATTTTTGGCTCAAATTCCGAATTCAGCGTCATTTAAATTACATTTTGCACAGGATTATTATTTTTAAACATTCGTTGTTTAAAAATACATAATTATAATTGTTTAAACTTTCTGGTAAAATTCTGAATATGAATAAATTTGTTACGGTTCCGAACAAGTGATTTTTATGGTGGAAAATTAAATTGTTTATCAATTATTTGTGGGAGAGGCTCGCGATTTTTAAAAATTGCAATTTTTAAATTGATTCCAAAAGTAAACTTTTCAGTTTTTTTCAGATTTTAAAATGTTTTCTAATGGTTCAATGAAATTTAAATTTAATCCTGCAAAGTTTGAATAATAAAATGATTGTAAAATGTCCAAAAACTTAGGGTCAAATGGGATTCGAATAATGTTCTAGGATATCCTTAAAAATTCACTATTTTATAGAAAAATCTATGGAAATTAAATGAACATTAGGAAAATTCGAATAAATACATTCTTCAATGTTTAATAAATGAAAAATAAATATGAGTTGCAATTTCACAATAGGCTAGATTAATTTAAATAACATTGAACGAAATTATCAATCAATAATTTTAAAAAGCTGCAGAAATTTCCGGGATTTCCTGGCTGTGAACTCGTCGTCCGTCAATAATGTGAATATTCGTAAAATGTATCAATGCAGTGTTATTGCATCCAATTGTACTTTCTAAATCTGCTATCCTTCAGTATTAAAAAAAACTCTCAATAAAAGAAACATTGATACGCGATAAAGCCCTTCAACCCCTCGAATTTGTGGTCTCATTGTTCCCTGTCAACACACATCGCCTCAGCCAGTATGTTTTCTCCCGGAAGTCTGGCCCCTATCTCTCCCCCCCTCCCAAAACCCCCCGCAAAAATCGGAAACAAAAGCTCTAGACATTTAGCGGCCATAAAACTCACTCGAGAAATTCCGTGACATAGTGACGAGAGCATTTGGACCATTCCCAAGGAAATGTGTTGTCATCCAGCATTCGCGACATCACATTGTGCACACCCGAGCGATTACGGAATTTTGTGCACTTGGAGTCGTCGTCGTGGGGCATGCTGAACCTACAAAAGGGCATGAACAAAAAAATCATAATAACGAGAAACAAAAATTGAATTTATCGCGGGGGGATTTTTGCCCTCGTGGGCGACTGTGGCAATGTCACTGGTTGTACATGGGCGTTATCTACTGGAATTTAACTCACACATGTCCAATCTCGTGGGCAATTGTGAAGGCCGCAGCGAGACCATTGTCCTGTACAATTGCGCATGATGATCCTGGTGAACACATTCTTCCAAGTTCGGCTAGACCCAGTGTGTCACACCTCTTCTGACGTGGATTGTGACATAAATTTTCCCTACGCACAATTTTCACAATAGGAATATTTCGTAATTTTTTTCTTCTTTTGTGCGGTTATTCATGGCAAATTGTGGCCAAATTCCAAGGAAAACTTTGCGAATTAACTTAAAAATTCGATTGAACTTTCAATTATTTCAATTAATATTAATATTTTTAATTATTTTAGAACGTTATTTTAAATTAAAAATAGAAATGTTTAGTAGAAAATATTCTACAGAAAAAATGAATAGAATTCGATACTTCTAGACATCATATTTTATTCAATTCACAAATGAAATAATAAAATATCGAAATTTCAATAATTTCTTCTTTAAAAAAATTGTAAAAAATATCTCTATTACGCATTATTTTGCACCGAACATCAGTGGGAAAAATATCAAACACGATATTGCACAAGCATTGACCTATCCACTTAAAAAAATGTATTCTCACCGAAAGAATAAATCATATTAATTCCCTCCAAAGATCATAAATAAGATATTTTTTAAGATAATCGGCTGAAATACTACGAGGAATGTCTCAATCCCTGTAATAATCTCTGATTACGGGATAATTATCCATATTACACTCGTTAAAGAAGTCGATATTTCTTCTGATGACTGAAATACAACTATTCTAACCCCCCGAGGTGATCTGACATTTCGAATGACCCATAATTAGCGACAGGAAATGGCCAGGAGACAGCAAAATGTGAAATCGTTATACCGACCTCGTTAGGAGTAGCGCGGCATCGTGATGCTCGGGTGATGGTTCGTCTGGATTATTACGTTTCTGCCAGTAACAGAATCTCTTCAGCATATCGGCAGCTGCTATTCCATCGCTGTCGCTGCGTTTTGTGCCGAAGATCTCGTCGGTTTTTATGATTTTCGTTACGGCTATACTTATCGGATTGCCGATTGAGGGATCCTTGTAGATTCGAGATACCTGGACGATTGCAGTATGAGGTATTGATATTTAGGAATATTAAGAGCGAGAATTCTATTTAGCCTGCAGGGGAAAGAATTTTTGGCTGAAAATGTCGCTATATTTCTTGGGAATTTTCGGCGCATTTGGTTCACTGGAATTTTAAGGGGTTTCGGTATTGCAGATGGAAAAGTTTATGGGAAAATTGATGAAAACTGTCAATTTCAGTATAATTATTCCACAAAATTAATAGAAATCAGGGAAATTCCAGTAAATATATTCTTGAATTTTCAATTCAAGAAGAATTCTCGTCTTCCTACTGCAGAAAAATTTCGAATTTCATTGAAAATTAATAGGCATCAGGGAAATTCAGGTAAACATATTTTCGAATTTTCAATTAATTCAGGGAATTTCACCGAATTTCCGCAAAAATTTGAAATTTCAATTTTTCTCTAACAGTGCTGTTAGAAATTGTTGTTAAATTTTTAATAAAATTTTTGAATATTTGCATCACATTATATATGCACGGAAATTTCAAAGAATTCCGTCATTTTTAATTCGCAATTTTATTAAGAAACCAATGAAACCTGTCAATTTCACTTCAATTATTCCATGAAAATAAATAAATAAAAAATTCAGCGTAATTCGGCAAACTTTCACGCTCTGATTGAAAATTCAAGAAACTTGAATAATCCTCCTCCTCCTGCTGCCCAAAAAAAGTGGAATGACATTGAATGTTCGTTGAGATCAGGAATTTTACGATTCTCTCCCCCGTGCGGTCATAAAAATTCCCTCGGCATAATTCAATTCTTCAAAATGTTTTCTAGAGTCGTTTTATTGCCCCTCAAATATTATTCTCATTAGTCTCCCCTGAAGAGCTCCGAATTTCGAGAACCAAGGGGCAAACCCTGTATTTACTCGTGATTACCCGAGCTCCGAGGCACATCTTCCCAACATTTTTTTATCAATTCCTCAAGATACACCGGAGTTCTCGGATAATTTAGCCCCCCCCCCCCCCCCCCCTCGACACCGTGGCGTGTCTCCGAGGCACGTGCAGACGATCATGACTCCACCTTAACCACCGGTTGTATCTCCGCAAAACTGAGGTAACGGCGTGGCGACCGGATCGCCAATTATAATCCAGTTAGAATGGCGTTAACTCGACGTCTCAGAAGCCAACATAAACATCTGGTGGATTTATAATTCCCCCGTCGAGCCGCAGGGTGAGCGGAAAAATAGCCCATTCACCGCATTGTCCGATGATTTTCATCGTCCAACAATTCGGCCGTGATTAGCATAAGTGTCCACTTACGTAGGGAACCGGTTGATGAGCACAATCGATTATCGCGACAAATTTCTCTCCCCATCGGGGGAATTGAACGGATTGAACACAAGTGATTGATCCCATTCACGTGAATCAATCTATAAATATCGATAAATATCTCATTCCCCTCTAATTTATTCACGTTAAAGTGAAAAAATTATTCATTTTCTTGTCGCACGATTTTTCTCGGCACTCGTGAATGAGGTCGATGTCCCTTGACTCGGGATTTTCACACCCAGTGAGTGTTAAGTGCGTTATATAATGAAAAACATTAACCTTGGGCTTCGCCGTCCGTTAAATCCCATCGGAAATTTAACTCCTCGTAATTTTCATTCATACCCTGGGCTTTAAGCGAAATACAACTTCTCGGAGGTGCATTCATATGATGATTCAATCCTATTAGTTGTTTACAAGTCACAAGTGCGTGTGCAAGAATTTCTCTGTTACTTCGCGGTTTGGGTCGATGAGTTATTAGGATTTTTTTATTTCTATTGTTGAGTGGGACGGGTGAGTTTTATGGGTGGAGGTACCGCGAAGGCGGGCGGTTGAGTGACAATGACAGGTGTTATTCGAGATGCATGATAATGCTAACGAGACGGAACGCTCCGTGCTTTGTGAAAGTGCGGGGAGAGAAGAGTATGGGAAACTTTTGGTACGGGAATGCGAATACTGAACACTAAAATTAACTGATTTTAAATAGAATTCAATTCTCGATTTGACATTTTTCCATTCACTTTAGCAATCTTTTTCGTTGGAGAATAAAGGTTTCTAAAAATTTCGATTTTGCCGAAAATCCACTTTCCCCTCCAATTTCTCCCCAATTTCAACCCTCCGCATACATACCCCCCCCCCTCTCCCCCCACCACCTCGTGAAATCCTAGGGTCTAGGTAGTATAGAGGAGGCCTTCTCAGGGTCGAAAAGAACTGAAGATTCGCAAGGTCTCCGGAAAATTACGTCGTAGAACTGATTAGGGCTTATACCAGCTCAGTCTAGGTCTGGAGAGATCTTGAGAGACCTGTGTACGTCCAATCAGAACCAAATCCTCGACTCGGGAGGTTTCTGGCTGATAATTACACCACAGGATTAACAAAAAATCCCCAACCGTTATAATCCTTAAATGAAGATAAAAATTACACCGATGACGGGTGGCTGGCGATCGAGGCCTCTCGTCACTCCTCGGCTCGATAAACGTTCGATTTATGTTTCGCTTTTACGGGTAACCCAGATACCCATACGTGGGCCCTGCGTGGTGGGCTCCAATCTTGAAGGTTTGATCGATTCCAGGCGAAAATGAAGGGTAAAAAATTGAGAGTTATAGATTTCTCCTCGGGGCCATTGACATTGAATGAAATAATCGTAGTTTCGATTGGGCGGGGGCATTTCCGGTTTCTTCGGTCGCTCTATCAGAGAACTGTTCAGCAGAGAGCGAGTTGGAGAAAAATGAAATGTCCCAGATCATCGTGACACATTGAGACAAATAAATTTTTACCATTTCTCCTCGGAGCATAAAAAGGCCCGATTCAATCGCCGATTGCTCAGGAACGGCAGAGTGAAATTCGAAATCTTTTCTCTCATTTTAAAGGTATTATTTCAAGCTTTAAAATGAGCTTTGACCCCTTAAAATCGCATCGTTGGGTCCGGAGATACTGCGCACTTAATGGAACACTTCCTGAGCAAACATTTCAATTTATCAATTACCGATTGAAAATTGAAAATTCCCAGACCTTTAATCCCCTAGAACCATCAGATAATAATCTTTCCGAGTTATCCGAAACGACACACTACCCAGCTTCCCATCGAGTTACGGTCCAGCACTCCTCACCGCCACGCATTTGCATGTTCCACCGATTAGCAAATCCGCATGAAGTACGGCGAGAGAAACAGGAGTGGATGTAAATAGTAAAAAAAGTCTTCAGTGTTTACCCATTGCGTCATTTTTAGCATGCACCTCGGGTGGAATAAGTAGTAAAGACATTGGTTACACTCGCAGAGACTTCTTTCCGTTTCAATTAACGCGTACATCTAAACACGACTGTTGAGAATTACGTTTTTAATAGTTTATTTTTGAGAGTACAGAAACGGAAGTGGAGTGACATGGATCTTTTATCATTGACCACAATCTGCTGTCCTACGCTATTTCGCCCCAGAATTATCTGATTTTCACGCCTTTTTCGAGGCGAATTAAATGTCAACTTTATGGGCTCTAACGCTATTTTCAGAAACATTCGATTAACCTGATTATTTGTCAATTACGGTACGTGCTATGAATTTTTTTACATCGAATAGTGAATCACTGATCATTTCAGGGCAATTTCAAGGGATTTCGTCATTGAAAATTCACGATTTCATGAAAAAATCGGTGAGAACTGAAAATCTCAGTTCAATTTTTCCGGGAAAATGAATAGAAATCAGTAAAATTCAGTCTTGATTTTCGGTATAATTTTAAATTTTATGAATGGTTCACCCCTAAATTCAATTCAATCCCCTAAAAATTACTACTAAACTATAATTGAATTTCTTCAACTGAAAAAATGCGTAATGAAACATTCATTGAATCATTTCATTTCAAATTACGACGTCTGTCGACGAATTACCTCATCCACTAGGAAACACAATGTCCGATAATTAAACAGCATTGCCGGTGGATTTCTTACAAATTTTTTAATGTCATAGTGCCACTAAAATTTCAATGAATGTCGCCATTAAAAATTCACAATTTCATGAAAAAGTCAATGGGAACTGGAATTTTCAGTTCAATTATTCCATGAAAATGAATAAAAATCGGAGAGATTCAAACAAATCCGTAAATGTATCCTTGAATTTTCTGTAAAATTTCAAACTCCATGAATTTTTCCCTCCAAATGTGATTTTTTTCTCTTAAATCGAACTCAACGTCAAAATTCCCCATTTTTGGAGCAGCGCACCCAGCAAAAAAAAATTAATTGTCATACCGTGCTCATAAGTACAAGTATGTACCCAACAAGGCTGTCCCCATGATAGTCCACCATTTTGGCATCAGCAACAACCATGATCTCGATAAAGTACTCCCTCGGCAGTGCTCTCCTCGCTCTCCAATTATTGAATCCATCATCAATGTCATCGTCCTCCTCCCTCCCCTCGATCCTAAACAGCAAAATAATCCTTCAACTCGATGAAATCCAGCAGAGCGGGTGCACGCGTATTCGCATCAAATCGCCCGCAATCTAAATTTAATAAATTGCACTCAAGACGTGAGAAATTAACAACCACAAGTGTCTCGAGAGACGAACGATCCGATAGATCACGTAGCCAGATAGTGTCCGCGAGTAAAAAAATGGATAGAGAACTTCAATAAAAAAATAATCATTGCGTGTGGCTAATGAAAATTCCAGGTATCAACGGCTGTCATCGGCGTTTTGTTTCGCCTGGAAACGTTGAAATGGGCGCGGCCATAAAATAAAGAAGAAAAAGGGAGATACATTGGCGCCTATTGCCGGAGACAACTTTTCAACTATAAATTATGATGTGGAATTTTACAAGGGGAGAGAAATTGAAATGTCGTGCGCTATCGTTACCAAGTGTAGAACTAAACACTCGGATTTATTTTTATAACACATCGTGAGGATGAAAAACTGGATCACTTGGGCAACATTTCACCCTGGAATGCTGTTTATTATTATTAATGATTGAATTGCGTCAAGTCGTAAAAGTGACTAGATGAGATCAGACGTTTTTATCGTATGTGACAGGGTTCAGAATTATGAAATTACGGGGGATAGGATATTTAAAAGACATAAAACCATTTCTTCTATGATTGGGGGAAGTATATGTGTCAAGTTTTATGGGGGACGTTAATTTGAATGAAATTCTTGGTGAATATGTGGGAGAGGGAACAAGAGAATTAGAAAGTATTATTTTTAATTGAGAACTGTTGAGAATTTTAGGGTGAAATTTTTGGTACACTTCTTGGAAATTAGTATTACATTACGATTCTACTAAAATTTTAAGGAATTTGATCGTTGAAAATTTAACATTTGACGGAAAAATCAATTGGAAATGTCAATTTTAGTTCAATTATTCTATGGAAATGAATAAAAATCAGTGGGATTCAGGTAAATTAATTTGTGACTGTTCAATTAATTGATAATTCACGTAATTTGGCACTGAATATTCATGTTTTATTAATTTATTGTTCGAAATGCCATACCTTTGGCGTTTCCACTGGACCTGATGAGGGTATGATCTCCCGTAATGACCGACAAACTCCTCTAAACCTTCATCAGACGCCTCCTCAATCGATCTATCCAGGAAATTCTTCTCAGTCAGTTCTCTCCGCTCACGTCTATGATCGCCAACATAAACTCTAGCCGCTGAACTGTCGTCAATAAGTGGCGCCGGTGCTTCCTCCACAGGATCATAATCTGCAATCAGAGGTGATCAGTATCAATACGGGTTCTTCATGGGGAATACGAGAATCAATCATGATACTGCAGGCTTGAGGTACACGGTTCCATTCATTTATAAATCGTATTTGCATTGCTTCCGCGTGCTATGATCAATGGTAACCGTTGTTCGGCGGTACGGGTCATTGGAAATATCAATAAACGTTAGGAATTGATTTTTGCCGGGGATTATTCAATGTTTCGAGGTCAGGACTATTTTTTTTCACATTGAAAATTCATTTTTAATTTTTAATTTCAATTTTAATCGAAATTTTTCGTTAAAATTTCATCACTAAGAACTCATTCCCCTAGAATTATTATACAATAAACGCAGATTATTATTTTCGACATGAATTCGTGAAATAAATTCACAGAAATGTCAATTAAAATTTTTATTTGAGTTGAATGTGCAAGAAAATGAAGTTAATTTTAGGGAATCGTCCTTTGATTTTTTATCAGGCTAAAAAAACACCGATTCCAACATTCCTCAACGTAAGGAGCTAATTCCTCTCGTATAATTTGATATTAAACACCGATACCACAAGCATTTTAAATCCTTCCCTTTTTTATTGTTAGTTATAAATCAGTAGCTGTCAAACTATAAGATAAAAAGAAAATCCACCACACAGATTGAATGAAAATGTACAGCCCGTTGCGGTAGGTCGAGATAAGTTGTCCGAGTGGTACCCTTGATGCAATCGAAATGATTGCTTTATTACCTCCAGTGTAATGACCACAATTACGCCTCGCAGTGTGTATAAGTGTATTCTCAAGTGCATTGTTTCATTATTGTTTCATTATTCGCTCCTAAATCTCCACGTGTACTTTATACGTATTTTTTCATTCGACTATTTCTTCATCTTTTTTTCATTCTTCTATGAAGGCCTCTCGTGGATCCGATTAGTCCCAGGTCTGATGTTTCAGTCGTTGGAAAAAAAAAACGAGGGGGGGAACTTGAGTCCTGGTATTTCAATGAATCGTGGGCGGATAGTCTATCCTGGGAGTGGCTTTTATCATTCTAATTTCAATCATTATACATGGTTAAATGGGATTACATGGGGATGATAGGAAAAAATGGGGGAGGTAATGCATTCGTAGAAAGGTTTATTCAGAGTGAAGGAGAGTTTTTGCATCATTAATTCCATGGAGGAGTACGATTTTTTTTTAGGAATCTTTCGCAACATCTTTTATTTTATTGTATAGTCGGAACTGTTGGAAAGCATTTGGAGAATTGAAAAAAATAGGAACCCCATTTTTAAAAAATAAATTATTTATTTGTTACCTCAAAAATTATTTTGTTAAAATTGTTGAAAATTTTCTCATATGATTGAAAATACATTTCACTGAAAAAAAGAAATATTGCTGCAAAGAGAGTATTTTTTTAAATCCAGGAATTTGCATTAAAAAAATTCATGAAAAATTATAATTTTCTGAACTGTGAAACGGATTTTTAAATTTCCAACTGAAAATAATAAAAATAAAGATAGGAAATGCTTAAAAAAACAAATTAAATAGAAAAATAAATGAAAAATTGACGTTTTAACATTTGAAATTCATAAAATAATCAAAACAAATGAATTAATTCCCGAAAGCAAGAGCTCCTCTCCCGAAGTTGAATTATCGAGGCGACCTGGCTATTGGTATATCACCCAGGTGTGGGTGGTATAAATCTGGGATGGTTGTACATGATTTCCTGGTGTAACTACGAGGTAGTATCGCGTGCTCAACAACACTCACCAGGTACATAACATTGGGTTATATACCCCAACCCCTCTGATACATGACCAGCGACACGATTCGCAACTATAAATACGCGTGTTAAAGTATATTTATCTGCCCACTGGCCTGACTCCAGTTGCATCAGCCGCGGATCTATGCACTTTCACCCGGGAACGTCTACGAATCCCCTTCTCGGCCTCGTTTTGTCCTCGATTTTACGCAAAAAGCTATTTTTTTCGGTTTAATCCCTCTTGCGTTTTCATTAATGCCGTGTTACACACACCCACGCGTCATTACGCGAATCATTCCCACGGGGGAATGATAGATAGAGGCGATGATTGCTATCGCAAAAACACTTTCTTTGTCTTGGGCGATTAATTCTGGAATTCAAGAAAACCATAAGAATTTTAAACTTGGACATGGAATTTTTTCCACAAATTGCGGTCAATATTTTTTATAAAAAAAAATTTTCTTTTCATTTTAATGAAAATGTTTTAATCATATAAAATAAGTAATTCATTAATTTCAAATCATTTTTCCATTTCTATTCAATGAATTTTATTTCAAACAAACTCATGTTCTTTATTATAAAAAGACAATTTTTTTATTTGAACAAAAAATCATGAACTAATTCAACTGAAATTTACAGCTCCCACGGATTTTACATAGAATTTCTAATTTTCAATGACAAAATCCCTCGCAATGAATAAAAAACATTGATGTGATGATTCAAAATAACTGATTCATTAATTTCAAATAATTTTTTTATTTGTATTCAATGAATTCCATTTCAAACAAAGCCATGTGCATTAACAAAACATTTGTTTATTTAAAAAAGACAATTTGTATGTAAAAAAATGCATGGATTTTTCCACAGAATGCAATTTTAAATTTTTTAACAGTAATGTATTGCTCAATTTCAATAATACGCATCAGACTCTCCTAGCCTCTCCGATCGTCGCCTCCACCCCGAAACTCCCCGCGAAATAATTCCCCGGATCCCGCCGGCGCAAGCCCCTAAGTGGCATCAGCACATCAATTTTTACACTGTCAATCCCCCCGGCTGAAGAGAAAGTCTCCACTCCCGTCAGGCAATGTCAAATAATTAATGACAAGTGGATTACCGATACTCAAATTTGAATAATATTATCTCGTCCACCCATAGAAAATTGAGGTAAACAGCCTTCGCGTGGGAGTCCAAGACGATTCCATTAGAAAGCCGGAGAAATTCCCCCCTCGCCCGCCGATACCCTCCGAATTACCGCACACTACTACCACTGACTCTCCCCAGAATCAAAACTACTCATCATTTTAATAACGCCAACAGGATGCGCATAACTCTCCCGCAATTCGGCGCTCGATCCTCGCTTTAATAACCCAAGTAGTCAAGGAACTTCACGGCCAGCCGAGTCTTTTGTTCGCTCAATGTTACCGTATCGTATCTCAGTTGAAACATCTCCGATGCGTCCTTTGTTGCGGGCAGACGTGTGTGTGTACACATACCCCATCCACAACACACAAGGTGGCACAAACGATTGATCATGACCGGCAATCAGGTGCATTTTCCCGTCGAGCGAAAAAAGCGCCCATTCCTATGTCTTCTCCCTTTTTTTTTCCCCTCATGTAAATCGAAAACCACTTAAGACGGAATTCAATCCGCACTGACGGCTCATTTCTCATCCAACTCCCCCGAGTAAATGAGAAATGATTCATTTGTCGATTGAGATAAACCACAAATGATAAAATCATGTTCATTCATGGGGGCAAATTAAACTCTTGAATATAAATCGAAGGGGACTTTCGATTTTTCACCGGGGGCACTGCGATAATTAATCGATCGGAGCAGCGGGGATTGTCGCTGGGGCACGGTAAAATGGCGTTATTGAGGGGGGGGGGGCACTGGCTTGTGGTTCCCAGCACGAGGAAAACTCCGAATTCCGACTTTACGGAGGATCTGGACAGGTTTCTCGTTAAACTGGTTTTTGGAAAGAATATCTCGCGACCTTTAACAAACGTGTTACGCTGACTTGTACAATTGAATGTTTCGCCGAGTGCATCAAGTGCTCATATTTATTCGTTTTAAAGTGACATGATGCGATAAATAAAGAGGAAATGTTTTTTAAATAGAGAGACTGAGGAAAAACGAAGTGTGTTTAATCGTCAATAACTCGAGAACGGCAGAGTGAAATTTTGGATTTTTTCTTTCATTCTCGAGGTATTTTCGTGAGCTTCAAAATGAGACGTGACTCGTGCGGATTCTATCGTTTGATCGCGAGATATTTGGAGTTGTAGACGCCCGAATTTTTAGAATTTTCCAATCGAAGAATGCGTTTATTTAAAAATTGTTATTTTTAAATCCACAAAGAGCTGCTTCTGCCGAGAGGATCTCCTGCCGAAGTTAATTACGATAGGAATTCCCGCATGTGTGCAGTGGCGAGTACTGGGGTGGGGCCCCCGGGACGAGCGTGAAATTCGCCTCTTTTTCCACATCTCAACGCACTCGCAATTTTTTTTTCTCATTTCAACCGCACGACAACCGATTAATACTTCTTTTATCTCCGTTAATTGTCCAGACTAGTAGTTATGATTGACGGGTGAATTAAAATAGTCCGTCACGAGTGATTTGACGACTCCATCGCCGATAAATCACCGACAAAAATGAATGAACCCAGGACGATAAAACACTCGATACTTTCGCCGTCAAAATTACAAGGGAATACGAAATTACACACAACTTTCCCATCGGCACAAATGGCCATTATTCTTTTTCTCCATTCACTAAATACAAATTTGCCAATTGATACGTGAGGATAATATTTACCGATTGGCTGAAAATTCGCGGATGGAGAGAATGAGCGCAAATTAAATTTCTCCGGATGAATGGGGAATGCTGGTGGAATTAAATTGTATGGCTCAGCGGATAAATTAATAAAAAATGGGGGGTCTGACGTGTCAGTGATTTTACGAGATACGTTATTATGGACAAAATGCTGTTTGTCTTGCGAGAAAAAATTATTTATGACAACTTTTTAAACAGTTTAATTGATATAACTATGAAAATTAGTCATTTTCTAACAAAAATATTGTTAGAGTAGATAGAAAATTTTCAAATGAAAAATGTTATACGATTTGATTTTAAAAAATCACTGTTGGAAACAAATTTCTAGCATAGTGACATTCAATTCGATTTAGAGAAGGAAAAAATGAAATTTCGAATTTCACTGGATTCGTCAATGAAAAAATATACAGAAATTTCATGTAACTTTGTCGCTGTTAAAAATATCGAGCGTTGTCATTTGAAATTTGAATTTACACTGCATTTTGAAATAAAAAAATTTTTTCCTTGAAATAAACACATGAATTAATTAATTTGGAAAAAAAACGTTCAAAGAAAATTGAAAAATTTACGAAAACCTCCAGCATTGACCGCAACACATCCCATCAATGATTTAGCGTGAATTCCCGACTATCCACTCCTTGTTAAACTTCACAATTCACGAGGGGTAATTTATAACGAGCGACCTCCAAGAAGTCCATGACTTTTACAAGAAAGATTAAAATCACCGGTGCCACATCGCCCTCGGCAACGGCACGTACCTCGAAAATATAAAAACTGGTGAAATAAGAGAATACAAATGCAATTTAAATCTATGGCACAAGGGGGAGTCAGTGAATACAGTGCGACTCACTTATACCGGGGCATCGTAACCCTAACTCAGATGACTTTACGGAGTTGTATCGCCTCCTGGCCATTGGGTGTCGTTCAAAGCCGTGCGTCTCCCTCACCTCTGGACTATCGGGACTCGTTTCAAATTTTCCTCATTTCTTTATTTCAACCGGGGGGTTTAACGCACTTTGAAATTTATATTCCATTCGGTTTCATCTGGTAATCGTGCAATGGGGCAATTAATCGTAACGGTGTGTACCATGGGGCGACGCTCAGGAATGCTGAATAGCAGTTGTGGTAATTGTTATTCCGGGATGATAAAGTCACTGAATTATCGGGAGACTGTCGATTCAGGAAAAATCTCGGCGTTCGAGGCTCATGAGTCACTCCCGTGAATTTGTATGAGGTTTAATTAGTAATTACGGGTTAAACGAAATTTATAGTAATTTCAGGAAAATTATCGACACGAATTAATTAGATATCGGTGTCCGTAAAACTTGAAATTCACGATTGAAACATGGAATAAAATGCTGATCCTCCGAAATCTTGAGGGAGTAATTTACGGTTATTGTCGATTGATCAAATAAAAAAAGTTTCACGTTCAAAAATGTCTTCTAACGGAAATTTAATCAATGCCAGGAGCATAATGAAATTAATTAGTAATTTTGAATAAATAAAATTTGCATAATTCCCGAAAACAAATTGTCGACATGAATTAATTTTTTACTTTATTTTTATTTAGCACACGAAGGACATGAATTAATTAGAAGTCAATGTCCATAAAACTGGCAATTCACGATACAAACATCAAATGGAACGTTGATCCTCCGAAATCTCCTGTGAATAATTTACGATTATTATCGATTGATCAAATAAAAAAGGTTTCACGTCCCAAAAACATCTTCTAACGGAAATTTAATCAACGCCGGAACCAGAATTTTTAACGACATTTTAATTCGCGCGATCGATGGATCGAAATACTCCGAATTTTTATTCATCTCTGTATTTTCCCTGGTATTTTTTTTTATAAATGCAGAATCAGTTGATTTAATTGATAATTACAACAAAAATTAAATTTACAAAACAATTTACATCTAATTAATTTGTTTTCTGAAAACAAATTATCGAGACGAATTAATTAAAAATCAAGAATCCATTAAACCGGGAATTCACCATTGAAACATGGAATAAAACGTTGATCCTCCGAATCTCCCGTGAATAATTTACGATTATTACGATTAATCAAATAAAAAAAGTTTCACGTCCCAAAAACCTCTTCTCACGTAAATTTAATCAACACCGGAACCGCAATTTTTAACGACACTTTAATTTGCGCACTTGGTGGATGGAAATATTTCGAATTTTTATTCATCCCTGAGGAATAACTCGCGGCGCAAGAGCACTCTCCCTGGTGATTTTTTGGGATAAATGGTGAACGAAAGACCCGAATGGCCCCAACGATTACCGAGAAATTTTTCCCCGCTGATCACCAGGTTCATCGTGCCTCAGCAGGTTCAAAACGAGTCCCCCCTCCCTCCCATCTGTATGAGAATTCCCCCAAACACACTGTGGACTGTGTTACTGGCTTGGGGGCATTAATGCACTCGATCCGGGTATGATCGCGTACGATCGCGGATGAAATCCACGCCCACGGTATTCAACGATGCAGGGACGCGAGGTGTCTTCGGTTTGATATCGGTCAAAGACCTCGGGAACAAATAAATAACTGACCATAACAAAGCAAAAAAATGAAGTTTGGGGCGTTTAAAAAAATGAATAAATGAATAAAACAAGTGATTGAGATTTATGGGCAAAAAGTGAATAATGCCGGTGAAGTTTTATCCAAAATAAAAAAAAAATCACCCGATTTGCCTCGGGAGTTTTGGAAATGACTAAAATTGAAACTGGAGAATTAGAAAACAAAAAATAATTAAAAAGAGATGAATAAATAGAACAAATGAGTGAGATTTATGAGAGGAAATTGAAGAAATGAAAAAGAAATTGAATAAATGACCTGTTCGGCCCACAATTTTCAAAAAAATTGTAAAATTTTGGAAAAATGATTTTCAAATTAATAAAAAAACACTTGTTATTTCTCTCTCATGTCAAGAGTGAAATATTTCAGGGTTAATTTCTTCAAAAATCCAAGGATTTACAAAAACCCATAAACTCCCAGAAACAGCGAAAGAATTTAAATCCTTGAAGACACACGAGAAAATAAAAATCTCGTAATCCCCGTGAATAAAAATAATGACCCATGATGTCGAAAGGATGACGCGGCCTATCAGTGGTCACAGCATTCGAAAATTTTTCGGCCGGTTCCACCTGTGGGCGAGCGACGCCGCCAAGCAGTCTGCTCACTCCACATATTCGTACCTCTGCGTCCCTCTCGTTTTTTTATTCTCCTCTCGCCCATAACACCAAACGACCAGTCGAGGTCCGCCGGAGGCAGCGAATACACGAGACAGTCGGAATCATTCTCAGTTATACAGGTGCCTCCAGTCTTCTCAACGTTTGTAACGATTGGTGAATGGCAGAGCTTTCAGACTAGCCTTGTTTGGTGTAAATTTTAATCTCCGGTGTAAAAAAAAATGATGAGAAAGTTTTGGGGTTTTTTCAGATTTATGTGATCATGAATAGTGGAATTTCAGGGGTCACTGACAATTCAATGGAATTCCAAATTTTTTAGGGCTAGATAGGGGAGAATTCCCGGATTCATTATGAAATTTTCAATTAAAATATGAATATTCATTTTTTAATACCAAATTACGCAGCATTTTCAAACGTATTCGTGAAGTTTCGGGAAATAAAAATAAAGAATATATTCACCTGATTTTTCCTGAGTTCCATAAATTTTCGTACAATAATTAAACTGAAATTGCAATTTCCATGGATTTTTCCACAAAATTTTACATTTTCAATAACGAAACTTCTTGAAATTTCAGTAGAACTGCACTGTAAATATCTTAAAAATTTCAATCTCCGAATTTTCTCATTGAAAATTCACAATTTCAGGGAAAAATCAGTGGGAACTATACATTTCAGTTGAATTATTCCGGTAAAAGTAATAAAAAATCAGAAAAATTTCTTCAATAATTCCTGGAATTCCAAGAACTTTAAAAGAATTCCCTGAAAATTCAAGGGAGTTTGGCAATCAATATTCAGTTTCACTTAAAAATACACATTAATTATGAAGTTTCGGTCTGCCTCAAAAAATTGGGACTTGAATTTTCAGAAAAACTTGAAATTCCAGTGACTTTTTCCCCTACAATCGGGTTCCAGGTCTTCATCCGAAAAATTCAGACAAATTTTTCCAACCCTAGCTCAATTTTACCGACGAGTTTGAGACTTCACACACGGAAAATTCACCATTCATCACCATTTTTGATGCCCACTCAGCCCATGGGCCAGACCATTTCGTCAACTGGTGGGAACGAATGCCTCGTGCGACCCATCGTGAAATCAATTATCACGCGGCCAGCAAAGAGGCTTCAATTTTTCCTGTTTATCATTCCAAAGTATTTTTTATCCCTTTGATTTTAACGAGCCTCGAGGCTGATTATTCCCGATAAAATGCGCGTTTATGGGTTTTCTATTGCTTCCCTTAAGCGATAGAAATTTTGCGTTACTTTATGCTTCCGGTTGGAATTTTTTTCCAAATGCACGAAAATTTATGAAGCATAAATTTCCGGATTTTTTTCGCCAGTCACATCGTGCGAAATTTACGGAGGAATGCCGCGGGGGGAAATAGTGTCATTGTGAGACGCATTAGTCTCTCCGGCATTTCAGGAACAAGTTTCATCAGCGATAACATCTTCTTTCATTCATCTTTATGCCCAGTGGGGTAGAACGGGACATTCTGTGGTTTCTGAAACCTGAAATGTCCTGGGACGAGTTGACGATTTTTTTATTCATCTCGCGATAGTTATTTTTAGACGCCGGGGGAATGGGAGAGACTCACCTATGACTCCACAGTTGTGTCCACTCTCGTCTGGTAAATTGACATCGTTGGAGGTTGTTCTCGTGGATGAGAGTTTGTAGATGGCGTGTTGAAGGGTGGAGCTCGGATCCGTGAGATTTCTGTCCGTTCTCCAATTCTCCGCGGGCTTTATTATGTAACTTCCGGTTGACGTCTTCATGTGACCGGTCTGTAATGACAATAATTGTGACAATTTTTTTCAGGTAAAATTCGTCAAAGGAAAGATTTAAGAATTGTTTTTTTAATTCATATTTCTTTATTTTAAAAAAAATTTTCTAATAATTTTCTAATCACATTTGTAATATATTTTTCAATTCATATTTTATTCAGTTACGCAGAACCTTATAACGACGAATTGTTTTCTGTAATTGTTTTTCTGAGGATAAAATTATGAAAAATACAAATGTGAACCTGCAAAATAAAATGACAATAAAAAAAATGGCTGGACAAATGTATATTTTTATCAATAATAATGTAAATAAAATTGAAATGTTGAGGACAAAGTGTGAGACCAATTCATGCGTCGCAAAATGTAAATTGTCGATTAAATCGCGCGAAAAAAAGGATTTTGCAAAAAATAACCTTTTCTCCCGCGGTTTTTATTATGCAACTTTCGATTGATATGAGGTCTCCATGTGACCGGTCTGTAATAAAAATAAGTGTGCCAATTTTTTTCAGTTGAAATGAAAAAATTACGATTTGAGAATTCTGAGAATTAGGTTTTTATTTCTTATTTTCTACAAATGTCATTGTTATAATTTTTCATTTTATTTATTTTTATTTTTTTCCAAATGTCATTATGAGAATAAAATTATGGAAAATAAAAGAAGAAAAATAAACACGTGAAACTAAGACGTAAAATAAATGAATAAGTAGAAGAAAAAAACAAATAGAATTATTAAAAATAATGTCAATACAATTAAAATACTGAGGAGAACATATTTAGTACTCAATAATATTATTGTAAAATAGAAATGGTCGATGAAATCACGTGAAGAGCGGAACGTCAGATAATTCATTTTGCAAAGAGCAATTTTTTCAAAACATTCTGTCGACGATTGGAACGAAGAAAACCGGCCAAAGTACTTGGATTGCCTGAAGAACGCTGAGTGACTGCCTCAATTGAATATTAAATGATCTCTCCGAAGATGGCAGAGGTGGGTGGAGGTAATACGAGTGTGGCTCGATTCTACAACTCGTTTTCTGGGATGAAACCCGAGATACCGCGGATGCGACTACCGCGCCCGTATGCACGCGACTCTAGACATCTCTCGGGTATTTCTGGATCTAAGTAACTGATGGCCGTGGCCACTGGACTCCTCTCCGTGTCCGTGACGATTCACGAATGGGCAAAGCACACGCGGAATGAGCGCAAATATCATCCGCAAGGAAATTCAGAATAACACACTGACAGAAAAAATTGGTTTTGCCGAAAAATTATATTCCCCAGAGCTGATTTTTTCTCTCAGCGAAATTTATCTCGTCCCACTTCTCACGCGTCTCCATTGAATTTTAGTTATTATCTTTTCCACCTCAATTACTCTTCTTTTGAAGTGCGAAAATGTTTGAACACCCGTCAAACGGATGATTTAAAACCCCCGATTTTCGATGACTGATGAATTCTTTGGGGTCCCGTGCGAAGCCGTGATGAATGAAGTGTTTGATTATTTCCGGAATTTTTTCGGCTCTTTGAGATATTCCCAGATTATTTTGGGTTGTTTCTTTTGACTCGAGGGAAGAGATCGATGGCTTGTTAATCTGTCTGGGATGGCCGGGTGACTTTGGATGTTTAATGGGATGCGAAGACGAATGGATTTTTTTTCCGGGAGTGTGGGATGGCCCAGACGTCGAGTCTGCCTGAGTGGAAAAAATTCATGCGTCGGGTCTGTACAAAAATAAAAAATATTCCCAATTTTTACCGAGCGAAGTGCATTCAATATCAATTTCACATGATTTCATTCATGATTTGAGGCAAAAAATATGCGAAACATATTGTTATGAATTCTGTGATTTATAAAAAAAATTAAGTTTTAAAGATCGCAATTGATTTAGTGAAATTATAAATTTTTTTGCAGCAGAGAGATGGGAATTCTTCAATTGACTCGCATTTTTAATTTATTAATTTTCCCCGAATAATTGAATTAAAATTGGCCGTGACTATTCGCACCATTGCGTGAATCACTCCCGTACACTCCATACACTCCACGCATGCGTGAAGTTTGTGTGTTTCACGCAGCCGAATTTTCATACTGCTGTGTATTTCACGCAGTTGAAGTTTCATATACTACTGTGTGTTTCACGCAGTTGAAGTTTCATATACTACTGTGTGTTTCACGCAGTTGAAGTTTCATATACTACTGTGTGTTTCACGCAGTTGAAGTTTCATATACTACTGTGTGTTTCACGCAGTTGAAGTTTCATATACTACTGTGTGTTTCACGCAGTTGAAGTTTCATATACTACTGTGTGTTTCACGCAGTTGAAGTTTCATATACTACTGTGTGTTTCACGCAGTTGAAGTTTCATATACTACTGTGTGTTTCACGCAGTTGAAGTTTCATATACTACTGTGTGTTTCACGCAGTTGAAGTTTCATATACTACTGTGTGTTTCACGCAGTTGAAGTTTCATATACTACTGTGTGTTTCACGCAGTTGAAGTTTTATACTACTGTGTGTTTCACGCAGTTGTATTTTTATACTACTGTTTGTTTCACGCAGTTGCATTTTAATACGCCTCTGTGTGTATGTTTTTTTTGGCTCAAATGAAAGAGCGGCTCGAAAAATGGCGTGCAGAAGTTTTTAAAGATGACAATTGTCTCTAAAGATGATGTCTGTTTTCAATTGAAAAGCGCAATTGTGACAACATTTTCCAGTGGGTTCTAGGAGTCTCCCCTGGTTCAACACCATCTTTAGAGGTCCTAGCACGCCATTTCTCGACCCGCTCTTTCGTTTGAGCTCAAAAAAACATTCATATCTTGTCTGACATCTTTGCTACAAACTCGGGTCTTCAACTCGGGTTTTCAATTGAAGGCCCGAGTTGTAGACCCGAGTTTGTAGCAGCGATGTCAGACAAGATATGAATGTTTTTTTGAGCTCAAATGAAAGAGCGGGTCGAGAAATGGCGTGCTAGGACCTCTAAAGATGGTGTTGAACCAGGGGAGACTCCTAGAACCCACTGGAAAATGTTGTCACAATTGCGCTTTTCAATTGAAAACAGACATCATCTTTAGAGAGATTTGTCATCTTTAAAGACTTCAGCACGCCATTTCTCGACCCGCTCTTTCATTTGAGCCCAAAAAAACATTCATATCTTGTCTGACATCTCTACTACAAACTCGTGTCTACAACTCGGGCCTTCAATTGAAAACCCTATAACACCTTTTTTTTCAGGGGTGATTTTTCAAAAATTTATTTAAAAAAAAAACCCAAATTTCCTCAGGAATCGAATGGAATAGGTTTTAAGGCTCTATCTCTCATAGTGTCCGAGATAATCGCGAAAAACGAAAGTGCCAAAAAAAATTAATTTAATTCATCTTGTATCGGGTGGGGGAAGTGGAAAAACGCAATTCTGAGCCATCTACTGGCCTATAGGGGACCCAAATTTCCTCAGGAATCGAATGGAATAGGTTTTAAGGCTCTATCTCTCATAGTGTCCGAGATAATCGCGAAAAACGAAAGTGCCAAAAAAAATTAATTTAATTCATCTTGTATCGGGTGGGGGAAGTGGAAAAACGCAATTCTGAGCCATCTACTGGCCTATAGGGGACCCAAATTTCCTCAGGAATCGAATGGAATAGGTTTTAAGGCTCTATCTCTCATAGTGTCCGAGATAATCGCGAAAAACGAAAGTGCCAAAAAAAATTAATTTAATTCATCTTGTATCGGGTGGGGGAAGTGGAAAAACGCAATTCTGAGCCATCTACTGGCCTATAGGGGACCCAAATTTCCTCAGGAATCGAATGGAATAGGTTTTAAGGCTCTATCTCTCATAGTGTCCGAGATAATCGCGAAAAACGAAAGTGCCAAAAAAAATTAATTTAATTCATCTTGTATCGGGTGGGGGAAGTGGAAAAACGCAATTCTGAGCCATCTACTGGCCTATAGGGGACCCAAATTTCCTCAGGAATCGAATGGAATAGGTTTTAAGGCTCTATCTCTCATAGTGTCCGAGATAATCGCGAAAAACGAAAGTGCCAAAAAAAATTAATTTAATTCATCTTGTATCGGGTGGGGGAAGTGGAAAAACGCAATTCTGAGCCATCTACTGGCCTATAGGGGACCCAAATTTCCTCAGGAATCGAATGGAATAGGTTTTAAGGCTCTATCTCTCATAGTGTCCGAGATAATCGCGAAAAACGAAAGTGCCAAAAAAAATTAATTTAATTCATCTTGTATCGGGTGGGGGAAGTGGAAAAACGCAATTCTGAGCCATCTACTGGCCTATAGGGGACCCAAATTTCCTCAGGAATCGAATGGAATAGGTTTTAAGGCTCTATCTCTCATAGTGTCCGAGATAATCGCGAAAAACGAAAGTGCCAAAAAAAATTAATTTAATTCATCTTGTATCGGGTGGGGGAAGTGGAAAAACGCAATTCTGAGCCATCTACTGGCCTATAGGGGACCCAAATTTCCTCAGGAATCGAATGGAATAGGTTTTAAGGCTCTATCTCTCATAGTGTCCGAGATAATCGCGAAAAACGAAAGTGCCAAAAAAAATTAATTTAATTCATCTTGTATCGGGTGGGGGAAGTGGAAAAACGCAATTCTGAGCCATCTACTGGCCTATAGGGGACCCAAATTTCCTCAGGAATCGAATGGAATAGGTTTTAAGGCTCTATCTCTCATAGTGTCCGAGATAATCGCGAAAAACGAAAGTGCCAAAAAAAATTAATTTAATTCATCTTGTATCGGGTGGGGGAAGTGGAAAAACGCAATTCTGAGCCATCTACTGGCCTATAGGGGACCCAAATTTCCTCAGGAATCGAATGGAATAGGTTTTAAGGCTCTATCTCTCATAGTGTCCGAGATAATCGCGAAAAACGAAAGTGCCAAAAAAAATTAATTTAATTCATCTTGTATCGGGTGGGGGAAGTGGAAAAACGCAATTCTGAGCCATCTACTGGCCTATAGGGGACCCAAATTTCCTCAGGAATCGAATGGAATAGGT